AGCAGATTGCCTGAGAGATGGGAAACTTTGGTATGCCACCTTGACTTCAATCATGGAACTAAGGTATATAGAATATTTTTGAGGTGTCACTTTGGCAAAACAAAGGTTAACAGAAGGTCAAAGTGAAGCCCATCACATTTACTTCTGTAGGTAGGATTTATCTAGCTCAGGGATGGCCCTTCAGATGTTTTGGTGTATCACTTCCATCAGCCCAACCCAGCATAGCCAATGGAAAGAGATGAGAATTCTAGGCAAAAACAACTGAAAACTAGTTTGTCTGCACAAAAAAAAACAAAACAAAACCAGACAGTGGACTCTAAATTAAAGGTTTTAATTTTTACATGATTTCCCAGGATTAAAAGTTGTTTTAAAAGGTTTTCAAACAGAGATGATAAATTAGCATTAAGAAGGACATTGGCAAGTGTCTAGACCCCAGGGTTAATTTTTTTTTTAAGAAAGTTTTCAACTGTTTTGCTTAGCTGAGGGGGATAAAAGTTTATAATTCCATGTAAGAGAATGTAAATATTTTTAGTGGATGGATGTTTCCTTGGGTGTCAAGGAAATAAACACACACACACTGCCAAGCAGATAGTTAAAAACTTTTTTGCAAGTTTTTGACTTGTTGAAGTATGGAAGGAAATGTTAGGGTTCCCTTGTCCAGTAATTTTTTATATATATGTTGAAATGCTATGGACCTATGAACTTTATTTATTTATATAATAGGCTTTTATTTACCAATGATTTAAATATTTTTATTTATCCAGTAAGACCCAATATCAAAGGTAACTTTGTTTAATAGGATATGAGGCAATAAGGCTGTTATTTGGTTCAATATATATCCCCCCCCCCCACCTGATGACAACTATCAAGATCAAAATGCAACTGGGAAAGGGCCCTGTAAATACATGCCACCTGAAATAGAACCTATTTTGAAGTTTATCTATGGGACATTAGAGGACTGCTTATTTAATTTTAATGCAGAATTGTAGCCTAACTGTGTTCATAACATTCGAATAAAGATATTCTATATTTATGAGATTACATATGTAATTTCCTGACCATGTACAATTTTGAATCTAGGATTGGTTTAGGAAAAAATTCTCTTTTTTGTGTATTTTGAGGGTAGCTTGTTGTGACATGCAATTTCACCTAGTCTCTTATTGTTTTTTGTACCTCCATGAAGAATCACCTTCCCTATACATATTCCTTAATTTCTATAATATGAACACACACGCAATTAGCAACTGAGAATTGTCTTTCAATACAAGAAAAGGCACAGAGCCCTCAAATCCATCGCCTACAGGCACACACATTCCAAATACCAGGCAGTAGGTGAGTGAGGGGACAAGGTGTGTACCTTATGTCCCCTCACTTACAACTGTGAATGCAAGTGGTGAAGTGCTATGACTTTGGATTTCTGTTAGGGAAAAAAATACATAATTATTGGGAATTGCCAGATGAACTGCGAAAAAGGGAGCAAAGCTTATTGCAAAAAAAGCAGAATTCATACGTAAAATTTCATAACACTCATGCCATTTTTTCCTCTTCAGTTCTATTGCCTGTGTTTTCTGTGCATCTGTTCAACAGCCCTCCTGGGGAAACATCAATGCACAAAATTCATACCTGCTGTATACTGTTTAAACATATGGTGCAATTAAATGGATGCTGTGTGCCAGAATTAAAGGAACGTTGGATACAGAAGAATAAACAATTGTTGAGCACCACACTGCCAATTCAGTAGCATAGTTAAATGTAAATATTCAGTCACAGCTCAGCTCATACCAAGAGCAAAACTTTATCTTATTATTTGTAAATATTAAACTTTCTGTGAAAAATCACTTTATTCTACAGCTGCTCAAGAGAACACTTGAATGTACATCATCTTTCCTCCAAAGATGACACATTAATCAACAGGCCAGAGAATTGGTAGCATGCCAACACAAAGAGAAAAACATCTCAGAATATGCCCACCTGTGGTACAAGATCAAACACTGAAAAAGTTGAAAAACTGATCAAAGCCAATTCTCACTAAGAAGTCAGTACAGATCAGTATAGGAAAAAGTATAAGGTTTTTAAATGATTAAAGGTTGCTTCCTCCACTGCTGCTTTATCACATCCTTATTTTCTCAGCTGTTCTTCTTACTATTGTTTTACTCCAAACAATTTGTGGAGCAATTAATTTAATGGATGTGCAGAAATATACCCATTTAATATGAACAACACATATTGTACATATTAAATCTAGTCTTTCAAATCGGGGGTGGTCAACTTCCAAAGCTCAGTGAACAACTCCATCAGTGGAACTCACAGGGGAACACCCTTCCTCAGTATTACTAGAATTGCCACTATACTGCTGATTTTGCCACTGAAAATTGGTAATGTGGCAGCAAAAAGCTACCTATTTGCCATTAAAACAGGGCAAATGGTAAGCATGCACTCTGGAAGCAAAACTATACTCCAGAGAGGTGTCCAACACAATTCTGTTTTCCAAAAAGGAATATACTCTGTATATATTGCTTGAAATGATTTTTTATCATGGCAAATTTTCAGGGTGCAGTTACAAAAATGGCCAGAATTTTATGTGGCCCACAACTCGTATTAAAATATTAAATTATGAAGACTAGAAATCTTTCAACATCTCTTAAAAGAGCAGAAGCAATAGTTTTATATTTATTCATTTAAATTTCTTTGACTCTATAAACAGATTTATTTCTTCTTATTGTAAATGTGTTCTAGCGACCAAATATAGTGAATAGAAGCCAGGAAGATAACACTTATGTGAGTTCATTAGGGGACCTTTTGCATGCCTGCTCCCAATTCCAAATGTAATATATGAATAATACTGTCCTAGTTTATAGGTCTGTTAGAAGGATTATGCAAATGATGTACATTAAGCCCTAAGCAAACATGGAAAACACTGAATGAAAAATATTACTTCATTAGACTAAGATCTGGAAGGACTGCAATGTGTAAGGATAGTTCACTAGACCAAGCCAAGATAAAGCACACTATTGCATTTCTGATCACTACGTGTGGGTGTGAAAACTGAACAATGAAGAAAGCTAACAGGAACAGAATAGATGTGTTTCAAGCATGCTGCTGGAGACCTTTGTGAACACTCCCAACTGGGAGAAAATGAATTAGTAGGTCCTAAATCAAATCAAGGCTTTTTGTTTGAATTTTACAAAATCAGTAAGTCTAGAATCCACCACTGAAGTAGACCTACATAATGTAGTATTATCAAATTTACTTCTGATTGCTCTGTTATATGATCAAGAGGTAGCACAGCATTTAAGCAATTTTCTTCTGTCAAGGCATTTCTGATCTCCAAATCAATCTTATTTAGTACAGTGCATGTCACACAACTGATATGACACTCATCTGTTTCCAAATATCCCACGAGAAGCTATTTCCTTCCAAATTATCAATAATGCAATAACTTCTGTTAAGTTACCCTCAACAGTAGCTGCAGTTGTCTATTCCAGTTGATAGTCCTTAGGAAATAAGCATTTCATTGTGTTGCTGATATCAATTACTGCCTGTGTTTCCTCTACCTTGCAGCTTCAAGGAGACTAAGTCTGAGAAGAAAATGCTTACTTGGCTAAGTAAGCTATTGGTCAAGTAAATTAGTAATCAACTTTATCAAATAACATGAAACACAGGTGAACATTTGATTCAAATCTATCAATAAACTGTACTTTGTGGCATAGGACAAGCCAGAGTAGTCCCTCCTCTGGTACAGCTGTGAACAGCAATTAGGTCTTTGCTTGTTTTTGATTAAACACTGTTCTTTATGTTGTCCAGTTTGGACAAACTGTGGTTAATGTCAGTTATAGCTGGCAGAAACGAGTCAACTTCAAACCATAGTTTATGAAATTGCCTTATTCTTACCAACCTCAGCTACAGGCTCAGATATGCTAACAGTACCCAGTTTTGTTTAGCATTATGTCCAAAACTGGTGTTTAACTCTCCAAGCAATATTTTATACGTAGTATTTGATGGGACCCAATGAGAACTCAGCACACACAAATATATGTTTCTACTAGAAATGACAGTATTTGAACTAATGTTGTTCTTATACATACTCAAGAGACAATCCTAATCATACATGAGGAAAAGTGCCACTAAAGTACTGTCTTGTAAGCATGAGTATCAGGTTGACAGTTACACTGTAATATGCTCACAAAAAACATGACAGAAGCTATTAAGCTTGCACAACAGATATCATGAAGGTAAAGAAATAACGTAGTGCTTCAAATGCATAATCTATTTATAATAATCTAGTTATAATTCTTACAAAAACCCTTTACAGAAAATCAGTGTTCTCTCCCATATTGCACAAAAGGATGTCTGTAAACTGAAACTGATGAGAATGGCTTACCTAAGGCCACACTGTGAGTTCATGCCAGGTGCGTAATTTTGACTTCTTGATATATAGTTCATTCTTCAAAACCACAGAAATGTGGATAATTCATCCCACTGACTGCTTTTGATGCAAAAACTATTCCACTTTGATAGTAGATTGGGTTAACAGTACCATATACCAATAACTTTACTGAGAATGTGTAAGAAAAGCATTTATAGACTTTTCAATATCATACAAGAAAGTATGATTAAACTCAAAATAACTTTCTTCTTGAGACTAGGTTGTACTGTCATTCAGTAATGAAAGTTTTAAGTTTTTTCAACAGCAACAGTATAGATAACAATCCATTACTGTCCTAATATCTTCTTCTAATAGGTGAAATAATGCAATAAATCATTAAGAAAAACCTACCAAAAGCTTCCAGAAGGGTATCTGTATTAGTGTGTCTTAGTAAGCCAAGTCTTATAACACCTTAAAGATCAGCAAATATCTCATGTCACAAGTTTCCATGGCGTAATCTTTTGCACCTGATGAAGTGGACTGTACTCCACGAAAGCTTGTACTATAATACAATGTGTTAGCATTGAAAGACACTATGAGACTCTTGTTTCTTGAAAATGACATTCAATATACATTTACTATCCAACAGCTTACTGTTTATTCTGTTTCTGGTCATCTACTACCCACTGGGTCTTTTTCATCAATATTTCTGATCAAAGGCTTTATTTTAAATACAGAAAAAACCCAAGTGAAATTGTAGGTATAATTCTTTACAAATCACCATGCCTCTTTCCTTTCACTTGCTGGGTGTCGAAGGTGGAACCCATTCATGTATCTTCTTACGGGTGGTAGAATATGGTACATATTGTTCAGGAGTACCACTTAGATTGAATTTATGATTCTCCCAAATAAATTTACGAGGAACTGGTGGATGTGTAGTTGGGGGGTCGTCTGTCATACAGTGAAGCCAGCGATGCCTTTAAAAGAAATAAATATAACTAGCAATAAATACATTACCCTAACAGTCACTAAAACAGATACGCATGCCTAAAAGCCAACTGTGTTTGATGGAAAAATGTTAATCAACAGGAAAAACTAATAGCTACATTTTAAGTAATTTATTGGCTGGTCATGCAGAATCCGTAATGCCACAGGCCTGACCTAAATTTGGAACATGTGCATTTAGTTAATTTCTATACTGCCCTTTCTCCAAAGCTCTATTTAAAATTCAAAAATTTAAAAAGTATTCTATTATAGGAAAATAAATATTATACAAAGAAAAATTACAAGAATAGTACTTCAACCGAACAAAGATTGTTGCAATCCATTTGTGCCATTTGTATGCAAAAGGGGAGATGCAGGTCAGTGGGAGAAGCTACAATGACTACATGGACAATTCTTCTTGTTGGAAAGAGTTACGCACGTAGTACCAAAGTGATAGTTGCTGATAAGACCATATTCTGTTAGGGCCCTTCCATACTGGAGAAGATGAGGAAAGTGAAATGAGATAGTGTGTCTTCTTTTTTTACTATCTTCCTTTCCTAACAGGACATTCATGCTATCTAAGGTTGTCAGCATCAAGCCATTTCCTTGGTGGGATCATGCTAATAGTATGCAAGGAATTTATGGCAGGGCTTCTTTGAGTACTTCCTTATACAGCATTATTTACAAGACTCTGTAATGAATATTCATGTAAACAAAAACAAGAGGAATTAAATCAATGCTAAAATGAAGCAGAACATTACTTGCAGTGCTTAAGGGCTAGAAATTACTAAATGTGATTGTTGGTTCACTTTTTGCATTATTATTTACTATGTATGAGTCCTGTGAGCATTATCAATACGCATATAACCCCCTTACACAGGCAGGGTAGCACAGGGTGTTACTGCCTCAAGTCAGTACAGATGCACCTTCTCTTCCTTAGATGCCCCAGGATAACTAATTATATGACGAGACCTCCTGTTACATAAATGACTTTTTCCACAGTAACTAATGAAATTGCAATAACTATAGCAAGATGGCAGTATATACACTGGGGCTGCTTTGGGCATCTCATTTAAGTTCCATTAAAACCATACTAAAATCAATTGTTTTTTGAGCTGCAAATATTTGCAAAATTGGAAAATGCAATTTCCCAAGATGCATTTTGGTAAGCTAAAAGTCATGTTAATTAGGGTGGAAACAACAGAGTAAATCATCCATCACTAAAGCCAGGACAGCTGCATTTGTGTTTCTCTCTTCACCAATCCTGACATGGCTACTTCTGACAATACTAAACAGGATGCCTAACTGCATGTCCCATGTATATGCTGTTAACAATGCATATATTGCCAAGGACAATGCATGTAAGCCGTCGACTCTGACATTCTTTACATTATTCTAGCATGGGCATGTGATTTTTATTTTTATTTTTTTAGTTTTTTAAAGCTACTCAAAGACTATACATTGAATCAGATTAATCTTTTGAAAAAATCAAAAGTCTTTTACACGTTCTTTGTGCTTTTTGATCAGTACCCTCTCTGACAAACAGTGTTCACTATGCACAGTTGCTAGTGTTAGCCATGCATTTTGCCATGTGATTAGCCTTCAAGTAAGAAGGCTTCCGGGCACACACCTTGCATTACACATCAGCTCATAGCTCCGTATTTTAACAACTTGGTAAAAGACTCTGTGGAAAACATTTCCTTGATAGTTCCTAAAAAGGCCACAATATTCCCATCTATACAGTCCCTAGAATATTCAAAGGTTACATGCATTCCTTCTTGCTACCAGCCCTAGAGCATTTTACAATTTGTACACATTTTTCTACAACAAGAACTGTCTTTCATATATTTTTACCACACTTTCTTCTCAAAGCTAAGTATCATTTAGCAGTAGAAGTTCATTGACACACAGAAGATTAAAAATGAATATAATGAATATATTTGAATATAATAATCCCAAAGCAGAATTGGTTCTGGCACTGGAAGTCAGCCAGACATAAAGATGCAGCCATTGTTAGGAAAATTCTAATTCAAACGTAAGAGCATAAGAGAAGCTGTGATGAATCAGAGCAAAGGCCTATGTAGTCCACAACTGCTCTACAGTGGCCAGTTAAGCAGGATGTAAGTGCAACTGCTTTCTCGTGCCTTCCTTCAAGTGACAGGAACATACCACTGCTGATGCTGAAGGTAAAACATAGCCATCCTGACTAGTGGCCACTGATAGCTTTATCCTCCATTAATTTGTCTACCTCCCTTTCAAAGCCATCCAAGTTGGTTCCCATCTTTACATCTTGGGAGATTCTGCAGCAAGGGCATTTTATAAACCAGGAAAATGTAGAAGTGGGCCTGGAGGGGGAGGTATAACATTGCAAGTGCTGTAAGGTGATAATGTTCATATTGTTGCATGTTTGCATCCCTAAACTGGGGTAGCAAAAAGATTAATTTTTTTCACAGATTCAGGGCAGAACAGACACTAATTCTCTCTTCAACAAAATAATTTTAAGAAGTGAAAAATGACAAGAATTCTGGAACCTTTAGATAAGCTCTAACAGAATCTAAGCTTCCAGAATACTTACCATTTGTTTTTGTTCTTTTAAAATCTTAATGTACTCCACTGCCATAGTTGCAGAACCAGTGAAAAGTCAATTAAAAAAGGAGGTAAAATACAATACCCAGGAGAGTGGCTTCTGAATGGTAAGGAATGGCTAGTATCCACGATCATTAGTGGGAAGAATTTTTTCCATCTGTCCCCAATATTTCATTTCCTCTAATTTAGATCATTAACCTGGAGATCAAGAACTGTTTTATTTAAAATATGTCTAACAGTGTTACAAAACATTTGATGAAGATAAGTTTGATTTTAGAAGCAACTGTACACATAAACTCCCAAAGTGATGGCACAATGCCATCCAACACCCCATAGAAGGCAGCCACAGGCAGAACCAGTAGAACATTAATGGGAAAGTTATGGAGCTTTATATTTGAGGCTCAAACTAGACAGTAAATGGGCCTAGTAATAGCAGCTGTTATCTCTTTCTCCTTTAACTGCAATGTATTGTTAAGGAAATTAGGATGTAAAATTATATTTGTGTCCTGTCTTTTCTTCCATTGAACACAAGGCAGCATGCACAGTTTTCCCAGGCAGCCATGCATCCAGTAGCTGATCATACATCAAACATGTATGAATAAGCACTTGACTTTCTTTCCCGATCCAAAATTATGGGGGCAGGGCAGGGAGACAGCAAGAGCGAGGAGGGAGCAATACTAACTAGGTAGCAGAGCAAACAGAGAGAAGATCTAGATGCAGGTCTTCAGTTTTCAGTAGCAAATGCACATTTACTGTAATATATAGTTTAGTATATCATAAGACTTGTCCCCTTCTGCCATAACCACACTGCCTGAGTCATGCTCTACCCTAGAAATGGTGAACTATGTCTGCTGGCAAGAGGTTAGAGGTATGATGTTAAAAGGCATGATTTTTAAAATTTCCTTGCTTTTGTGTGTGAGCCTGAGATAAGTTGTCTCACTTTGAGGTTAACTGTTTCATAAAGTTAATTAAACATATCAACACAGCAACACAAGTAGTAAACTAGCAGATTCACCATTCAGGTGGCAACATGCTTGCATCCAGTGTCCAAAATTTGTTCTTGCCGTTCATCTCCTCTGCATATATAACCCATCTATGACGACCTTAAATATAAAGACAATAAAACACTTTAAAAGTATTAGAATGAGTCACAAGGAAATGTGGATGGATGCCATTTTATTAATTGCAAGCAGACACTTGCTCCCACCACCCGAAACCCAAATTCTGTGCGTTCAACATTTTATGCTCAGATTAAATGCCTTCTTCATTCTAGTTTCAAAACCCTGGTTTTCAACAAATTATCATTTTTGAGAAATGACTGAATTTAGCACAAGGAAACAAAGGATAAAAGTGGTAAAGTGGCATCATGCCAGTTAAAGTCAGGGCTTCTTCACATATTATTTTTCCTATATAAAGTAGGATGAAATGTTTATTTTACTGCAAGCAGATATACCAGAAAACCAGTGAGTACACAGACTGGGTCCTGTGCTCCAATAACCTTGTGCCAGACTTCATGTTACTGTACACATGCTCTTCTCAACATTAGACACCCTTGTGAAGAAAAAGGACACACACAAAAAGGCCCATAATATATACATATATTAGATAAAGGAGAAATAACAAATAGGAGTTAATGCTTAAACACAATACACAGCAACCCTCCCCGTCCAGACCTTTTGGAATTCAGCTGTCTTTACCCTGTACTTCAAAAGATCCAAGGATACCAGATTGGGAAAATCCCCACCACAGCCATGAGAGGTAGCAAATTCTTTATCCTTCTTAGGCCCTTGAAAGATACTCTTGGGACACCAAAGTCTTCACTAGACAGCAAATGTTAGCTCCCCAAAACAGAACCACAGGTGCAATATTCAAGGTGTAAGCAAATTATTTTGCTTCTTAGTATGGTTAACTAATTTCAGATGGCTATCAGCTACAAGCAATTATCTGTTGTTGTTTTATCCAGTTTTAATATTAGAAAGGAACCTTGAATGTGCATTTCTTCCAAATGTTCTGTTTGGATTTTCTGTGAATTACCATCAATAATTTTAGCAGCATACGCCTAGTTATTAGTTTGCAAGCTGTGATTCAGTAAATAAATCAAGGGGTTAAATAACTGGGAAAAAGTTCTATTACACTATTGCTCTTTTTCCAAGAAATGAATCAGCTAAGGGCACAATCCTATGTTGCTATCTTTGATGTTGCTATCATAGGGCACAATCCTACGTTGCTATCTAGCAACATGATAGCATCATGATATATGATGGCTTACATATATCTTTGGTATATGTAAGCCATCAGAGAGGCTTTTGTGCATCTAATGCAAGGCACAATGTATCAATCTTTGCTGCCCCACTTTGCAACCTGCATTTTATGCAGATGGATGTTTCTGGATATCTAGATGAAACACTGTAGAGGGAGAACAAAGGAGGCTGGAGCACTATTTGTAAGCAGACAGCCACAACCTCAGCCTCTTCCCATCTACCCACTATGCCCATTTAGCCCTCTAATTTAGGAGATAGAGCCACCACAGTTCTTTTCACACCAATTGCAAGCGGACAGAGTGATGCACCACATTTGGAGTCCCAAATCCAAGCTCAAACTACTTAAGGACTAGTTAGTGATAAGAAAGTCACTTAGGACATTAGGATTCCTTGGTCAATCCAGACCCTGAGCATAGTCGCTCTCTTTCTTCTCATCCTTGTACCACAGCAAAACCAAAGCAGATTTCTATGTGTAGAAGCACAAATCGAAGTGTCCTGTTGTGGTAACAGTTTGCAGGGACTTCTCAGCACTACTGGATCTTCTACTTGACATTAAAATTAACTGAGGGGGGCAGCTAACATAAAACATGCAAGAATAATCATTTGCTTAATTCTAGATAAACATGTTAATTCAACTTAGTTTCTTCAGGAGGATTGGTTCACAGTACTCAAGTACACATACTCACCAAAAAAGTATCTGTTATCTTCATAGTACTTGTTACCATATTTATCAATGCCTATAAGCGTGCCAGTCTTCAGATCATTTACCCTGCAAGTTTCCAAAAGAAGTAGTATCATTCCTCCAGAACAAAAGTTAAAAGAATGGTCTGAAGGTCAGTGGTGAAGGACATGTTTGCATGCAGAAAAACCCAGGTTCAATTCCTAGCATCTCCAAGTAGAGAAAATCCTATCTGAAACCTAAGTGCCATTGTCAGGCATACACAATACTGAGCAAGAAAGGCCAACTTGTAGCTAGAAGTACCAGCTTCATAATGTTCAACTCCCATCAGACCCTGCCAGCAGGGTGGTCAAGAATGCTAGGAAATGTAGCTGTAAATATCTGGAAGGCACCTCTCATTCAACCTTCACATTAATCCATTTATACTCCAGTCAAGCAACTCAGCCCAAGGCGAAAGAAGGCTACCCCATCCCTTCCTTGCGGTCCGGGCCAGGAGAAGACAGCTTGTCAGCAGTCATAATCTCATGAGCTGTCACGCTCCCTTCCCTGAGATTAATGCATCTTTATATTATACATTATAAGATATATTCTAAGATACAGTATAATATTTTATACATTATATTAAAGGAGGAGGGTATCAGAAGTGAAGCTATCCCAACACCCGACCGAGGCACTCTCTTTCAGCTTGTCTCAGAGGTTTGCAGAAGTTTGGGAAGGTGTCGTTGGGGGAAAGCTCTCCTTCGGCCCAGAAAGCAACGTCCTTCTCACCAAGGTGACTCCCTGCAAGAAGCCGCCTCACGCCCCGCACGCTGGGGAGCCAGCGCGAGCAAGCTACAGCCGCTCTCCTTACCTTAACAACTGCCACATAGCGCCCCGCAAGCCACCGTGACCACCGAGTTGCTGCAGCGCCCTCTTCATGATCTGCACGTACTCCGCCATCTTTCCTGCGGCCCGGACTCAGGCCCCGACATGGCCACTGCGCAGCTGCGGCCGAAAGGTCGCCCGTTCAAGGCTCCTCCTTCCTGGCGCCGGCTCCATGGCAAATGCAACTGCTGAGCGGGAGGCGCGACTTGCGGCGGGTAAGTCACCGATTCTCTCTGGATTCATGGACGGATGTGTGTAGCAAACGTTCCTAAGCTTGGTCCCTGATGGAGAGAAGCCACGAGGTTCCGGGACTGCGTTCAGCAATCCTCTGAGGGGCAAACGCTGTATGTTAATAGTTAATGCGGTTTGTTCCACGATAGCACTGGATAGGTGAGGTGCGGGATATATTACTCGCTTAGAGTGGCATCCTGTGCATGTTTACAGTAGAGTCGTGGGAAGACTGGGTGTTGCATGACTTTTTCCGGTCTAAACATGCAAAGGCTCGAGCGCTTAAAGCATAGACTTCTTTTTTGCCTGGGAAGAGGAAATTAGTTCCCGCAGCAGTTCCCTCGCTTGTTATTAATGGAAGCAGTGAGAGCAGCCTTGCGATGGCCCTAGGTCCCGTTGTTGATCGCAAAAGTCAAGACTGTGCTTCTCGTCAATTCTCCAAGAAAAATTATACAAGGCAATTGTGATACAATTTTTGGGCTAGGAATTTTAAGTGCTTACTATTGCAGACTTCATTTTATACTGTACCTGATCATTCCGATACAGGTTACTTTTCAGAAAACTACATCAGATTAAAAAAAAAATCTGAATACGTGTAGTTGGGCCAAGAGAGAATACGGTAAACACAGAGATAAAAGGGGAAACAGTGGCTGGAAAATTGTATGGAAAACAACAAAGTGAATGTAGCTGATCCAAACAATTATGAATAATTTATTCTAGTATAACGCTGTAAAATGTTAGCTCTAAGCATATAGTAATTTCACAGCCCAAATTTAACATATGTAAATTTCATACAAACTAGTTCATTGCTTTAAAAGAGAACAGAACAATACTCTATAATAAAAGTTACAATTTATTTTTTTTAAAAATACAGCCAAAATAGAATTTACACTTCTTCAGGTTTCAAACCATTTACAGTAGTTTTACAACAAGACGGTCATTGGGACATTGCATACACTACAACTGAACCACAAAAATGCATACAAAAGTGGAATGAAATTAATAAGCAGTTGACTTCCAGTGACAGCAGAGAATAACTTGGATTTAACAAGTCATTAACAGTTGACCTTTAAGAAGAATTTAAAATGGATTAAATTAACTACCAGATGTACCTAGGAAAATATCATCAAATACATTACAATTGTGTGTATAATGCATGCCTGCATGTGTCTAAGTGCACACGCATGTGCATAACTTTCAGGACAAAAATTATTCACTTCATTATTTTTAGTGGACTCATTCTGAAATATAGAAAAGGTACTCTTTTCTGTTAAAGTAAAGCCTGATGCAAATAATCCTATCCTTCAAATTACAAATACCCTTCTCATTGGCTTTAATGGCCATAATTTAACAATTAAATGCAGTTGTATTACTATGATCAGTGCTCAGCATCTGAAACTGAGCTTAAAAAGAATTACCAGAACACCAAACAATGGGCAACTCTTTGTTGATACAGTAAGGGAGCAATCCTGACATCAAGGAGGCCATAGGATTATCTGGAGTTTCAACTCCAAGGTCTTACAACCTAAGAACTGGGACTCCAAATGCAGAACCTCTGTCCTATCCCATCTTCTTCCGAGTCAGTGTGAAAATACTGTGCTGGCTGCCCCTTCTCCCCTGCTCCAGCCATAACTAGGCTTAGAAGGGGAGAAAATGGGGTGAGCTGGGGGACAGGAATAAGAGGCTGGGGTTATAGATGTATGTTGGTTCTGACTGGCGTTACCAGCCTCCTTTCATCCCTCTCCTTTGCATTAAAACTAGATTAAATAGCCATCTAGAGAAAATATGCAATGTAGCAGTGATGAGGTCTGCCACCACTGAACCTCATTCCAGGCACAGGATGCGCATAAGCTTGCAAGTTTGGAGGCTTATGCACATTGAGGATACGGGACATAGGACTGCACCCTAAATGAATATTTTGTGTTAAAAATAGATTACTGTACTCTACAGTAATTAAGAGCAAGCAGCCTTTCATGAATCACAAAGTGCACTTGGAAAAAGTTTTACCAGTTTGAAGATGCAAAGCAGGAAACACACCAACATAAAATTTGTAATAATGAGGGTTCTATTATCGCTACTGTTTAGGAAAAGCAGAATGTTATTCTGTAACATACAGTTCATCATAGTTTATTTATTTGTTTATGAACTTTTCAGATGCTATCTCAACTTATCTGAATTGTACTGTGAAAACTCAAGACTCAAACTCATTCGTCATCTTGAAGGAGAAACAGGACTGCTATAAAAAGTAATTTCAGTCAATAAGAGTGGTAAATTTTAATGTCATAGGTTTCAGGAACAATGTAGAAAGGAGCATCTCCAAGTTTAAACCAATCTTACTCTTAGTTAAATATATTTATGGGTACAAACATTAATAAAATGAGCATAGGTGACATGAAATACACAAGGACCTGGCTTACATGTCTTCAGTAACCCATGATTAATAAACTGTGGGTTGCTGAAAATCCCATGGGAATGCTGTTTCCCATGTGCCTATACTCTCCCACTGCAATAAACAATCCAAGGCTGTTCTGTCTCTAAGGTGTTTAAAATGTTGTTTGAACTCAGAACACTGAATTATTGGGGGGTCAGAACATCCCTGGACTTTTTATCATGGTGGGATTAGTCAGGAACCAGTATGTAGGCTCACATATGCTTGTTATGCTTGTGGAGTTAAACCATCCATGCATGGGAATCAGGTCAGTGAATAGCAAATTCTTACTCCCAAATCATAATTGCCACTGTTATAACTGCAAAACAACTATTTTTTACTCAAATGAACTCCAGTAGTAAAGAGTAATCATTGTTTTAGGCATTAGCAAGCTGTCAAGCCACTTTTTAAAAGTTTTCCACCATTTCCCTCCCTCAATTTTAACAGAAACACTAGTTCATGAAATAAAAAAAAAGAAGTTCTGTCTACAGAGGATGAAAAATATCCCAAACTTTGTAATTGAGTCACATCAGACATAAGTTGGCTTTGTCAGGACTTCATGCTTACACTAAACAGACCACAATGAATTTTCAGAAACAAGAAACTGTAAAAAACAACATTGGGAAGTTATTTTTTTCCTAAAGTATTAGTTGAAACACCTTGATAAACAATTTATCTTTTATCAAAAGGCAAGTTTTTGTGTATTTGCTTGGGGTTCATAAGTTTCATGTATAGCTAAACTACAAAAATAGGATGAACTACACGTCTTGATTTTCATTAGATTCTTAAGTAATGTACAAAGTTCTTCAAACCAGCTAAAATGGAAATTATCCTGTACCACTCACGATATTCCATTGTATTTCTCAAATGCATTGGTAAGCAGGAAGCGGCACCTTCATAGATTTTTCTTGTTATAACTGCATAGGAAAGCTTGTTATCTCTTGGAGATAATGTATATTTACAACCACCATGATTGCCATGGTACAGAATCCGTGGTTTAACTTTTATACAGCATGACCAATTATTTGAGAGTTGTAGTCTGCAGTCTCCATTCTTAGAATATATGGTATGATGCTGTCAATCTGAACATTTCCAATTAGTCCTGCAAAGAATAATTCTTCTGTAATAGCAGCGCTCATCAGTCTCAGAGCAGGCAATCTGAGAAGCAGCCTAGACAACCTGGAAGATAGATTTGACAAAAGGGTGCATAATACTACATGCAAAGAAATGCAACACTTTCTTCATTTTTCTATTATTAGATTAAAAGTATAGTTTCTCAGGTATAAATTAAGGGCACCATCCAAAATGATCTCTCTGAATTCAGCAAATTGTGATCACCCAGCTGAATGCTTAGAGTAGCACAGAGGCAAGTATTGCCTCCTTGCTTCTCTTGTCCTGCAAAAGATATACACAGCTGATTTCAGACATCTATGTCTTCTGCCCCTGCTCATAAGGAAAAGGAATGAGGTACTTCTGGGATTCCTTGTATTTTGAGAGCCAGTGTGGCGCACTGGAGATCTCAGAGCTCCAGCTTCTAGCCCCTGCTCAACCATGGAGCTCGCTGGGCCATCCTACCTGCTCAGCCCAACCTACCTCACAAAGAAATTACTGTGAGGATGAAATTGAGACGCTGAAGATTATGTGATCTGCCTTGAGTGCCTTGAAAGGAAAAAAGGCAGGATAATAAATAAATACCCTCATACCTTCTCTCCCAAGCATCCCAAAACATAACTCCTACATTGGTTCTGAAGTTGCACTTGTGACTTTGAAGGTGTGACATGTCTGAAAACAATTATGTCAGCTGCCTGAATAGAGGGGAGACAGTCCATGCTTGGAGCTCCATTTCCAATCCCAGAATGCTTTTTCTGACCCACGAGCATATAGACAATGCCTGGGGGCCAGAGGCTTGTGCCCTAAGTGTTCAATCAAGCAACTATTCTCATTTTCACTTACAAATTTACTAGGTACGTTATCCTATAATCCTCTATTCACTTACCAGGGAGTAAGCCCCATGGAACTCAACTGGTTTAAAAAGTGATGGATGGTTGTGCATGAAGAGGCTTGCTGCCTGCAACAGGCTTGCCTTTTCTGCTTTACGACACAACCTGCATTGGGCTCTGACATAAGTCATGAAGCATGATATCTGAAAGTATATCACTGAACCTGGAATACTCCTGTGAGTGATACTCAAGAATCTTACCAGCATGACATATCCTGGCAAAAAAATGCCTTAATAGGCTCTTGACCTGTGTTTTCATGAAGATCGTTCCAAGATGATAGTAGAATTCTTTTGTTTCTTCATAAACATAAGACTGTCCTTGATACTTTTGCCTCAGAGCAGTAGCTTATAAGATTTGGTAATGTGTTTAATTTGCATGCAATCCTAATGATTCTAACAAGACTACACACAGTGGGAAGTAACAATGAATTTTTCATTAAATCTGTATCCTCAGAATATTCCACTTTCCCTAATCAATATTTATTCTGAAAACAAATCATATTTGCATAAATTATACACACCTGTAGGTATCATCTGGATATACTTTTGTTACATAATCCTGGAATTCCATATATGCTTTTTCTTGGAATTTTTCAATTTGTACCACATTTTCTAAGCCTGGGTGATCTAAAATAAATCTAAAGTTAGATCTGCTTCAAATAAGAGGCACATAAGTTGGCAACAAACACATAACTAGCCATATATTTTCTTCTCTTATCTGAACATTGCCAGGGAGATCCTCTCAGAATACCTCTGGAGTGTTTTAAATCAGCCTTCGCTAACCTGATACCCTACAGATGTTTAAGGCTAAAACTCCCAGAATTCAGTCCATTTGCCATGTTGGCTGGGGCTGGTGGAAATCAGTACAAACAATAGTTGAAGCTTCTGTAACATCTTCAAAGGTAATTCCACTTAAATCTACGTATCAGTACTTATCTCAAATATTACAAAATCATTATAAGAGCCCATCTTTCATAAAAGATTGTACAATAAATTGAGCTTGTAAAAGTATATCTGACCACTACTGCCACTTGTTTATCAATGAGAAAGACAGGTTGCTTAACTGTAGCAGTAGTTCTTTGAACAGTTACCTGTGCATTCACATATATAGGTTCAGCACCTACCTAGAACCTTCTATAGTTGATGAATTTTTAGTAAAATAATCTCCCCATCCCAATGTGCTCATCCTTGAGACTGAAAAAAAACTGTCTTGGAACAGAGAGAAACTTTGGTATCAACGTAGAAACTGAAATGAGCACACTGGGTAGGTTGTGTAAATTTATTTATTTATTTATTTATTTATTTATTAAAACATTTTTATGCCGCCCCATTCGCCGAAGCCTCGGGGCGGCTTACAACATAGATAAAACAAGTTAAAATCCATATAAAATAATCTTAATTAAAACTCACATTATAAAATAAGCCGCCCTGGCCAGATAAAATTCAATTGTATTTAGCATTTAAAATGTTGCTTAAATAAAAAGGTCTTAGCCTGGCGCCGAAAAACAAATAACGACGGCGCCAGGCGGACCTCTCTGGGGAGCGCATTCCATAACTTAGGCGCCACCGCTGAGAAAGCCCTTCTCCGAGTAACCACCCTCCTAATTTCTCTCACGGAGGGCTCCCGGAGAAGGGCCTCTCCCGCCGATCTCAGGGGGCGACTGGGCAAATAAATGCACAAATGTCCACTCAAACTACAGTTAACAGGTAAGCAACTTGTCTCTTTAGTCTCTTCTTCGTGATCTCTGTGCATCACACATGTGGATGAGTAGTTAAATGACTTACTGGAAGTGTGGTCAGTGCTCTGTTGTTGAATAGCCAGTAAGACCAAAGGAGCAGGCTGCTCAAGCATGGACATCCAGCCTGAAATGACTGATGAAAGCAGATGGCTTTGGCCAAGTGAGTATTCGGCACAATTCTGAAAGTGGAACAACTTTGCTAAGCACCAACAACCTAACTAGCAGCTTTATTGGTCAGTTTGATGACCTTCAAAACCCAGGAGAACATCTGAGTTGAAACTGTTTATTCTCGTCATTTATGCCTACAGTAAAGGAACAGGTAAGATGACCTGGAGATCTTCTCAGTCTAGGACTTGAAGAAAACCAGAATATATGGGACATCCAAGGTGTGACCAGTAGGTTTAACATGAGTTGAAAGTGGAGGAAATAATGCTGGCAAAACAATGCCATGATTTAGATGGAAGTTAGGGACCATTCCATACAATGAGCCAGACCAAGACAGCACTACTTTATCAGGATGGAACACAGGATAAGGTAAATCATTGCACACTCGACCTATGTACCAATGTGATTGCCACAAGCAATCAAGGAAAGCAGATTTCTAAGAGCAGGCAGAGATCCACCATAGCCACAATAGTTTATAGTCAGAGTCTACAGAATGAGAAACAGACTCCATGCTTGTACCAGTCGCTGAACACTAATGGCTTGTTTTAATGGAGATATGGAAGTGAGTGTCTTTCAAATCTATAGACACAAACCACCCTGCTATTTGAAGAATGGAAGACAGTGGAAGTACTCAGAGGTGATGTACGAATATAAAGTTTCAGAATTGATCAAAGTTCAGAATTGAAATGAAAGTTCTCTCAAAGTTTCAGAACTGATCAAAGGCCTCCATCACTTCTCAAAACAGTGAAATGGTGTGGGTAGAACCTGTTGTGAAGTTATTTGAGAAGTTATTGCTTCACAATCTGCTATATTGCTTCCTTCACTAGAGAGCTATCCTGCTGTTAACACATTAGGTACTGTGGTCCTAACACTGCTTGTTGAAGATTGGTCATCATGATTGATTCTGTAATTCTGGATAATGGAAAGCCAAAGAACTGGAAGTTCTCTGTTTCCAAGTCTGAACACAGAGCAAGAGAAGAATGCCAAAGATAGGGCATCAAGCAGAGAATCAGACAAGAGAGCAAGAATGAATCTGGGGAAACAATTAAATGTTGGTGTTTCGCTCTTGCTTCCTAGGAGTGTTTCAGAATTTAAAAGATTGTCAATGTCTTGAGGCTTGTGCCAGAGACTAATGAAGAACTTTCCTTGCAAGTCCATGGAACAGCTGCCTAAACCATGCTGATATGAAGTGCTCTGAGGACCAGTGCCCATTTATCTTGTTGTGTTTTTGGTCTTCTCAATTGAGCTCATGGCCTTGTTTTCCTAGTGTTAAGCAAACATTTCCCACGGAGTATAAGCAAGGTTTCTGTGACTAGCCAGCAAACCTAACCAGGCATGGCTATGCAAAGTATTACAGTTAGCCATGTGCTTGGAAGTGTTTATTTGCTTGAGAGAAAGGCACTTCACCTCACTGGAAAATTCAAGGCAGTTTTCTTTTATCCTTGGGGAGATGGTCAAAAAGTGATCTTATCTTTTCCCATAACTAACCTGGCCTGATCATTAGCTATTCTTAACCCCAATGGACAACTAAATATGATGTCCCAGCAATTCTAAACTTCTTCTCTCTTTTGGGGATTTTCCTTGTGGTGCTTCAACAATGACAGAATTTGGAGTGGGATACCAGAACAAATTCCTCACTTCTGTTTCTTGTACATTTGTTCAAGGTGCTTCAGAGGGTAAAATGGAAGATGATGCCTTCTATGGCAGCTGAATCATTTGTAACTAGTCAGAAGGCATGAGAATTGTTACCAGTGTAGAGATTTTTTTTACCATTGTTAGTTCACTAAACCTAGAGACTGCACCAAATGACACATTGGCTCCAAAAAAGAAGCTTTATCCTCAGATAGTGGAGGAAAGGACTGACTACCTTGGTGATGAAATAGACAACATCAGTGAAGAACAGGGCCCTAAGTCTGAATCTTCCAGGACTTACCATGGAGGAACTCCATCTAACTGATCATGCTGTGACCTGACATGTTCCAAAGGGACAATCTGTCCCATTGTGAACTGTACTTGTTCATTTGGAATAGGAACTGAAATAAGCGAAATCAGAATACCCTGCCCCCCACTGAGATTGTAGATAAGGCCTATGGCAAAAAGGTGACTGGCTTTTGTAGTGGAGGGTCCAGAGAAACTTCTCAAATCTTGCCTTCCAACATCATGGTCACTAACTTCCACTGGGTATGTGCCTTATTTCAGATTTGACCAAAATCAGTAAATGAAGCAACAATATGGACCTAGTATCATAGTTCATGCCACAGGCGTAGATTGCATTTGTACCAAAGCTACTGGTGTCAAACCTGGGGCTGCTGGTTCTGTTTGGAATTGTTTATGAGTTCTCACCCTTTCAGTTAAGACTGTTTTAGCCACAGAATTGTTCATCAATCATTGGAAGATCAGTAAAAATGCCTGTAGAGGTGTCTGACAGTGAAAGATATCTTGATCCAGGAGCCTCCAAAGCATTCTTTTTATGTTCCAGTTGGGGCAGGGAGAGTCCTTCCATACCTTGGGCATTTTTGTCAATGTGCTGCCTTTTGCTGGCAGAGGTCCACTGCCATCAAGGCCTGGTCCCACAATATATTGTGAAGCCTGGCAAATCAGTTGTACCAGATCTGCTTAGTGAAAGCTTGACAAAAAGAGCAAGTATCCACCTTGTGAACTTCTCTTAAACAGAGGAGGCAATGTGATTTCCCATCTGTTGCAGAATGTTTAATGGGCAATGGGGACATTTCTGAAGGTTTGAAGAGCTATATGCCTGCAGGTGATTGCAGAGATTGGAAAAAACATACACACACATCTTGAGGGGTGGGGGACATAGAGAAAAGGCCACAGACAGAAAAGGAAAAAATAATGAAGGCCTCCACATATTATACTTTTCCATCTGAAAGAAGTGAACAGTAGAAGATTCTCTACAAGGACTCAGGGAACATAAGCACTGGGACAGTGAGTAAGAGTTACCACCAAAAATTTTTCAACTCTAGAGTTCCCAACTGAGGCTTTGCACAGATGGAGGGTGCCTATGTGTGATGCAGAGACCATGAAGAAGAGAGATTTTGAATGCACTTCAAACCTGCTAAGATAAGCTGATTGCCATTACCTCTTCTATCAAAGGTAACATTCATTCCTCTAGACATTTCAGATTACCCATCAGCACCATGTTCAACCTGTCTACATTCAGTATCAGTCTGTTTCATTTCATTTACAGGCACTAGAGTAGAATTTCTTTAAGAATAAACATCTTTCAACATAATAGTAGAAACCACTAAAAACAAGCACTTGATATAGAAAGTCAACTCTGCATGATAACATGTAAGATAGAGGTAAGTAGAACAGATTTTCTCTCATACCGACTGTTAAAACAAGTCTAAAGGGTTTTTAGTCTCATGTTTTTTACATACCAGGACTGAAGAGGACTATTGCTTTCAAATAAGCATATTCATAACCATCAAGGCAAAGCTTCACCATACTGTTACAGAATTCCTGCAGTTTGAAGATGTGTTCCATCACTAGCTTTCCTCTGTCTGCTGAGAGCTTATCTAAGTTAATGTAAAACAATACAAATTCAATGGGTGTTTTCTTATTTTCGATATGGGAAAAGACAATTTTAAGTTGAAGCAATTTTATATCAAGATGCCCATGGATACACCTAATTAATTGTGTTTTTAGAAGTGTTGGTTTAACAGTACTTAGATGTTAGAACCGTTGGTTTAACAGTACTTAGATGTCTGGCAATTGCCTATTAGCAGAACTAACATACTCCAACAGAATCTAACGTACTACTACTTTACAGTGATGTTAAAATATCTTTGTCTGAGAAAGTTGAAAATAACAGTGTTATCCAAGAAGTAACATGACAACTAATTACACTAGCCCTCTTCTCTGGAGTTGCCAGTCTTTGTTCCTATACTTTGCATGGAGAATTCAGTCAACACTGTTGCAAAATCACTGCATTGCAGTGTTTGTATTGTTGCCATCCTATGTTTTATTCAGATCTATTTGTGTCCTTTTTTCTTTTTGCAATGAAACACAATTGCAGCACCAATCTTTCCAGTGTGGACCAACAAAGGTTATTAATCTTTGCAAATGCTGCCCCATATTGCTTACTGTTCAGCCCAGCAGAGGGATTAGTGATCAACTTTCCCTTCATTAGTCAGCTTCTGTTGACTTTGTTTCTTCCTGTTTAAAAATTAGCATTGAAAAGACCAATTCTCTCCTTCAGTTATAACTGTAAGACATACCTATCAAGTCACTGACTGGGTTCACATGATACGACAACTTAGTGTAGGTTGTTACCCACAACAGCTTGTTCTGCTGTGCAAAATTGGACAAGTCTGGGGGTAACTAGCCACCCTAACAATCAATGGGTTGGTTCTAGAGGTTTCTGTACCACAATGGGTGGTTGTTATCATTTATTTCATAACTATACCAACCAATAGCTGAAGTTCTCTAGGGTGTTCACAACAGAACATGACCATACTACAATAAACACAATTTTAAAAAATACAAACTTAAGAACAATTTAACGGCTATAACACTAGTTGATATAGACTAAAGCTGTGAAAGACACCTGACATGGGTGCCCCCAACAGGCTACTATATATTCTTGCATGTTTTTAAATGCCTAATACTGAGCTGTCTTAACTTGGTGCCAAAGGTGACAGAGTTGGTACCAGGAGCGCTTCAGTGAGAAGACCATTTCATAATTGAAGGACCACCACTAAGAAGGCCCTCTCAGTTGTTGCCACTTTTTGAGCCCCCCCCCCCCCCCCCCCTTCAGGAAAGACTCAGATGTTGACTGCAGTATCTGGGTAGGCTGCAGCTGGGAGGAGCGCTCTTGCTGTAATCTAACCTGGACCTCACTAGAGTGTAGATGGCTGAGTTGTACAAACAGGGCTTATCCCCTGAAGTGTAGCAAAATGGCAAGGGAGCTGATCAGGCACCCTGCTTCAAAGGTGATTGCTGGAGCAGAGGAAGGGCGCCTACTGATTTCAGACAAAGAGTGGGAATCGGTAGGGCAGCACTATGGAAAGAAGCAGTGCTGCTTAGCTGATCTTCAACATTTCTCATACCATATATACCAATGTATAAGGCAACCCTTGAAACTGGATATAGCGAGGCAAAAATTAGGCGAATAAATTGTCTTATACACCAGGTGAAATTTTTTCATCATATTATATTCATTGTTTTAAAAAGGAATAGATAAGAAAGACAATTGTATTTACAAGCACATTTTTATTAATAATTTTAAAAAACTGATACCACAATGTGTTTTCTGGCTTAAGGTGATACAGGTAGCCATGTAACAAACCATTGTTTCTGTTTGTGGTCTCTAAAAACCAAATGTATCATCCTGAAATACCACAACAGAGCAACAATGGTGAAGAGACACTGTAACCTGTTGTGTTGTGTAACCACCTCTCCCCTTGTGCACACTAAAATATTTTTTTTTTAAATCTGCCAGCTACCTAGAGCATCTCCAAAATTCTGCTTGGAAACTGTGAAGGGACTGTCGGGACCTGTCAAAATGGGCATTATGAAAGGCTGCAGTTAAGCTAGCTTTCATGGTCTCCAGGAAAAAGGATAATATTGTGGTAAATATTGTGCTAAACTGAAAAAGCTCACAATTGTGATAGGGAGAAGGAAGAGATGTCCACTGGAACACCTGCAGGAGGACCAAGGAAATGAACAACCTATGAAAAGCCTGACCACTCTCAAACCGACCATGGTGTTCTTACAACAAGAAACCCATTTGGCTTATTTCCAGAGTGGGCTGGCATGACATGCAAATATGCTCAGTATTTTATCAGTGCACATAGCACTTGACAGACTGTCAATATTTTTTTAAAGTCAGGTTGATGCCTCTAAGTGCTTTTGAATTAAATCTGAATAGGAGAGGAAACAAATAACAGGAAAGCCAGCAGTGACCAGAATGAATATGAACAAGTATAACTGCAGGTAGCACAATAGCAAACAATAAAAGTTACAAACCAAATTACTAAACCCATTCATATTCATACTCAGACCTGTAAGGATGTATCTTACCTTGTTGTAAACTATTATGGAGATGATTAACAAATGCTGTTAATATAGTTGCTACATTCATTACTTGTGAACACTGTGCAAGGCCAAGTGTAAAAAGTTCATTCCAACAGGCTTTCACCAATGATATGCTGTTATCCTGCCTATTAAAAAGGCAAAGAATTCTCTCAAAGAACAATTTACGTGAATTCAATATAATACATTATGTATATTCAGAACTATTCAGTAGATCTAACACAAAGACAAGGGGCAATTCACGTAACACAAGGGACAAGTGGGAAAGAGCTGGAGTGCCCCCTCCTATGTACCCACCATTTTAGCTTTTAATCAGTAATCCACGAGTGGCCTGTTTGTTGGTTCCTTAGCATGTTTCCAGAAGTGGATTACTGGGTTGGTTAGTGGCTATAAAACCCACAGTTAACCCAGCACTATACTATGGTTAAAGTCTCTCTCACTATGAAATTTATGTTCCTGACACACCTCACATTGAATGTGTGCTTACATTCATGTTTCCTAACAACAGAATGGATCCAAGGTACAGATTCATAATTGGAACATTTAACATAAATGCCATTCTTGGACCTGTTGATATTTTTGTCTAACTCTTTGAGCTCTGAATGTTTGGACTGGAATCTGGAATTCCAAATTTGTAAATAAAGGCACAATAATACAGCTAGAGTATTTTTTCAGCACTGTATTTTGAAAGGGGATAAATGACTGTGCCCAATTGTGTCCAAAATGCCAAAAAATGAAAAAGCAGCAATTCTGGAATGCTCTAGTCCAAATACAGTCTGCTAGCTTGTTAGTGTTCCTTATCATTCTAATGGAAGCTGGGCAGCAGGCTTGCAAATGGAGGATAATAAGGACTGTTAAGATATGGTGCTTACACAGTGCCCCCCTTACTTGCAGCTTTCAGTTCTATTAGGAGATTGATCCAACAGAAAAAACTGACAGATGCACATAAAACTAGGAAGGATCACTGAAAGAACATGAGCTAAACTGAGTGTAGGAGCTGTGACTGGACTGCCAAACTGTGTCCATACTGCATTACATTTGCCCCAAGGACACATCTAATTTTTCATACAAGTAGGGCAATGGTCACACTGCAGAAATAAGAACAATGGTGACGTGGAGATTTATTACATTTCCACTATTATGATCTGTTGCATGTTCTCAAGAGGCTAATCTTGTGTAGAGTTGGGAATGCGTTTTCACCTAGGTCAGACTGACAGTAACAACAACAACAATAATTTTTAAAAAATGACACAGAGTCATCTCAATTCATTTATCCTGTATGCAGCTTTCCATAATGAATTTGCCCTGTATTTGTGAAAAACTGAATTCTAGGCTGAAATGATCTATAGGGTAGAGAGATAAATGGACAATCCTGCCTTATGGCAGGTTACTAAAACAGATGATCTTCCAGTCCCTTCCTTCTGCAAGATTCTTATAAGGGCTTTTCCAGCTGTCAGCTTTTCCCGGCAAAATACATAAACCTTTAAGCAATACAGGAAGCACCTCACAGAAGAGGGACCTGTATAGGTTAATAAATAACACTGATTTTGCACTACAGTTATGTTTTTCTTTTTCCCATACCAAATGATCATTGTAAACAGTGATCAGCACAGAGATCAACCCAGTTGTGAGTATCTGATATGGTAGTCCCTCCCACACAAAAATGCAGTAAGGAAGGAGGCATGTTCACCAGTGCTTTACTAAGAGGAAGACAAGTAATGTTAGGAAATGCATTAAGCTTTTGGATCTCTTGGACCCTAAATCTAACCCTTGAACTATAAATAGATATAAACACATATATAAACATGATTCAATTGAACCAAAAATTCAAGCTCAATTTTTTGTTTTAAAAGTTAAAATGACACATTATAAATTTTGTTCAATATAAAGGATATATCTATGGCAAATAAAATATTCTGAAATCTTGGTTATATTAAATAATTTTTTCAATACGTACCCTAGAGCTTGAAAGGAAGGAATAGAACGTGCCCAGTGCATAGACAGGAAAAGCAATCTGGAGGCCGATTCACAAATGTAATGGACATTCAGGTATTCAGGCATTGGAGAAGGCATTGTGAGCTGTCACAAAAAAGTGTGTGAGAGAGCATATGGTGTAGAAAGAGAGATTTGTAATTTTTCAAAAAATGCAGTTATCAGCAATATAGTAATAAACACTGCAAAGATGATGATTATAAAATACTATACTAGAAACCCTAATGATACATCAGTATTCTCTACAGTTTGCCTTAGACAAATGAATGATTTTTATAATGAGATAAAATGGAATGTAAATTGAAATGTAAATTCAATTCCTTCAATAAAAAAAATATGGCCAGTAGGGTTTGGAAACAGCAAAGATAAGGAAGTTTCAATACAGTCCTTCTAAATATTTTAGAAAAAAAGCCGTACGAGTACGTTGGTCATTTCTTTAAGTTTGAAACAGTGTGAAGATATTTAAAACCGAAGAACAACCCTCTTCATTCTGAGAATGACCAAGAAGTTCCCTTTAGGCATATTCTTTAGCCACATTACTTGGTTTACACAGGGAACTTTCCCTGAACTCCCTGCTTTCTTGTTTATCTTTCTCACTCTGCAAACTCAAAGCTTCTTTCTCCTCAGCAATCAGTTCCACAGCACAGCTGTTTCTCCCAGCAATCTTCTATACCCAGCCCTGTGTTCTTTCAGATCCTTGAGCTTCAAGAAATATTCAGGCTTTGCAATGTTTTGTTACGTAAATGGATCTTTCTTCACCCTCCAGTATTAACAAAAACAGTGAACTACAATAGTAACTTCTGGCTCATGATGTGCACACTCTTAGCCTTATAGCAACCAAGTATGAAACAGTGCATCACAGTAATGTGTGTCAACTTAATCAGAAAGCTTCTCTGACTATATTTGTACAATATATGTGGGAGGCACGTTAGTGCTTTCCAGTGTTGCAAGATGAGTTGTCTACCCACAACAGCCCTTCAACTTCACTGTTGTTTTTAAGATGTGATTTGTTATGCATTAATAATGACCAGCAATAAATTCTTCTAGCGTTATTCTTTAAAGATTGATATAAATGAACTTTTAAAACAATATCTACAGAAGTCAAAGTTTATGGTTATTAATAAATTTATATTTTAAGTACCCTGAAAGCCACATGAGCATCACCAAGAAGTGGACCCTCTATTTCAACAATATTCACACTTGCTTCTTCACCAACCAAACGTGCACTGGCTTCCATGCTTTCCGAAGAGCTCTGACATGATGCACTTTCGCTTGGGTTTAATGCTTTGGCAAGAGTGTCAAATGCCCTATAAATAATATATTGACATGTAAAATCAAGCAAGTTGGAAAGGCAAGCAAAGAAGAGCAAAGTATTGTTCAACTACTATGGTGCTCATACTTTCCCACTTTGCAACAACAGTGCACCAAAATGCAATCTAAACTAAATGTAGGTAGGGAAAAACGAGAATAACAGATTTATATTCTATTAATTAAAAGCTTTTATATCCCATCCTTCACTGAAAGTTTCAGGATGGTAACCATATATATGGTACCAAGGAATCTTTTATCCCAAAAAATGAGCAATATTGCTTCCTAGTATGATTCTTAAAGCAAGTTGTTTTAAGGACTGGCTTTTGTTTGTTTTTAGCATGAAGTATTGCAAGCCATGGGTCAAAGATAGCACTTTGATGCTATAGCAAAGATAGCATTAGGATGCTGATAATTCACATTATCCACTACACTAACCTCTCAGGAATCATTGGCAGAAATGGGGGTAGTGACATACGCCCACAGTCTGCTCTGTTAGTAAGCTTTAGAAAAGGAAATGAGCATTACCCCTTAGTAAGCTTTAGAAAGGGAAATGAGCATTACCTTTATGTGTTAAATACTTTCTCTGAAGAAGTTCTAATAATTTATTCCAAGTAATAACCACATGAAGCTATGTGTACTAAAATCTTAAAACAACTTCAAACCATAGTTTAAGATTCTGGCTTGTTCCAATCCTAGTAACCATCATTTTCCTAATTCAGATTAACTGGAAACTATGGGTAATTAACTCAGGAAATAGTGAATCATAGTACATGAAAGCTTATGCATATTTCTGTTTAGTAAGTCAAGATAGGTATGCCTGGACCTAATATTAGAGTTAGACTCCACTCACTTATATGTCTGAACTAAGCAGCTTAACAAAACTGTACACAATGTGCAGTTCCTCTTGTCATTTTAATAGCTGCTGCTGCTAGAGACCTTGGGGGTGGGTGATTTTCAGATCTAGGAATTAGGTTCTTTGCCTGTTGCAGATGGTGTTGCTCTCTCTCTCTGAAGGAGCAGGTATGTACTTTGGGGTTGCTCTTAGATTCATCTTTGTCACTGAAGGTCCAGGTAATTTCAGTGGATCAGAGTGCCCATTACTAACTATGCCTATTCTTGGATAGAGAGAGATTACCCACAGTGAACCTTACATTAGTAACTTTATGATTAGAGTACTATAATGCTCTCTATGGGCTACCTGTTTTGAAACCTGCCACTGGTGCACAATGCAGCAGCTAGGGTGGTCAAAGAAACACAGGTATTTTCACAGAACACCTGTGCTGAAAGAACTGTATGGCTGCTTGTTCACAATGAAGCTATGTTCAAGGTTATGTTGTAGACTTACAAAGCCCCAAAGAACTTGGGATCAGGATACTTAGCATAAGTCCTTCGCCTCTGTTTATTCAACTTACTATTAACAACCTCAAAGGAGGCCTTGTTAGTTATTTCATGACCAACAGAATGCCACTATGTAATATTCTGAAGGTGTGCTTTCTTACTGGTAGTTCTTACTCTCTAGAAAACTCTCCCCCATACAGAAAAGGTGTTATACTTCAAACATCTCCTGAAAATATACCTGTTCACCCAGGTATCTGGTCTATAAACAATTATGATTACACATATGCTGTTCCATCTTACTGCTTTTTGTGTTCTTCTGTTATATTATTATAGTTTTTAAATTGTTATTTAAATACTTAAATATTGCCTTGAAATGTGATTTTAGGTCAAATGCTATCAAGCCTTACCTTGTAACATCAGTACTTGCATGCTCTTCTTGCTGGAGTTCAGACAATGATGTGTCTCCATTGCTTAAGCTTTCTATCAGGGACAGCTCAGCACTACTTTGAGTCATATCTTTGGATTTACTCAGACTTGCTAATGATGTTACCACATTTGCTAAAGTACTTAAATCTCCTTGACATGCTTCAACCTAAAGAAAAAAGGATCAGGCAATTAATCCTACAATGGGACCCATCCTATGATACAGTTTGAAAGATACCTTAATAGCAAACACAGTATTGGAAGAATTGAAACTGGTTATAAAGGTAAGCTTTTATTCGTAAGTCCTTTAGTTGGTATCTTGGTTCATATATTATTATTATTATTATTATTATTATTATTATTATTATTATTATTATAACATTTCTATGCCGCCCCTTGCCGAAACCTCGGGGCGGACATTTTTTCACATAGTGAACATATTTGCCATAAACATCTACAATTTTGTTCTATTCCTTCATAATTATTCTTTAAATTATTTTCCTCAATGCTAGCTAATTATCTCTACAATTTATTAATTACTGGTCTTCCAGGTGCCTGGATAAATGCACAGGAAGCTGTAACACCAATAACTGCCAATAACTTACAAAAACAAATTAAGCATTCTACCCTCGTTTTCTACAAACCCTGATTGATGAATTATTTCAACTATTTTGAAGACATTTCTGAAAACTAAACAGTGATAGTGCATCAGAATATGATATAGATGAGAGGAAAATCAAGAGATACATTAGTATTTAAATTAACACCAGCAGCTAAGTACTTGCAGTAAATGGTATGCAGCTGACCAGTAATCCCTTTCTTTGCAGGAGGAATAATCTTAATGATTGATCTTACAGAAGCCCATGTCTACTGCTTTTAAATGTTCATTTAAATGGCCAAAAGCAAAGATCATAAAAGCGTATATATATATATATATATGAGAGTTTAAACACAGATTTTCCAATCGTGGAGAAAATGCTCTGTTTCAACACCAACAAGGTATCCATGCACAAGTGCAAAACTTTTCTTCCTCTCTACAGTTTATTTCTACATAGCGTATCTCCCATGGGTGATAATCTCTTCAGCCAAGTTCTGATGCACCCTTGGCAGAGGAAAAACTGCTTTGGTAGTGGCTGGGTGGGTATTTTCTCTTACCAATCCACCCTTTGTTTTTAAAAATCAAACACACTCCACACCACAACTTGTTTTCTATGTGACTGGAGCAGATCTGTTTTGAATCTCATAGTCAACCACCATCATTATCTTGACCCCTTGTCACACTTTGCATGGTAGAAAAAACATGAATATCAAGCAATATTGTTCAGTCAGCAACAGTCATGTTGATTCCACAAGAGGAGCCCAAACAAGCTATCCAAACATGACAAGTAGTGAAGGTGCCCGAGACGAAGAGAAAGCAAAGGCCAAACTGTCAAGAGTGAAGATAAGCCCTGGTGGCAGTGCATAGGAGGTGCTTTGTTACTGCCATAAATGTTACTAACACAAAAAGAAATTATAAGAGCAAGGGAAATAAGCAGCCAACCACTGTGGAGTAGAACAAATATACAAGCAAATTAAACATTTTAAAGCTAAGAAGGGCCTTGAATTTGAAGATTCCAGCTTGCTTGAAGAATTTCTACCAAAGACTGACTTGGAGCTGGCCCTCCTGACAACTAGACAGATGCTTCAACTTCACTGCCAAAGCTGCAACTCATAGCTATATCCTATTTCCAAACCCAGTAGCCTGAATGTGGACAAATGAAGATGGAAATTGGAATGGGTGTTAGGCAAAAAAAAAAGTCTTTACTGATGTCCATACCACAATGAAAAAGGAGGATCAAGTAGCATCTGTAGAAAGCCACCCAGCATCCCTCAAACACAACAGCTATACCAATGTTATTAATCATAATGCATTTTGAGAATCCTCTCTTTGTCAGTCAACTTAAACTTATCATACAAGAGTCTTTAAAAACTAAATTATGTATTTTAAGAAAAATGTGCAAGTATATAAAATTAAAAACAAAACAATTATAAAATATTACAAACTAACAAGAAAATGATGTTTGAATTGTCAGAAATCAAATCAAAACTCAAATCTTATCTGATTTCTTCAAAAGTTTCTAAATAATGCTTAGAGTTCCCAGGGTTTGGCCAACTATAACATTCCACTATACAAATCATATACTAGTGGAAACATGTATTGTGCTTGTGCAACCACCCACACATTATGCTTACACAACCACTTGTGCAACTGCACAAGTATAATGAACAATTATACTTGTGGAGCAGAAAAATTCCATGAAGCTGTTCTAATGTCATCTGAATTTGCAGAATGACGTTGTTAGATAATGCCACTTGCTGCTAACTCATTCACAGCAGGCTAAGTCTAACTGACTTCCCAAAGTATTTGGAAATATTTTGCTTAGCCACCTATATTCTGCTAAGTAAATTACATGTCTTATGCTCACCTGTTAGATAATTACTTAAAGTACTTTCCCTAATACTTAGTACTTTAAGAAAATTTATTTTGGGAAACCAAACCAAAAATCAAGCTCAGATCAATATCTTGTAAGAATTCATGTTCTAAGATGCTACAGTTGTTCCACAAAAATCCCTCCTTGGTCTCTCATATCACAAACATTTTCTTTGTTATAGCAGCTTGTCCAATAGCACTGAATCTGCTGTCTCCTGCTTTTATTTACTTTTTAAAAACCATTTCACCAAAGCTTCAAGATTTTTGAAAAATTCAAGGAAGGTTTGTGACAGCTAAAACATTAGTTTCTTGATCATTATTTTAAAAGAGCAGTTTTTATAATTGTTCATCATTGGTATGCTTTTAATTTCTAATTAAAGAAAGAAAATTTAAGAGAGCCAGTGTGATGCAGTAGTTCAAAGCATAGGTCTGGGGTTCAGGCGATCTGGGTTCCAGTTCCCACTCAGCCATGGAGCCAACTGGGTGACTTTGGCCCCAGTAACAGACTCTCAGCCCAACCTAGCTCACAGCATTGTTGTCATGGAGCTAAGATTAAGAACAGCAGGAAGGCCATTTGCTGGCCTCTGATCCTTCCCTCAGCAAATGAAAGTAGCCCGAACACAAGAAATTCAAGCAAACATACTTTTTTTAAAGCAAACAAATGGCATTCATTTTAAAGAAAAGTATGTAACAATTTTCCTCACCTGTGGCTCCTCAGTCACTGCAGCAGCCAGCCCACAGATCTGCCAACAAACTCCCCTCTAATTAAAGTTCTGATTGACTTTAACTAGTGATTCAGCCAGACCTAGCAAACAGTTTAACATTAGTTTAACTGTGCTGCTACAAGCCAACCATCCCAGCACCATTTAGAAAAAAATGAGGAATCCTCTTTGATTGGTTGCTGAATGCTATCCTTTTCAGAATACCACTTCCTTAAAAAGTGGCTGATTGACAGCAGAGCATGCCCTCTAGAAAGGCTGGAATGGCTACCACCATAATACTATAGTACTATTTGATTTTGGGGAACAGGGCTCTGAATAGCCCACCCTCTTCAGTAGTACCACCCCAATAAAGAGAAGGATCTCAAAACACATTGGGATTTGTAAAACTGGTATAACTGTCTTTTTCATCTTCTAATGACCCTGGCACAGAAGACAACACATAGGCATTAACCTGAGCTTGCCAGGATGTAGACTCAAGGGAAAAGAATATCAAGTTGTGTTCTTCTCCCAAATACTAAACATTTCCCTGGGTAAGAAGAGCAAAGACAGAAACATCAAATTGAACCAAACTCTATCTTGGATTAAACATTCCCATCCAAATTTATTGTGATTTCTGGTGAACAGGGCTGAAAGGCCTTGTCTCTGGAATGTCACTGGAAATAATTATTGGATCTGTGCATGCATGAAATGACTGGAGTCATTCCAGTGCAGACATTTCAAGGGTGGGCAGCACCATTTAGGGTGAACAGGGTCAGGAAAGTATTAATAAAAGTTCCCTTTTTAGAAATGTAATATCACCCACAAGCTGCTCAGGATGAGACCACAGCTTGAAGAGGTTTCTGGAAGTTTATTTAGCAGCAATCCCCTTACCTATAGAGGAGTGGGGGAAAGGAATGGAAAGCCAGGATGAAATGTGAAAGTGGGGAGGGGGATATTCTCTTCCTGCCTTGGCTGTTTATCATAAAGATCTGCCAATGTTTTTCCTGTGCATCTTTTTTACTTAAAACCCAAATGTGAAAAAGAAGCTGTATAAAGAACATATTTTGTAAGACTCCTTAAATATTTCAAACAAGTTTGAATGATACAAACATTGAAACAGAAGAAACATGCATTGACTATCATGTCTACTTAATAAATGAGTTACTTCATCATATACCTTATCTGCAGTCATCAAAACTGCAGGCTCATTCTTTATACCAGACTGATGAATATTCACAAACATTCCAGACTCCAACATTCCTGTTGATCTGAAATAAAAGGGCACAAGTGTTTGCTTATGGCCATAAGAAATGCCACAGAGCTATCTAACCCAGAGTAGTATTTGTGTACCTTGCTGTTTCACTATCTGTAACAAAAGTTGGAGTTGCTGTAAGTGGACTCCGCAAATCTTTTCGGATATAAATCTTTTCTGTAGAAGCTGCACAATTTGAAGACTTTTCTCGAGATACTTCAACTGGTTTCCTTTCACACTGAACAGCTACAAAAGAGTGTGAAGCTATCAGTATCAATCCAACATTCAAATCCAAATAAATTGCAAATTACAAACTAATTTTAGTTACTAACATCAACTTTAGAGTTTAACTTCTAATAACAAACCTAACAAATTTGTTTTCTGGAAACTGCAAGCAATACTAATGATCTTTTAAACATAGTTAAGAGACAGAAACAGAATAGTACATTCCCTCTCAATTATTTGTTTTTCTCCTATATATGAACACTCTATTGAAGTAGCCTTAACATGATGGTTTGATTTACACCAAACTATGAATATGGTCGGCAGAAGGAATTCATGGGAGAAGGACCTGGGGCAGGGAGGTCTTAATCCCAAAGGTCATTTCCAGTTACTCTCCATAGCTAAGACTCGGACATTTCTATTAGTCAATAGTAAACAAGTGTTCAACTAGTTTATATAGAGAAGACTAGTTTTGCAGATGACAACAGTCCATTTCCATAGGAATTTGTTTAGAATCTGACAGCTATGTTCAAATGTTCTACTTTCAGGGAATCCTTTTCATAGTTTGTATGCCAAACTATGTATTTTCTACTTTGCAGTTCCTTATGTACAAGCATCCTTGTATTTTGTAGAAGATCCTCAAAGACCTGAGGGTGCATATTGAGTCTTTATGACCTATGCGTCCACAAAAATGTGTATATTTTTGTAGATAGCATACCCCAAAAGGTCTATCCAGCATGCCATAGAGCTTATGAGGTGCTGGCTGGATGCTTTGGTCTCACTATCCACCCATGAAGATGGAGAACACGATCTAGAACACACTGAGTACTTGTTGTAGGACAATGGTGGTGGATGGTAGGCAAACTGTCTTTCAAGAGATTCGTAATTGTTTACCATTGCCAACCTTCTAATTATGGAACACTGGTGAGCTTCCAAGAAATATGGAATATGGCTTAAATGCCACTAAAGTAATATTCTGATTTTTGTCTATTTATTTTATTACCAAAAAATCTGAAAGAAAGATGTTTTACACCACTGTTCAACATATTTAGAATTTTGTTTTTGGGTTCCTGAGTCAGAACAAAAGAGAAAACTTGTGAAACCTAGGTCAGAACATCTTTCAGAAGCAATGCAATACTTTTTATGTCTTGATATGCTCTTAATGTTATTCTCTTCCTTGAAGACGCTTCCATACAACAATGTCATACCTAAGCCACCAGAACAAGTGCTCACTTCAGGAGTTTGAACCCTTTCAGAATTGCTCCTAAAGTTGCTCCTAATTTAGACGTAACACTGAGGACTATAAAGAATAGCACAGCACCAACGAGTCTTCCAATTATTTCTTTCCCACAATGAACTTTGGTTAAAACTCAGACTTACAATCTTGTTTCATTCCAAATGCAATACATCTCTGCAGTCTACAGTACTGGCACCTGTTTCTATGATGTTTATTAATCACACAGTCTCTTGTGCCTCGGCATGAATATACTAAATTCTTTCGTATGCTTCTTTTAAAGAATCCTTTGCATCCTTCACATGTCACTGCTCCATAGTGACGTCCTGGTTGCATTAAAATATATTAATTATAACAAAATACATTAATATACTATTGTCAGGTTTTTAAAAGTGTCATAAAAATAAAAAGACACAGTTCTGTATTATTGAAATTTAAGTCCTCTAAGCATGACCAACTGTTTTTGATGCTTAAATTGAAATAAATGTTATTATTTAGTGAATGAGATAAACACATTAAACATCAGACAAGCTTTTCCACCAAATGCTAAATCAATGTGCCAACATATAGGCTGAAAACAGAGCAAGATAATTTACTGACTGAGTAAAAACATTACATTCTAAGAGTGTTGCAGGAATTCCACCCCAGAACTGCAGACAGTTATACTAGCTTAACACAGATGTTCAGGATTAGCCTTCCAGCAGCTAACATTCTAATCTGATTATACTTATTTGGTAAAATGGTCAGCCAGTAAAAAGATAACATTCCTGTTCCAGAAATCTTGGAGAGATTTTGCCCTACTTACCAGCTGCACAAAGAGCAAAGGAGTTAAAAAAAATAGTCCATGGTAGAAATATGGAATGAATTCTACTTAGCTTGCTACTTAAAAGGAGCATTTGGTCTAGCAAAATTTAAGGGATCATGCCAACTCACCCTACCCTCCATTCTAGTCTGTTTGCCCAGCAGCAATCATCTGCATTTTCATCTTTCTGAAGATGTGATATGTGTATATAACATAGCAATGTAGGCTTGAATTATTGAAAACATGCGATATAGACCCTATGGTTTAGGATTGCACACTTTGGGTTTCATGCAGATAGGACCCAAAGTGTGAACAGCCAGAAAGGCTCAGGCAAGCATGTCAGCACATTGCCACCCTTTCCACCTCCCAAGGTATTCAGTCAGTTATATGGCAAGTCCATGTCACATATACAGGAAGAATTACTGGAATTACTATGCCAGAAAGAAACAAACTTTTGTATGACGTCTATGTATTGACTACTTACTAAGTAAGTAAGTAAACTTATTGACTAAGTTTCTCCAGAAGCAGATATGTACTGCAAGGTTTCTAAACAGTTTGTTATGTCATTCCTGCTACATCATAAATAGGTTTTAAAAGCTGAAGGTTTCACTTCACAACCTTGCTGCAGCATTTTTCTGACTGTCAAAAGGCCAAGGAACTGAGGGAGAGAGAACCCAGTTCTATCTAGCTATAAGGGTAACAGTATTGTTTTAAATTTCATTAGAAACACTGAACAAATGCAATTTTATTCAAATATACAAAAGAATTTTGATTATAGGTAATTGAACTGTATTTGCGCTCCTACTATAACAGGTTATTTTAAATGCATAATGATGATAGTTTTAAGAATGATGAAAAAAACTATTAATTTTATAAATTAGGGCTACATAGCAATTTACCTGATGCCTTGTCTCCACAAACAACGCACAGGTCAAATACTTTATTCAGAGACTGTTCTGAAGAAGAATTGTCTGTTAAAATCTGAAATAATAATAAATAGTAAAACCCCTTTACTTAAATTCACATGTATAAAGTAAGGGCATAAGGTTGTCTAATACCTTGTGAATCAAATAATACATTTGGTAATAAAATTTCAGAGGACATTAAAATAATCTAGTGCTTAATAAACTGAGCAGAAAAAATGAAAACAGCATTTATAACTTGAATTTATAAATATGAGTTCGCATCTGACTTCCTATGTTGATTTTTCAACCATTCTGAAAGTTAAGTTTCTTGATTTCAATATCCTACTTAGAAAATCTAGTAGCATGCCAACAACAATTTATGATGAAAAATGTCCAAATCACTTGACATATATCCCTAAATTATCACTGTGTTATGCTTTTTTTCCTCATTTTGTGTTTGAAGGAAATAAGAACAAAGTTATAAATTGGCCACATGACTCATCAACAGAGATTGGATCTCTGAAGCAACTATGTTGAAGATTAAGATACACTATCAGCAAGAGCAATGGCAGAGAAGCCAAGAACAGTTCCCTATTTATTTACTTATTATTGAATTCGTATTCCACAACCAATTAGTCCACTGGACTCTCTAGACAGGTTAAAAATGAAATAAAATCAAAACATAATCCAGTAACAATAATATACATAATATAAAATAAGCCAATAATATAAAGAAAATATAACAAAAAGCAGCATTTACAACACTATACACAACACAACATTATACAACTGAGAGTAGGCCAGTAACATAAGGATTTAAAACATTATAGGTTAATATTCTAAAACTCAATAAAATTACTTCCATTAAAATGTATAGGAAATAAACATCAATTGTTAAAATGACTAGAAAATTGTGTTGTTTTTGCCTAGCACCAAAAAGACTGTAGAGAAGGTGCTAGGTGAACTACTCTTGAGAGGCTATTCCATAAGTGTAGCACAACCACTGAGAAGGCTCTTCTGTTAGCCATCCTTCTCATCTCCTTGGATGATGGCTCCTTCAGGAAGGCCTCCAAACCTGATTTTAGGGGTCAGGTAAATGCATATGGGAGCAAGCAGTTCTTTAAGTATCCTGGTACCAATTTAGGGCTTTATATGTTAAGCAGCTCAAATTACGTCTGGAGCTCAACTGGTATCCAATGAGGGCGGTAAAGTATTGGAGTGATATGGGTGCAGACTTGCTCACACCAGCAGTTGCACTTCTCCATTCCGTACCAGTTGAAGTTTTCGGTCTATCTTCAGGCAGCCACATGTAAAGTGCATTACGATACAGGTAGTATTTCTGCTACAAGAACTTTGCATTTTCCCCTGAGCTCATGTTGTAATATCTTGACACAGAAATGACTGGATCAACATGAGAATCCAAGGTGATAAGCCATGGTGAGTTTGCATTTCATGCAAGCATTGACTAATTTCTGTTTAGGGGCAACAAGTCATCCTGATGGCCCCAGTACATTCATTCTTGCAAAAGCTCTTCACAGCCTCTCTGGGTGGCTGTGAAGAGCTTTTGAGAGGAATGCCTGCTGTACTTTGGCAGTAGACGTACCCAGGACATAGCCCAGGTAAGGTATGCAACTTCAGACCTGTGCAAGTCCATCTAAACAATTTTTAAGACTTTTTAAAATGTGCATATTTGGTATGCAAAAAAGGGGGAGACAAACCAATGACAGCCCGTCCAATGAGTTGATTCAATACTTTGAAGGGGCCGTCAATAGCTGTCTAATCAGAGACTGCTTCAGACCACAATTTCTGGAAAAAAAATAAAAAAGATAAATGGAACAGAGAAGCTGTGGGTTGGTAATGTTGTGTAAAAGCACCTAATGTAATGCTTCCTCCAGCTAATGCATACAGTGCGCTTGCATACCAATATTGAGCGGGAATCTTTACACTTGAATCCCTAAGCATTTCAATGGTCTATCTCTAGCATCCTAAGTTTTCCTAAAGTCTTCTCCTCCTCCTTGAAACAACTTGTCCATTTTCCCTTCCTGTTCTTCAGAATGGGAACTGTCTCCTGAAACACCTTCATGGAATCACTGCCCCTGACTTCAGTTTTTCTTGGAAGGCTTTGGACCTTTCTCCTCACTAACCCCTTTCACCTGCCTACCCAGGATAATATATTAGCTCCTACACATAGTTGGTGTTTTATATATAAATATATTAATACTTAAAACTAACAAACCCATGTTTGCCAATGTGGATGCTATATTGTGATTCATTTAAAAAAAAATTAAATTCCTTTGGGATCCTATGCCTCACCATATCACTCCGGAATGGGATCCCTCATGTCACCATATTAATGAAAAAAAGGAGCCAAACACTAGGAAACTACCTACAAGTGTAGGATAATAGATAAATAATTTGAGAACAGGCCTAAAGAAAACTAAATGTGACTAAAGTTCACATTCTGCTCATCACTACTGACCAAAATGCAGCACTATTTTCTGAACCTTTAGAAAATTCTTTAAAACATTTTTCTGTAAAGAAAGAATGCTTTCATCTCCTCTCTTTTCCTCTCCTTTTTTTATTCCAGGTGTATGTATCCCACAATATTTAGGTTTAAAAAGCAACACATGAGCTACATGCTCATCCATATCAACCCAGAATGCACAGACAGGGCATTATCTTACTGCTGATGGATCAGCACAAGCAGGAGTATTGTGTTAAGAGGAAAGTCTGAGTTTTAAAAGTTATCTGAATATATTCTAATCAGATGAAACATCATACCTGAATGTGTTGAGTAGATATATCTGGGGATGTAAAAAACAGTTGGTTGACCCCTGCAGCATCTGGAGTTGTTAGAAAAACCTTCCCTGGAGTAGCATCTTGTCTTGCAAGGATCACTTTGCTTGGAGTATCATGATTTGTTAAAATGAACTGCTTGCCTGTTGCAGTCTGATCCAGTGCTGTAACAATCTGAATCTTCTGCCCTGTCTGTTGATCTGTAACAATCTGGCAACACATTTATCTCAAGTTGTTATGGCAGTTTAAAGCAGGTGCAGTCTACATGTAACTTAATTACAGTGTTGTCCAGCATGGCTGAAGAAAATGAAACTATATTAACTGCTTTTGGAAGATGCAACATAAATTCCATGAATAAAGAATTCAAGCCACTCAAGATTTATCTGCTATCTAAGATGTGGTGCTCATGACAAATAAGGGGGTACTCAGTAGAGCTGGAAGCAACACTACTGATGTTTGATGTGAACACCTTAAAACAAATACACCTTTTTAAAACAAAGCCAGTGTGTGTTGTGGTTTAAAGCGCAGGACTGAGACTGAGGCAATCTGGGTTCTAGTCCCCACTCAGCCATGGAGCCAACTGGGTTACTTTGGGCCAGTCTCAGAGTCTCAGCCCAACCTAGCTCACAGCATTGTTGTTGTGAGGCTAAGATTGTGAGCAGCAGCAGGAGAATGAGGTAAGCAGCTTTAAGTTTTTTAAAAAAGAAAAAAAGGCAGGATATAAATAGAATGAATGAATGAATGAATGAATGAATGAATGAAGCAAGCAAGCAGTTGCATTAGTGTTAATCCAGATCTAGCCAATTAAAATCAATGGGACAAACCCATTAAAATCAATGAATCTTTTATTATGCCTAATCATTTCATTGATTTCAAAGGGACTAGTAAACTAAGTATTTCTAATTATGGATTCAAGCCATTGGTTCTAGGATAAGCATCTCTTTTCTTGGCAACAAGTCAGGACTCAAAAAAATTGTGATGAAAGCAAGTATTATATAACCTGCCCTGAGCCATAAGCTGTAGATCGCAGTGGTATATACATGTTCTTAATAAATATTAAATATGCATTTTGAGTGTCCAAAACACTGTACATCCTTTCAATGAAATTATTAAATTCAGCCTATGTTAGTCCTCTAAAGGCAGAGGAAATTATGTTTAGGCTGAATCCAGGTGTTTTCCAGTTATGGGAGAAATACGGAATGTAGTTTGTTTCATTTATTCTCCACTGATCAACAGCTTCAGAATCTTGCCTTACAGATGTGAAGGCCAAGGGAAAAAATGGAAAAAATTAAAAGGGAAAACAACTGTTGTCTTGAGGGATTTTTTCCATGAAAAAATTGGAAATGTGGGGGAATTCTGAAAAAATAAATCTTATTAATCACTTTATCTTTTGGAATGAGTGAAATGCTTTTAAAGACAAGGGTTTATTCATTTAAAATATGTGGTTTGAAGATTTTTATGTAAGAATTTACATCATTAGAGAAAGATGATTCCTGTATACTGTTATGTATATATAACATTCAAAACCTAGAAACATTTCTGTGCCTAACATGTTCATGACAGGCAAATACTGGCCATTACTGCTTGTGAATTTCTGTTTTTCTTTTTCTAGCAAACTCTTACTGGGTTTGGAGCAAGTATCCTTGGTCTGTTGCCTTTCTAGGCCTTCCCTTGTGGGCAACCTCTTTACCTCTATTCCTGAAAAACTATCACACAACCTTGGCACATAGGATGTAGCAGTTTTTATTTTCTCTTTTTCTTGTATGCTTTTATTGTTTCTTTCTCAGTATTTCGCTTGTATAAAATATCTACATTTTTGAGGTTGCATCCAATATGTGTTTCTCTAGAATTAAGCTCCTTTAAAGAGAACAGGTCTTATTTTTTACTTTCAAAGCTCTCTCTCTAGCTTCCCTGTCTGGCCAAAAACTTGCCCAACATGGCTATATAAAAATAAAACAGGATGGGAATAAACATTCTAAATGGTAGAAATTATATGTTAAGTTAAATTTATGCACTTTAAGATGTTGAAACAGTAAAATAGGTTTAGGATTGATAGGTAAGCATTGCAGATACATCAATTTCCCCCAAAGTTTCAGACATAACGTACTTGTATCCGCTGTGGTAAGGAAAGGCCTGTATCAGCAGGAACAATCTGAATTCTTTGTGCTGTCCCATCCATTAGTGTTTGTGTGACAGATCCTTGGGAATGTGCTATCTAGAGCAAAAAGCAGAAATGTTTACCACTAAATGAACAAAATCTGACCAATTTCTACTATGTTTTCCAAATTTTCCTTGCTCTAATGAGGCACTGGACAAAATATTTCAATGAGGGTGGTAACTGTTTATACACATTGTTTCTACTTACACAAAGCATTTTTTCAAGGTTGCCCCATGATGTCATTATACAGTGGTACCTTGGCTCATGAACTTAATCTGTTCCAGGACTCTGGTCGTGACCCAAAATGGTCGTGACCCAAGTTAAATTTCCCCATAAGGTTCAATGTAAATAAGGTTAATCTGTTCTGTAAATTTTTTTTAATCAGAAAAATGTGAAGCAAAGTGACAGAGAACAACAAAGATCACAGCCATCTCCCCCTCCCACCCCAAGCACAAGCGCGGCCATCTCCCCGCCCCCCCAGCATGACCAAGATCACGCCTGGTATCCCTGCACGCACCCATCATCCCTGCACATGCCTGTCATTCCGGCACGCGTAGGGGGAGAGACGGGTGTGATCGTGGGTGCACTGGGGGAGAGAGAGATGGGTGCAAATGGGAAGCGCTGGAGGAGAGAGAGATGGGTGCGAATGGGTAGCGCTGGGGGAGGGAGAAAAGGGTGCAATCTCAGCCATCCCCCCTGCCACCAGCACGATTGCGGCCATCTCCCCACTTGTGGGGGATGAGGAGATGGCTGCGCTAGTGCTGGTTGGTGGGGGAGATGGCCAAGATTGCGCCCATCTTTCCTGCAGGAGCATGCCCATGATTATGCATGTCTTCCCTGCATGAGTGCAACTGCGATCGTGGTCATCTCCCCACTCAGGAGGTCGCCACCCAATGTGGAGTTCGCGACCAATGTCAAAATTTTCATGAAATTTTTGTTCACGACCCAGTTTGGTCGTGAACCTAGGTGTTCATGAGCTGAGGTACCACTGTACTTATTTGTGCTTCCTACAATCCTAGAAAAGAATCACTCATTAACTGCTATACTTATGACTGACCAAAATGTAAAAATCTGTAGTCACTCAACCTCATGCAGAAGAGATTCATTTGACAATCCATGAAATACAAAAGAACTAGTTTACTTAATTTGGAATGTAACTGCTAGATGTAGCTGAACATTTGCACAAGATCCAGTTGTGTCATCCGATTGATGGAAATGCTTCTATCAGCAGAACTCAGGAAGAGGGCAATTGCCCATCTTTCCCCTCTCAGCCCCTCTGTGTGCCCTCCTCACAGTATGCTATAGTTTTTGGTAAATTCTCAGGCCCAGATTTTCAAATGGTATGGAGGGCTACAGAGGGAGGAGAGAGGGAGAAAGTGGTATCATAACAGTGGCTATAACCTTGAGCAGTGTCCATTCAAATACTACATAAGAGAACCTGAGCACTATGCCAATAGCATTAGCTTTGGCTTTTCATGGGAATCCTGTTATGCCATTTGATAACAACAGAGCTGTGCAAGAGGTCTTTTATGTTAGTGCAATGTAATTTACATTAGAAATCCATTCCCGGTTGGATTTCTGTAACGCACTTTACGTGGGGCTGCCCTTGAAGACAGTCCGGATACTTCAGATGGTGCAAAACAGAGCTGCCAGGATGCTGTCGGGGACTGGGCGTTATTCTCATATAACCCCAGCCCTCTATCAGTTCCATTGGCTTCCCATCGAAGTCCGGGCTCAATTCAAGGTGCTGGTTATTACCTATAAAGCCCTAAATGGCTTGGGACCAGGATACCTAAAGGAACGCCTTCTTCCCTATTTGCCCTCCCGCCCCCTGAGATCAGCAGCAGAAGCCCTTCTCTGGGAACCCTCTGTGAAAGATATTAGGAGACAGAATACTCGGAGGAGGGCCTTCTCTGCAGTGGCGCCCCATCTATGGAATGCGCTCCCCAGAGAGGTCTGCCTGGCGCCGTCTTTATATGTTTTTTGGCGCCAGGTTAAGACCTTTTTATTTAATCAATATTTTAATAAGTTTTAATATTGAATTTTATCACCATATTTTAATTGCAGCCAGAGTGGGTCATTAATTTATTTATGTTATGTTAGGTATTTGTATTTTATTTGTGTAAGCCGTCCTAAGGCTCTTGCAAAGGACGGCATACAAATATCTTAAATAAATAAACTAGTGTCCAAGTTACTGCCCTCTTTTTTCATGTGTAGCGGGATATGGGACACACTTGAAGAAACCACAATGCTAAGAATTCAACTCAAAGTTTAATGTATGGAAGAAAATAACCTCAAACATTATTATTGCTCCTACTCCCAAATATGTGAAGATTGTACAAGATATTCTACCAAACAAATTTATGTTCAACCTGGGACCTTCCTCAGAATGGAAACTCCAAGAGAGGCGAAGAGTGTGGTAACAAGGAGGAGTACATTCTCTGCTGTGCACCCCATCTATGGAACAACCATCCCACTGTGGCCCACCTGGAGCCAATCTTGTCATCTTTTTGGCATCAGGTTAAGATGGACCTTTATGCTGAGGCTTTTAAAATATATTCTTGGTTACCCAGGGGCTTGAGGGGCTACCTATCCCAGGTGTTCTTTTACAGAGTAATTCTTCACTGTATGTTTTACTTTTTACTGTTTTTAATTTTTAATGCTTCTTAATCAGAATTTTAGTTATTTTACTGTACAGTGTTGTATTGTTTTAATGTACTTTTGTTAACCCTCTAGAAAGCTTTGGCTGTGGGGCAGCATCGAAATGTAATATAAATAAATAAACAGAATTCTAAATTTAAAAATGCAAATTTTGTACTTTGTATCATCAGACGCTGTAGATTTAAATTCACAGGGAGTTGCCTTATACCAAGTTGGGACTATGGGACTCTCCAGTCTAGCATAGTTAATGCTGACCAGCAGATGCTTTCAGTGGTTTCAGACATGGGTATTTCCAGACCTACCAGGCAATGACAAGGATAGAACCTGGAACTTACACATGCAAAGCATGTGCTCTTCAAGATGTCAGGAACAGAATTTACAAAATGGTCAAGGAAATGCTAGAAAGATTTTTATATATCCACTGATACAAGTTATCAATTTGTCTAAACATATGTATAAGTACCTCTCCCATTTGCTGTTCAATTATTTGATGGGCCAGTTCCTCAATAGTTGCCATGATCTTGAGTCACTGATGTTCCCTATTGAAGAAATACATTCTTAAATTTTATACTGCAATAAAGAAAACCACAGCAAAAAGTAAACAATGGCAGCCAAGATGATGTAAGCAGTAGCACTCTGAAAATAAAAATGTGGCTTAAGTGTTGTTAGTTGTCCAAAGCTATTTACAAATAGTACCACATTACATTCCATCTAGCATGATGTGCCTTACAAGTGTGGCAGGCTACAATGATATACACATTTATGCAGGATTAAGTATAATTGAATTCAATGGGGATTACTCGTGAGTACACATATATAGAATTTTAGGGTAGATAAAGGAATTTTCATTCTAGAAGGTACACAGTATATTCTAGAAAGAATGTACTTGCTACAGCTATAGAAAAGTGAGGCATTTAACCATGGCTAACCATACCATGTTCAAAATTAATATCTGCCTTGAATGTCATGGGCAGAAATATACAATAAATATGATTTCCTGCTACTTGATTCCTATTAGATCACATTTTCAGAGCATTCATAACTTGTCAGATCCTAAGGGCTAGTTGATATTTTCTTTTGCCATGGAAAAGGCTTCCTCTGACAAAACACATCTCCACTTGTCTCTGGTTTTCATTCAAAATATAGCCTACCTTCACAAATGAGGCAGAACCATTGTCAAACAATAGACTTATTCAGACTTTCTAAATAAACAGCCTCCACTGCAGTTCTGTAGAAGTCCTAACTGCTTTCAACAGAATCTAATGTAGGAACCAATAGTTGGCAGGTCTGTGCCAAATATGGTCCAAAGCTTCTACTGGGTCCACCTGGAGATGAAAATGTGAGGAAGCAGGACTTGAGGTCATGTGACTCAGCAGTCCCTTATGTAGGACACCACCCTCATTTTCCTAAAGAAATATCTCTTGTCTTCTACACAGTAAAATAATTTTCCTAAGTACCTGCCTTGTCATCCATTAAAAGAGCATTCCATGGATCCTAGATACTGTCTGAGCCACAAAATACTGGGGATTCCTCCCTTCAAGTTGGAAACAGTGCTCTGACTTCAGAGTTCCAACCCCGCTTCCACAACCCTTCACAGCTAGCACGGAAAGGACCATGTTAGCTGCTTTCATGATCAGAAGAGTGATCTAGCCATATTCATTCCTACATAACCAGAGGTCACATCTGAGAAGTAAGCAACGCTAAAACCAAAGTGAGGGTAGCCACAGTAATGTTCTCTTTCTTTTCCCTTCCCGTCCCTTCTCTTTTTCTCCATCACCGTGTTTCTTCTCTGGCCCCTGAGGAACAGCTATTCTTTCTAGTGTGCAGAGAGAAGCCCAAGTGATCTGGCAATCCAGTGGAAGACTAATTGCTTCTTGCATCACAACATCTCTGTGGAAAACAAAAGGGTTGTTGCTAAGAGGGGGTTGGCCTGGCAGACAATGGTGATAGATGAAAAGAGAAGTTCTGGTGAAATAAACACTCTCCACTTCTGTTCTACAATTTCAGAATACAGTCTTTTTTCACTCCAGGAATTTAAGTTAATCCCTTTTGTACACAAAGCATATATTCCATTACTGAGCTATGATCCTTTACCTGATTTAGAACCAGACGATCCTCTAATACAAAAACCCTTACATCCTTGCAAGGGTAGTTGTGGAAATTCCAGCCTTCTCAAGCATGAAAGGGCTTGATTACATTGTAGAACAATTGCAATTGTAGTTTTGTTGTTTTAAGTTAATGTTATCTTGTTTGTTTTAAATTTTTATCAAGCTTTGTTAACCACCCAGAGAGCCTCAGCTATTGGGTGGTATAAAAATGAAATAAAGAAAATAAATAAAAGCTCACTCTGCCATTGCCCTTGCTTCTCTGCTTTCTTCAGACAGTGAGGTGAATACAAAAAATGTGTTATGTTGACACAATTAAGGCCAATAGGGCAAGAAGAAATAGCATTTCTCTTGCTTGACATTCCCTTTCCCTGCTTTGCCTTTAATATTATTCTCCCACATTTGAAGACATCTTCAAGAACTCCAACCTTAGAGTGCAAAAGTTAAAATGCATCTAGGACATGATGTGCATTACACTAAAGTGAATGACCAAAAAAGCATAGATTTTAAAACTTTACCCAGCACCTATGTTGTTTCTATGCACAGCACCCTTCCAATGCTAGCCAAATTTAGCTGGAATTAAATCATACTTTAATTCAACTAAAGATATTTCTCAGAACTATTTTAGAACTGTGGCCTTAGCCTATTTTTTCAAATTGTGAAGTCCTATTATCATCTGAACAGGCCTAAAACTACAGTAGGTAAACATCCTTTAAAAACAAGCTTCAGTTCCACACCCCAATGATACACAGGTATAATTTATTTCAAAAAGTACATCTATTTTTAAAGAAAAATAATGAATTTATTTAACCTACATTTTCAGCTCTACAAGTGCAGAATCAGCGTGGAGGTATATAATGCTATAGTTAGTGAATCGGGGTGAAGTGGTAATGCAGACTTTCTGAAGGTGTCAATTCACTTCTACAAAACTTAAAGTACATCTAGGACATTATCTGCATATCCAGCACACAGATGGAGCCATACATGGTGTCCAATAATTTTGGTGCACCCTACTAGCTTATCAGTGCTTTTGACTGGCTTGTGCTGCTGATGTCTTCTAACACAGGCAATGAACTCAGGAGAGGAATAGAACTGGTCACTCCTTATGACTTTAGAAAAGGGAAGAGCTTCTCTTTCCCTCCATGCAGTAGGCACTGGGAAAGTGGGTAGCATCAAAACAGTAGTTCAATAGTAGAAAACATGTATTGCAGGGTCAGTCTCTGGTATCTTTAGGTAATACAGGTAGTTCTAACTGAAACTCTAGAGAGATATTGCCAGTCAACGTTACAAAATACCAATTAGATGGACCAATGATGGACTTCCTAGAAATTTGTGATACTTTTTTCTTTCCGCAAGCCTGTTACAAGCAAAGAAACCTCCCTTCTGTCAGCCAAATAAAATGGATTTGTCAGAACTGTCTGTAACACCTCTTGTTCTCTGTAAGATCCAGAGAAATTACAAGAGAAGAATTTTATTGGATATGCAGAAAAGAGAAGTGTGAATGACATTGTGGATTCCTGGCCAATTGCCCTATAACTAAAATGCATGAACACTGCAAATTATTTTGAAAAAGTTGAAGGCATCAACCATTACAGGACAAAGTCAGTATGAAGCAAATTAAGGAAGCAATTTCTTTACCCTTAAAAAATATCTAATGCAAATTAAGCATATCTGCAGGTTAGCATTTTACTTACCTCAGGTACCAATGTTAAATTCCACTTCCTGTATGCATAATCACTCTCAGTAGACTCCTATAATTAAAGAAAGAACATTTTAGCTGCAGGGATTGCATGTAAAGTTTTACAGAATAAAAACAGATTTCTAATTTACTTCTCTCCAAGAATTAAGAGGAGAGGCAAACAGTGATGCTAGCTAGAAAGAACAAAGCTGGTCTACAGTGAATTTAGCCATGTGACCCTTGAGCACAATTTTTAAAAAATAAGTTCAGTTACCTACAGCTACTGCCCTGTATTCTGCCCTACAGGTACTAAGAGTTCTTCATGCTGCTTTACGACACACATGCAAAACAGTACAACATCATTGCCACATATGCTGCTATGTTGGATATATTACAGGAATTCCTTGCATATGAAGGCAATTACAAAAACATTAAAATGTAGGAATTGGGATAAAGGAATCAGGAAAGCAGTTTTAAATTTCAGGTCCAGTATACATATTCTGAAATATCACAGACCTAGCATGTGGGACTGAAGTGAGGACTGGTATCTATCTTGTGAGTTGTCCTATGGTTTTCTTGTGCAAGCATCCTAGCACCTCTGGCTGCTTTTGTTGGGGAAATTTTCACAGTCAGTGTGGTACTCATGTTGGACTGGGGACAGGTTCTAGTCCCCACTCAACCACGAAGGTTCAGCCTAACCTACCACAAGGTCATTGTTGTGAAGAGTAAAATAGACTATGCCTTGTGTACTTCACAAGAGGAAAAAAGCTGGGGCATAAATGCAATGTACTACATCAATGAGACTTGCATCAAAGCATAATTGTATGAGACTGGGATACCCATATTATAGTTGCAATTGGAATCTGCAAATAATTATAAAAATCGAATATAAAATATCTTTACTAATATTACAATCAGGACTTAAAATGATTTCATATATTTATGTACTAAAGAGTAATCAAGGCAGGACTGTTGGATAGTAATAAAATGTAAATCCTGAAATAAGAAGGAAATGCTCTTATGACCCCAAGATTTTTGTCTAAGTGGCCACAAGATAGATTCAGATTTCAACTTCGATGCCAGAGACAGCTCTGATTCCTTACCCTGATCCCCTCACAGTGTGCGTGGAAAGAAGCATGCTGGCTGCTTTCCAAGATAAAGAAAGTGCCCTCAGAGAGGGGTTAAAGGGGGCAAGGAGGAAGAGTACTGCAGCAGTCAGGTACAAGATACTCAAAAGCCACTCCAACCACCTTCCCCCTCTCTTTCAAATGCTAATGATGGCTGAAAACCATCTAGTAAAAATGCAGAACAGGAAGAACAGGCAGGTGAAGATCACCTCCTCTGCTTTTCCTGCTCTGTGCAGGATAAGCGTGAGCCTGCAACTTCAGAGGGTGACACTCATTTTAACAGAATCACAAAATCCTATTACCCATGTGGCAGATGCTTACAAGTTGCTAAACTCAAAGGCTTAGGAGCAAACAATACAAGATGCACTACACAGCATCCAGTTTCTGCTGCTGGTACACCACCTGCCTATAGTAAAGCAGTTGACTACCCTGTTGGCAAGTATCCCAGAATCAGCATGACTTGGATTCTGAAGAAGAGGACCTTGAGATAGCAGAGATGGAAATTTTGGAAAACTGGGCCAAGCCACAGGCCTTTGAAGTGCCCCCATGGTTGCTGCTCCCAGGTTCTCAGGTTGACAAGGACAGCAGGAATGTTTTGGGAGGGGTTGAAGATGAGGAGGAGGAGAAGCTGTTGCTTTAGATGGTCCCTGACCACCTGATGAGGTGTTAGGAGAGACAACCTGCTGAGTTAGAGGGTGTGCACATGTCTCACTGGCTGGCCGTCCAGCCACCCAGAGGGTGCAACCCTAGTTTGGGTTCAATAATTATTCTTAGTATGCACAGAGGCTTAGATGGCTTTTAGTTACTTTGTCTTGTAGCTGTGAATTGCCAATAAAGATCTGCTTTGCAAAGAGACTGTCTGGTATTTTGGAACCTAACAGCAAGAAGGGGACAGCTGGGCTCAAGTCAGTGCCCTGTATATTATCTAGGCAGCCACATTTTACCCTCTAGATTTAGGGCAAGCAAAGGGGAGGGAAAGAAGCTGAGTTTCCGGCTGCAATTAACGCATTTATGCAGCCAGTTTCTTTCTCTCCCTGCCATCTGGCATGTACTTTCCCCCCTGAGGCCCATCTATAACCTCAGGTAGTGGTGGGGAGGCACAACTGATGTAGTTCTTTCTGCACTGGCTGCAAGGGGGCAAGGCAGGGGCTCAGCCTTCAAAGTGTGAGTTTCAGGACTGAAAGATCTTAGCACATGGGCTCTGAAAAAGCCTATGTGGCCTAAGTGGGTAACAGCCAGCCTTTACACCTCAGTTTGGCTTAAAATTATAGTTCAATTGCAGTGTATTTACACTTTAAAATTGTATTGAAAAAATCAGTGTAGGGATTGCTTATGTGGTCAAATCATCAGTGGATGTTTGAGAACTCTGATGTTACACATCAAATAAAATGGTTCCTTTGATCTCTATGGAAATATGTGGGCAACCAATCCTACTGCAAACCATAACAAAGATGAATAAGTCATATGATTTCCTTTTTTCTTTTTATTGGATGCAGCCATAAGCATCTTTTCACTCACTCTTATTCAACATCATAGAAATTTGCTATCCCCAAAATTTAACATTGCACCATCTGTTTAGTAACGTAATCATAATAAAAATAGATTCAATATGGATAAAATGACAATATACACATCTCTGGGTGTTCTAAGGATGAATCATCTGAAAATTAAGAAAAAGAATGTCCATCTCACCAGAGCCTAAACTAGTTTATGGGTACTTTGATAGAAGGTAAATGTATGAAGATTTGTGCCAAGTTCTTTAAGCTCAGTTATATTGAGAAGACTTATAGTCACAGTTTTACGGATTCCTGAAATTTTTCCTATAATTAGTGAAAGTGTTAATTATGTTTAGGTATATTTTTGCTGTATTTTAACTTTCTAAATAAAGTTTTAAAACAAAGCAACACAATTAAACACAGCTTTATGTTCTTTCTCATCTCACTATTTCTAATTCCATCTATCCAGTGAATAGAAATTTGTTAGCGTACCATCTTTGATTACTTGGTACCGCAAGCTGGTTAAAAATTCAGTTGACAAGTTCTCATATCAAGAGGCAGAATAGTTAGAGGTTATCGATTTAAGAAATGGTACATTCATTTGCTCACTTTTAAAAAACATTTTACACTACCACCTGGAGAGTCCCCAAGGTGTTTCTAAATACAAAATACTAAAAAATCAATTTAGGGCACAGTGTACCTTCAATTACCATAAGTCCCTGAATCTGGATGATTATTCCTCAAATATGAGCAGAAAGGAAGTGGCAGAGGCAATTTATACCTCCCTGTCCTTACACTCTGCATTTTCTCTAGTTGGGTTTTACCCATTTAGTGGAGGGTAGAAAGCATCAGAACTGCTTGTACCCAAACCTTTCCAGACTTTTCGCACCCATCAAAATGCCCCCTTTTATCTTTCTCCAAAGTTGCTTTCCCAGCTGAGAAATCAGGAAAGGGTGTTAGTTTCTCAGTTCCACACACCAAAATTAGAGCACTGTCTCCAACCATAGATCAGGGAATACAAACTACACTATAGCCCCCAAATGCTGTCTAGGGGCCATGAGATTGCTTCCTTAAACAATAAGGAACAATTAAAAGACTATTCAAGAATACCAAGCATCTATTAAGTACATTTTCAGGCAAGTTACAGTTATAGTTCCATACAAGGCATTACTCTTATAAAGCATTTTAATTCTCATTGCAATATTTCATTACAATTTCTATACATGCACATATGAAAATCAGTTGAAATCTTCCAGATCAGTATTCTTAAACAAAAAAAAGGTGTCCACATTTTTTCAAATGACAACTCTCCAAGGTTAATATTATATAAATATTGAGAAATGAAGAAAAGCTGTTTTAAGAACTGTATTTTAATAGCAAGTTATAAATAGGGTTAAAGTTAGGGTCAGGGTCAACTGCACCATTTGACCTAAATGCATTTCAAAAATGGAAATTGGAGAGAAAGCTGAAGAAAACTTTTAATGACACTTTCTCTATAGCAGGTATATACTTTCCTTGCCAAAACCCCAGAGCTTAGCCTGCCAACATGGAAAGCAATAACCAGAGTGCATGCGTTAGAGATTCCTGTTTTTATTCCAGAACAAATATCAAGCTCAGTAATAAATTACCTTCATGCATGAAAACACATGGATTGGAAGAAAGGGTAGGACTATGTGATGGATCAGATCAAGATCCATCTAGTCCAGCATGCTGTTCACAGTGATCAACCCACTGTTTGACAGAAACCCACAATTAGAATATGACTTCAGTACCACCCAACCAATAGGGTTCCACAGTAAATGGGGTACATAAACTAGTAGTGGTTTATAGTTTTCTCCATGTTTTGCATGCAGACGTTCCAAGGTTCTATCACTGTCAAGAGGGACGCAGAAAAGCACAATTTCCTGAAACCTTGGAGAGCTACTGCCAGTCAGTGTCAACTACAATATGCTAGATGGACTCAATATACAGTGGCCTTCTATGTGCTATTAAGGCTTAATTATCATAAAGAACCAAAGAAGAGATGAACCCAAATCTAGAGTGTCCCACACAAAAGTACATTCCTACACATAGTAAACTAGTACATATGTGTGCAAAGGCTTAGTTATTTTAGAATGAAGACACAATTAATGTTACAGAAAAGAATGCTACAGTTCAGCCACTGCTTTCGCCACTTCATCAACGATAAGCGAATGATACATCTCAATGTCTAATCAAGTAGCAGGGACAGCCCGTAAGCCAGGCGGGACTCCGTAAGCGGAATGAGGCCCCAGCCCGCTGTCACTCGCAGGCACAAAATGGCTGCTGAGGGCCCGACTGGGAACTTTCAACTCCGCCCATATAGCTCCGCGCCGGCCAGGCTGGCTCCGACTCCACCGCGCTCTAGTCCCCACGAAGCAAAGCACGGGGCCTGTGCAGAGGAGCGGGCCCCGGGGCGCGGCCGGGATCCGGGGAGGGGAGACGCAAGCCTTTCCTGTGGGTGAAAGGTCAGAGGGGCGGCGGCGACAGGAGGAGCTGCTGGTCCCGCTGTCGCTACTGCTACGAGCAGTACCACGCGAGGAGCGGCGCCCTCCCGCTGCTGCAGGACACGAACAGGCCGCGACTGAAAGGCACTCTGGGCAGGGACACCAGTCGACGGACAAGGCCTCTCAGAAGCCGAGGCGGCGTCGCCATCGACACTGCGGCTCTTTCCTTCTCCGTATCCCCGCCCTGTCTGCCTCTTACCTGGCAGGCGCGGCACAGTTATAGGTCCTAAGGGTTATTTGCCGGTGGGGCTGCGGCTCCGGGAGGTCAGAGTTCGTGACCCCGTCCGCTACGCTCGGTCCGTGCCGTCTCGCGTGGCGTAACGTTCCGCCCTCGCAGCCCTCCCCTCCCCCTTCACAGTCGCCGCCGCCGCCACAACTAGCAGCACGGCTGCGCTTGCGCAAAGCGAGCCCATGGCGGAGGCGGAGCGAATGTCACCGTGCCGGCGGGGAAGGGGACGAAGGGGAGAAGAGCCTCTCCTGGAGTAATCATAGCTATGTGGGGAGGGGGTTCCTGAGCTTCAGTGAAGGTGGGGACACTGTCGCGGAAAGAGCCTTCTGAACCTTTAACCTGAACAGCAGGAAAAAATCTGCGCATGCTCGGGAAAGTGTATGCCTGGCCGTCTCCCTCCCGCCCCCCTCACTTTGTCTCTCTTCACGAGCTGTCAGTTTAGTGCGCTATTCAGACTGTAGAGACAGATCCAGCACTCGGCCGGTGGCCAGTCATTCGCCCATACAGTAGCCATTTATATGTTGCCAGAAAAAGAAGGAAATGCATCCCCCCCAAAATATGACACAACTTTGCATAGGCTAATTCATTTGTGTAGATACAAATTTAGGAAGAATTATTCTGAATAGGACAGTCATCTGAGTAACTTAGTGGCCTGCAGTAACAGGGAGTTGGCCCCAGTGGCCTTCTGTACCCTTCCAACTCCATGATTCTATGAAATTGCAATAGAAATATAATTACCCCTTACTTTCCAAGACTGTGACCTGGAGGCCTGCCTGTTCATTCAGCCATCTAGATTTGGACTACACAGTCCTTGAAATAGAAGATGCCTTCAAATAGTGGACAGTTCTCTGGCAGCCCTTCTAGAAAATGCCTTGTCAACAGTACTGGAGACACTGCGTTACAGTGGTTTCACTCTTACCTGCAAGGTCAATTTCAGAGAGTAATACTGGGTAACTGTTCCTCACACACCTGGCCAATCAGTTAATAGGTTCTGTTAGGATACCATCCTACTCCAATATATGAAGCTGTTAAAAGCAGTTATATTAGGAGATCTGAAAATGAATGCCTTTAGTACCTTAAAGACACACAGCTCATGTCTCCCTGTTACAAGTGCATCATGGGATGCTATGCAAATTTTAGATCAGTGTCTGGACTCAGTGATGGGCTAGATGAGGACCAATAAACTGAAACTGAATAATGAAAAGATAGTAGCCCTAGAAGTAAATAGTTCCTAAATCTGATAGGTCCATTGTCTGTTCTGAATGGGATTGTACTCCCTCTGAAGATCAGGTTTTTAGTCTGGGTGAGAATGTAGTTTGTGGAGAGGAATTTATTTGGGATATTTACAGTGCACAACAGCTTTCTCTTGATGCACTTGTTATAACTTTCAACCACTCTAGTATTCCTATGTCCCCAGCTTCTGACACGCACAGCACCAGCCTAATCAATATTCACCCAATCTAACCTTTCTTTCTTTTGGCATCTTCCACAGTTCTGAGAGAAACCTCATTCTGGTTGAATGAAAATTAGGACAGAGTGCTCAGTTTACATTAAGCTCCTGACTTCTGCCTCCCTTCAGTGCTAGTTACTTCTACCTCTTCAGTGTGCAGAATCAATTTACATAGCTTTGTGAATACTCTGGATTTTCAGAAAGACAAACAAGTAGTATTAGATCAAATCAACCCACAACTTTTTGGAAGGAAATCCATATGCTATACAAGGTAAACCAAGTGGTGGCCAAGAATATTTGGATAATGAGACAAGACTGTATGTTCTGCTTATTTTATTGATGCATGCCATGTTTATTAAATTCAAGAGCCTTTTTTTCTCTATTTATTCACGGTGTAATCCATGCTGACTGAGGCATGCTGGAAGCTGTAGGACTTTTTTCTGCCTGATCATTCATAGAATTGTGTCCTTATGCAGTTTGGAGGGGAAAAAACACTAGCAAGTTTATTTTAATACAAACATCTATTTATAATTGCTTTCAATTATTTTAATTTGCAGTGTGAAGGGTTCTGTTCTTTCATTTACTGTTAGCCAATACAGCACAATTCCTAAGCACTCAACATAAAAAGCAACTGAAAAATTGGAAGAGAGCAGTTGAAATAAACAAAAATGTTAAATACCTCTTAGAATCTGTGAGCCTGCCAGACTTTAGAAGGCCACTGTGGCCTTTTGAAAGACAGAAATTGAAGTTTGAGATACATTCATGTATATTACTTAAAATTAAAATTGCAATAATGGTTGACTGTTCCGTTGTCACAGTTTTATTGTATACCCTTGACACAGAAAGCACCTGATTATTACTCCATTCTAAAAAGGCTGTTTAATGAGAAATAATATACAACTAAATTACCATTATTTCCCACAACACAGTATTTTTAATAGTCTACAGCCCACAGGACCATCTAGTGAAACTGAGTAATCTCTCTTTTCTTTCAAATGGTAGCTCTACTTAAAAAAAACTTTTTGAAATTGTTTAAAGTTCAGCACAAGAAGTTTGGGGATGGATTGGAGACACTGAAGAGACAAATGCATGCTCAGACAAACCTAAAGGAACTCCTGGATTGCAGCTACATTTTGTTTGCTATGTTGTTCCTACATTTTTTTTTCAAGTATTTGGGAGGCTTAAAATTAGAAGCAGACAATTTTTGACACAATCTTAATGTAATACTCTCTTTGTAATGTTAAAATATTTGCATAAGTTAACCACTATTGCCATTTATTTTGGAGCTTGACATGGATTTATTCAGGGAAAGCATCTGCATCTAAATGACAGAGTAAGACTTTCTGCTTTTCTGAAAACACCTTATGTTGGAAACTGAAAGTGACATGCATTATCCGTAAAACCAGTGCTTAATATTTACTTAATTTCATAATTGAAATTAAGTCAATTCCTTAGTCCTGCCCCCGTGGCTCTTATTTTCTCTTTTGTACCAAGTGACTTGAAAAAGAGCCACTCAGTTCCCATTCTTTTGGGTGGAACTTGCTCAGGACAAGAGTGCTATGCTATTTTTCTTAGGCTATGCAGTCCCATCAACATTTGTTCCATCCTGAACCAAGTACAGGTAGCTTTGTCTATTTGACAGTGAGCAGGTATCATCAAATAAAAGCCTAAGTATTTAGTCAGTTTCTTTCCTAAGGTTCTGAAGACCCTGTAGCCAAAGTCCTCACTAATAAGATCCCTATGAATGCATACTCTCAAACTTAGGCTAGTAAAAATACAGATTGCAGGAAAAATAGTGTGGAATGAGGTTAAACAAATGTTAGGTCAGCTATCTACAGGACTGCAAGTATTTCTGTGTCAAGAGGAAAATTCACTGCTGTTTTTACAGAAATCTGTTTTTACTGAACACATTTTAAAGTTCACAGATAACTAGATACTCTAGGCCAGTGATGGCGAACCTCTTAGAGACTGAGTGCCCAAACTGCAACCCAAAACCCACTTATTTATTGCAAAGTGCCAACACTGTAATAAAACCTGAATACTGAGGTTTTAGTTTAGAAAAAACAACTCTCAGCCAGTCTAAGCATATCCTTGGCAGCACACTGGCCATGAGAAAGCTTGTGACATCATCGCCTGGCGCCGCTACTCCTTTCCAAGCATGCGCATGACCCCCATGTGCACTGTTATCCGATGCTCGGATGCTGGGGTGATGCTGGGGTGACTCGGCTTGCATGCCAATAGAGAGGGCTCTGCGTGCCCACTACAGCACGCGTGCCATAGGTTTGCCACCACTGCTCTAGGCAAAACTCTGACTGCCAGAAACTTCACTGGCATTTTGTTTTCATTCTTCCTAAAAAATTTTACACAATCACTATAAGGTTCAATGTAGTAAAATGCATTCTAGAATACACTCTTCACATGAACTATTTTTAAGCAGGCTATACAGACAAGTTCATCAACTCAAGGGACATTTAAGTTTATAAGTAGTTCCTTTGTTTGAGACACAGCATTTGAATTTTGTTAGAGAAAAATTGTTAACTAGGAGCAGCAACCTAAAATGAGCAGAACATTTCCTTGCACAGATCTCTTAATATAGCCATATAGCTGGGGTGCAATCCAATGCATGCTTAGACAGAAAACAGTCCTAAAGTTCCCATCCAAAATTTCACATTCCATATATGCTGATATATTCCATTCCCAAAAGAATCTATTAATATAAGTAGAACCATGTCCCATAGAACCATTCAGAAATCAGTAAAGAACATACATACATGTACTGAAGTAAATATGACTATTTTAAGCCCTCGGCCAAACCAATATGTATTTAAACATGCATAGGATTACAACCTCAAATGTACAAAATATGTTTCTAAAGAGCAAGAAGTCTTTTTAGATCAGATGCTTATTTCTGGCAGCAAGTCAAGCATTCTATTAGTGATGCTTTTGATCTAGCCATCTTTGTATTATAAACAAAAATAGAATTTTCTCTTTCCTTGTTATGTACCTGGACTAGGCATTTTAGGGAAAGATGATTTAATATAGTTTTCTATCAGTTCAGCTACACTCAGGGATGAACTGTACAAACTATTAAGAACCAGGATTTGAAGAAGAAACTTGAAGGTGAATACAGAATATCTTACTGTCAAGTTCCAATAAGAGGCTTCATTATAGGCATTTAGTAGTTACCATCCTCATAAAGTTTTATGCATTGTTTCCCTGATTTAATCCTACACTTTTATAGTACTAGTTTGAGTTATTATATACACGATTTTTCAAATAATTAAATATACCCAAATTACTAATTATGCAAGCACTTTCTTGATTCTGTGTGACAGTTTACCCACTATAAAAATATAGGTCAAAGAATGTCTTGAAGTGTCCAGCAGATCAAATTGTGAATATAAAATTAGAATGATGACATTTCTTGTTAATGTCATTTCTCTAAAATATTATGCATTCCTGATACTACTATTCCAGTCGCAGCTTTTATTAAAATCATACAATGTATATTTATTTTCAAGACATTATCATATTCTACATATTAGTTCTCATGGCAATATATATAACTGAAAAATACTTATGATAAAATATGCTTTTGCCATACTTGAAAAAGAGTAGCATACTCACTTTTAAATCTTTTTGGCATTTATGTTTTGATATCATATGTGGTTTCAGGAAGAGCAGAATGATTATCTCTTCAGTTTTTCTTAAAAAACTAAAAACAGATCCATAATAAAATGCTTGCTTGCTTCTTGATTACAGTTCTACTTCTATACTTCTTTTGATGCAAGATGCTAAGGGGAAATTTTCACAGTCTGTATATGCTGATGTATTCCATTCCATTTCAAAAAGATTCCATTAACATAAGCAGAACCATATCCCATAGAAGCATTCAGAATTCAGTAAAGAACATACATAAATGTACTGAAGTAAATATGAGTAATTTAAGTGCACCTATGACAATACTGCAGCAAACCAAAGAGCAATGGTTTGTTTACAGCCTCCCAACAAACAATATTATCTAAGGTCAAGGAACTTTGGAATTCAATGTGAATTTCAGAAATGGTTCTGACCATAACGTAAAACAGTGGCAGAGCTTAATAAATAATACTTTTTGTATGACAAAAAGACGAATATACACATTTCTTGAAAAATCATTATGCCTAGAAAACAGAGGCAGGGTTTCATAAGCAGTTTTGTTGAAGTCGATGTTTGCAAAATTCAGCTACTCTTCAATAAGCAGCACTGTAGTGTTCACTTTGTTGCTGGACAGTTTTTTCAATATATATCCATGCTATAGTATTGTGGCTTCTTGAAAAGCTTCTATCCATCTGTTGGAAAAGGGGGGAAATAAATCTGGTGACCAAACAGAATTGTTTTCAAAGCTTATATATGCAAGTATTTTCATTAAAATGCCCCATTATTGACTTAGGCTGTTATGATTGAAAAAGACAATAAAATCACCTTGCCGGCATTCATAAACAGATTTCAAAATTCTGAATTAAAAATACAATGGACCATAGGATTGGAAGAAAGCTATATTTGAGACAGTATGGACTTTAAAGACTCATCCTCCTACTTAAAATCCACAACACAATGCCTGGGAACAAGTTAGATTTCTCTGCCATTCTACTGAACATTTGTTCAAGCAACAAACATCTGCTTGTGCCTTGTGAAAAATTCAGTGCATAGGAAGTAACAGTCTTTCCTTTACTAGTTTGTTGCTGTTATAGTAGTAGTTAATGCACAATCCAAGACACAATTCAAAATTGCTTGGATAGAATCCTGAGTTTCTTATTAGCATATAAGTCAAATCAATAAATGGTCTACTTACTTTTGTGCTGTTTGGGGCTCATCTGCTTTGAATACATAAAATAAAGTATTTTTGTGCAACAAATGGAAAACTTTAGATTCTAAGTGTTCATCTTTGACTGCAGCAACTGTAAACCCCAATAAAGGTTGGCTCTCCAAAGCAGCTACATCCTAATTTTACAAAGAAATCCAGAATCAGACATAGATTTCCTATAAGTGCAACCATTTGAAAATAACCAGTTATTTCAATGAGGCTGTGCTCAACCTCAAGGCAGTGCTAAATCTTTGGGTTGGATTCCGAGGAAGCAACCTTTGGATTCAACTCAGTTTTATTTCTATATTTTACACACACAAACACACTTATCTATTCTGTATGTCCTGACATAGGAAACAGATATTGACCAAGTTTTCACAAAATGATATACCAGAATTCTTGAAACTCATTTTCCATGACCAGCAGGTTAGTACATACTATTAGACTGATTTTGCTTGGCTCCTACTACCAGCAAGAACAATAATAGTTCCAGGAACTCTCCAGGAGGGGGAAAAACCCCTCAGGGTTCCATCTAAGCCAGAATTCCTGACTGTCAGAAACTGAGCACCTCCATCTGCTGGCCTAGCAGCAGAATAATGACTCTGGTAGTTGCAGGATTGGTCTCAGACACTTCTGTACCTGCCAGGGCCTCCATGAGCATCACCTGGGAGCCCTGAGGGATAAGCTATTTAAGAGCTGGCTCCTCCTTCAGGAACTGCCTCAGCAACACTGATCTCCAGTGTTCTGAAGCCCTTTACCGCTTGAGAATCTTGCCTGCTCCTGGTTCCTATTCTCGTTTATTTATTTATCAAAACATTTTTATGCCGTCCCATTCGCCGAAGCCTCGGGGCGGCTTACAACAATAAATTAAAACCACATAAATTAAAATATACACATTAAAATAATAATTATATATATATATATATGAATGAATATATACATACACACACAATATAAAATAAGCTGCCCTGGCCAGATAAAATTCAGCAGTATTAACATTTAAAATGCTGCTTAAATAAAAAGGTCTTCGCCTGGTGCCGAAAAACAAATAACGACGGCGCCAGGCAGACCTCTCTGGGGAACGCATTCCATAACTTAGGCGCCAGCGCTGAGAAAGCCCTCCTCCGAGTAGCCACCCTCCTAATTTCTTTCACGGAGGGCTCCCGGAGAAGGGCCTCTCCCGCCGATCTCAGGGGGCGACTGGGCATATATGGATGTAAGCGCTCCTTCAGGTAACCAGGACCCAAGCCGTTTAGGGCTTTATAGGTCATCACCTACACCTTGAATTGGGCCCGGACTTCAATGGGGAGCCAGTGAAGCTGACGGAGAACTGGAGTCATGTGAACATAACGTTCAGTCCCCGTCAGCAGCCTGGCAGCTCTATTTTGAACCAATTGAAGTATCCGGACCGTCTTCAAGGGTAGCCCCACGTACAGCGCGTTACAGAAGTCAAGACGGGAAGTCACCAGCGCATGAGTCACTGTTGTGAGGTACCCATTCCTTACCACGCTGTCTTACAGGCTCCTGATCTCTGGCTTGTTCCGACCATGCTCTTGCTGTCTGGACTGCACCTTGTCTGGTTCTATGACTGACTCCTGGTTTTAGCCCTGGCCAGTCTGGCATTGTAACTTGACCTTGTGATTTGAGTTGGTGATTGCACTTTGGCCTTGTACTACCTTCCCTTGTGTCCTGGTGCATTTGTCTGTTACCTGGCTGCCGCACCCTGGACTGTTAAACAGGCTTCTTATTCCCAATTAACATGGTTACCCATCTGGAATTTTATTTTCAGGGAACTCATCCCTGGCTTGATTAAAATCATGGTGGGCAAGAGCACATGACAAGCCCACCTGTGATCAATTGGTGATCTGCCAATTGAAAAATAAATCAGTGATGGACTTTTGCCCTGAGAAAGGGTGATGATTATATCACTCTCTTACTTGTGTGATCCTTTAGTGTTAAAGCACCATCTTCAGTGCCTTCTATCTTTTTCATGTTCCTCCAAGCTGCTAGGTACTCTAGAAAGGAAAGATCTACATGCCAGCTCCTTTCTATTAGCATATAGAGAGAAGGTCAGCATTTTGCACATTGAATACTATTCAGTGGGAGTCAATGTCATCAGATTCTGAACAGGAGGAGGACCAGGGAGGGGCTGAAGCCTTTTAAGCTCCTTCAACTGTGCCTAGTGAAGTTTCTCAGGCCAAGTGTACAAATATATCTTTCAAAGGAAAGAACTTTTAAGGAGGGGAGAGGGCGCAGATGCAAGACCTAGTCCTTGACCCAGTGAGGAGGTGTTGGGAGAATGAACGCAATAGGAGGGGCTTTGCCAATTGTGTAGTCTTGCTCTCCAGCAGTGAAAGCCACCCTTTGGATGAAGCCAAGAAGCTATACTGAAAGGGAGGGATCAAGGGAAAGTTTCCAATTTGGATTCAACTGTTTACATGAGCAGAAGCTTCCCTTTTCAGCTTTGGTAGAAGGCTATTTAAAGCTCAAACTGTTCTGTTATAAATGGAGCATCCTTTAAAGAATTGTATTCAAAGAACTGTTTTGCTTTTTGGAACCAGCAGGAAGGAACCAGCTCATGACAAAGGCCTTACTTTTGACAGCAGTCTAAAAAAAGGTTCATTTTAAATGCCTATCTGACAAACTTTAGCTCCCCCCCTTTGGACAAGAAAATAGGCCTTTGGAATCCACTCTAATATGCTATCCAATTGCCAGTTGAATGTTTTATATTAACTTTAGTTTTAAGGTTTGATTTCTTACCTCACTGGCAGCATATGTGTATAGCACTTTATTTTTTATCACAAACCACAGATGTTTCCATGGTTTTTTGCTGCCCTTTGATCTGTACAAATAGCCACTCATTGAAGAATCTTCTATACTGGCTGACACCTAAAATTAAAATAAATATAGTACTGTAAAAGAACATGAATTTGTAACATGCTTCCCTGCAAGTGCTTTAATAGCCACCTGGTAATATTAGTATCCACTGTCCTTGTTATAATCCTGCTGAAAAGGACAAAAATAGTTTTAAGTTATAAATGATGTTAGGTATGCAACATTTACCAACTGCAATAAAACTTCATAAATTAGACAGTGATAATTAGTGCTTTGTCTTCCAGCACTAGTTTAAATCTCTTAGCTTAGTTCAAGTGGAAGTAAATATAGTCATTTCTGTTCCCCTGTTGCCCCTTAAGTCCTACACAAGGCTCTCTCCTCTACAGCAGTAGTTTTCAACGTTTCCACAGCTGGGGACTGGCAGAAACAGGAAAACCACCTCAGGGACCACTGAGGCAAGGATAAAAAGCACCATACACTTTAATACAGTATTTTGTGTATTAGTTCCCAAGCACAATAATAAATAAATAAATTCTCCAAAACAACCAGAATCTGAGTAATAAAACATGCCAGCAGAAGAACAAAATACCCAAATCAGTGCAGCATGGCTCATAGCTGGCTCCCACCAAGCTGTGTCTCTTCTCCATGGCTTCCCCAGCGGCACTGGTGCAACCCCCGCGAACACAACGACAACTGAGGAAGAGGTGGTGGAACACTACCAGCCCTCACACTGGTCTGCAGCAAGCGGGATGTGACATACAGGCAGTCCCTGAGTTACCAACAACCCATAATTACAAACTGCTATAAGGCCTACTAATTTCTAAAAAATTACTGCAGAAAATTGTCATCACCATAGAGAGAGATTGAGGAAGTGAAAGAGGAAAGAAGGAGGCCTCCAAAGCATGCCTTCCAGACCTACCCTTCTGGAGCAAGAAATGCTTCCAGCATTGCCTTGCTGCAAAGAGGAAGCACTAGTGAGTTTTGGCAGTGGCACGGGGCTTAGAAATATTCACGCTTTTTCCACTTTCACAGGGGTCCTGTGCCCCTAACTCCCACAAATGTGGAGGGCCAACTATAAGCAATCCAATTTCATGTGAATTCAACTGAAAGACAAATTTCTGTTTTCTCAGGAATGGAACGTGTTCATAAGCCAGGGACTGCCTGTAATTTGCCCCATTCAAAAATCACAAGAAAAATAAACACACCCAAATAGTTTACTGAAGATTAGTAGTTTACTAGCAGATTTATTGCTAATCTTACAACTACTGTAATATGTAATACATACTTCCTTAAGGGCAGCTGGAATTTTTTTCTGCTTTCTTCCTGATGGGATACTGTGCAACACTGTAGACAAGGCACTAGATGGAGATCTATGGTTTACTGGAAATTCATTTTTAGAAGTGCACAGATTATCTGAAATGGGAACAGTTACATTTGGTTTATATTTCAGAAGAATTTAAAGCTCAGCTTTCTGTTTCTTGCCATTTTAAATGCGCATCATTCATCCATCTATCTCTGACAGTATTTTCACAAATGACAGGAAAAGCATTTTCCCTCCCATAATATTTGTACAGGTATAAGAAAATTCTGCTGTACCTTCAAGTGTTCTGGAAAATACACCTTTCCTTTATAGTTTTACTTGGGAAGACAGTTGGAACAATAGTAGTAAAAGACTTGTGAGGGGTGATTAAAAAATTGTCCAGGTTCTGATAAACTGTATGCGAATGTTTTTCATAACACTGCAATTCATATTGACTCAAAATGAGTATCTGCATAATACAGTTCAAATTAATGGATGCACATATGTAAAATGACTGAAGAACAAGAAAATAAGATTAATATACATGATATATTTTTACCTGTGGAGAACCAAAGGGTTAAAAACTAAATCTGGAGTAAACAATTTGGTGCTGTCCATATATTTTTGGCCAGCATAATCAATGTTTAGGGATTACAGGGACTGTATTTCAAAAGATCTAGAGGTACTCAACCAAAGTGCATGTTACACAGTAATGCATTAAATCTTCATTTAGGAATTAAATTATTTCTGTTAAGTAACTGCTGCAAGTTACACATTCTTTCCGTCCTAGAAATGACAGCCCCTGAAAAGAAATTTGAAGCAAAAATAAAAGTAGCAAAAACAAAAAGCAACGTTTTTACCTTACCCTGTTTTTGTAGTTCTTTAAAGCAATAATCACATACTCTTGCTGGGTGATTTTTCATGTAGTCTAATGCATGCTTATTTGATGAACAAGCTTGACAGATTATCTGGAAAAAAGGAATGTATAAAGTATGTCTGTGCATGTACACGCACACACACATGCCTCCCTGTGCATATTTGTTTCAATGGCCTGGGGATGATGACATTCTTTGTATGTACACAGGGACATTGGCATATGTGGGTTTTTCTTTTTTTGGAGAGGGGGGCTTATGCCACCAGTTTTCTCTGAAATGAGTTTTTTATTGTGTAAATGGGATAAAATGTGTGCTTTATTATTGGAGCTTAAACCTAAATTTTGCCTTGAATCCAGTTTCTTAAGGAAATTACTTGTCCTTTGTAATTAGGCAGGCAGCTGCATCAGCCATTTTATACTGGTATCTATGACAGCGTCTCATGTTTCCAAGCATGGACCCCAAAAGGCTGAAGACACCGGAAGTTTTGGAATTAGATATGAGAGATGGTATAGATAGGGAATACAGCCATAAGATTTTTTCTACCTGAAAAGGTCTTATCAGGAAATGCCGCATTTGCCCATAATGATAACCCAGAGTATGGGTTAGCACTGAATTGTAGGTTATTATGTTTCAAAAAACTGCATTATGGTTTAACTATGTGTAGTTAACCATAAACAACGCTGGAAGAAAACCCATGGTTTGTTGAACTCTGAACTGTTAGTGGTTAACAACCTATAGGTAAGCCATGGGTTCACATGTAGCAACAATCTATAAGTCAACAATAATCCAAATTTCTTCTGTCTGAACTGGAAACTGTAATTATTTTAAAACAGATATGGGCAACATACAGCCCATGGGCCACATGTGACCAGGACCAAAATTTGCAGTGGCAAAAAATCTGATGGTTCGCTGCAAACCACTACCAAACAAACAAACAAACAAAACTGTTTGAAAACAAACAAAATGTGTTTATTTTACCCCTCTGTAGCAGCTTGTTAATGAAATTCAAAGGCAGGTTACTGCTTTTTCAGCTGTCAAAAATATTGCCATTGGCAGAAATGTGGTCACGGGTCATCAATTTAGATGATTTTTAACAAAAGAAAATCAGGATCAGAAAGCACATTGGGCTTCTTCCATGGACACAGTGTTCAATAATAGAACAAAGCTAGCCCCTCTCACAGCAGACACACTTGCTCCCCACCTTGGCTGGCAAGAGCTTCAAAGCTTTCATCTCCATGCTTTTTTTTTTTTTTAAATTATCCACATTTTGTTGCGTCATCCAAAACCAGACCAACTGTTATTAAACTTAATAACAGTGAAAAGAAGCCAACTTCAAAGTATAGTTTATATCCTTGTCAAGACTAGATGGCGAGTTCATATTAAACTAATTCTATACCAGCTCCACAGGTTGCCAGTGTGTTTCTAGGACTAATTCAGGGTATAGCCACTGACTTTTAAAACCCTAAGCTGTTTGGGTCCAGATTATTTTGAAGGATTACCCATACCTATATAAGCCTGCTAACGTTGTAAAATCATATTTAGGGGCCCTGTTCACTGACCTGTCACTGAGATCAGTAAGGATGGGATACGGCCTCCATCCTATGTAATCATTTCCCAAGAGCCATATGGCTAGCTCCTTCTGTGGCTGCTTTTGAGAGTAATTTTAACACGTACTCACTTTCTCTGGCTCTGGCCTTGAAAAGGTTTTATTGCATTTGCTGTTTCTATATATTAAAACTTCCAATCTCCTCCTTGCAGCTGTATCAGGGAAAGGGAAGAGATCTGACACCATTTGTTAGAGTTTGCAAGTGTCATAGTGAAGTATCAGTATTCTGCAGTACTATCTGTTCAAACTTGAATACTTCATTGACAGGCTGCAGTGGAGCCAAACCAGCTAATGAATATTTTGACTAACAGAAATGCAATATAGCTATAAATATTCCCAACCTTTCCACATGCTCGGCAGTGGTGTCTTCTCCATGTCAGTGTGAACTCGCTAGTACAAATCATGCACATGGTAGCTCTAGTATCAGGAATCCATATTGGAGCCTTTGACCCTATAGGTGTATCTTCTTCTTCTTTCTCTAGATCTGCCTAAGGTAGTGAGAAAAGGATGAATGTGTGAAAACCTCATAAACTGACAGATTTCAGGATATTCTTCAGATATTTCTAACTAGAACTGTATAGACCACAACTGTTTTATGAATGTCATTAACACATTTCTAAAGAGTTATGGTTTCCAGGGGCACAATTTCTGATTTCGCTGTGTATTGCAGTAGGAAACAAAGCTTTTGTTTGGTGAGTGGCAAGAAGCACAGCTATGTTCTAAAGCCCATCTGGTATATATTCATGATGAAAGCTTTGTAGGGAGCTTTGTCAAGTCAGACCTCCTATTCAGTGCAGGAAATTCAGAGCTAGAGCATACTCAGTAGGTAGATGCCCAGTCTCCAACTGAACACCTCCAAGGAAGAAAGGTCCCCCTGCCAGGTAATTGGTTCCACTGTTTACAGTGAATCCAGCCTTGAAGAAATGTCTACTAACATTTAACCAAAATCTACCCTCCTGTAGCATGATAAGTAAAGAAATATTATCACATGTGAAACATGAAGTCTTTTCTTCCCCTTTGGAGTGTTCAAGTTGAGCTTTTAGTATGCATAGTCAATATAAGAACCAGTGTACAGAGCCAGTTAATTAGATCAGAAAGGCAGGTGTCCCTACTATTAGTGGGACAGGGCATGGCATAACTCCAAGAGGAAAATATACAAGCATTCAAAAAGAAAAAACCCATAGAGAACCTACTTCTTCCAGACTTTTACTAGGGTTAAAAGTGATTCGCTTCTTTGTATAGTCTTCAATTGACCTGGAGATAGCTTCTAACCATTCATCTCTTTCTGTGGCAGAACTGTTGGGGGTCAAATAATACTTCAGTTGAGCAACATTCTTACACAGTGTTCTTACACAACTAAGGATGCAATTCTTTGCATGTTTGGAGAGAAAAACATCCTGTACTTCCAGCATGTCCCAGCGTGCCATGCACAGAATTGCATATTAAGCAGCTTCCCCCTTTTACCACATTTCACTATGAATCAACATGATTCTAGGCAAGGACAATAAGCAAATTTTTGTTACCCCAACTATGCTTGTGTCTAGCAAGCTTACCTTGCTGACAGGATGAAGGATCGTTCTACACTTTCTATGTTCAATTCATTTTGGTAAGCTTCATAGGTTGGTTTTCTAACCTGACAAAGAAACAGAACAAATAGCCCATCTGTATTTTATTTACTCAGAAAAGGAAATGTTCTATCAACTTGTAACTCAAAAGGCTTAGCAAGAAAAAGAACACAAATAACAGACAAGGTATGCCTCTTGTCAGAGACTACAAAGCAGTGAATGGTGACAATAAAAAGAAAATGAGTATTTTCAATGTTGGGAAGCCCAAATACTGAACCAATTAGGACTGTAAACAGTGTAGAAAGAGCAAAAATGCTCAGCTAGAACTAAGAGGGGATGGGGAAGAAAGCAGGTTGCCCAGGCAATGGAAAAAGAAGGCAGGCAGATGAGGAGGAGGTAAAGAGAATAAACAGCTGGAGTGGGAAATTCATGGCTGATGGAAAGAGCTGGTTTACATGTGATAAAAAGACACAGTAGTTGAATTTCTCTGTGCAGCCTTTTGTCATAGTGGCAGCCAAAATTTTAAATGTTGGGGCTGTTGAGAGCCAGGATTCCATCTTGGTGCATGCAAAAGGGACAGACCATTTTTCTTAGGAAGCATTCTTTATTGGTTAAAAAGCACAAAACGCCCAGTATGAATCATTGAGCATGCACAGAGTGGTTTGTTGAACCCAATCTAGTATTCACTTCCAGGAACTCTCCTTATGAGCATGCCTGGGCCCCATTCCTTTGAGAAGGGCTTTCTGAAAGTGAACATGCTTTCTCTCCACATACCAATCTTCTAATTTGGCTGCCCTTCTCTGCTAATGCCATGTCATAGGGTCCAGAGCCAGGGCTGCCTGGTCTGTGTCCGAGAAACTTCCCTGCTCTGACTCCCCTCCCACCAGCTGTACATCTTGGTTATTCCCAGAGACTGCCTGCCCACCTGGGGAGTCTGGTATTGGGATAAGTGTCTCTGCTTCTCTCATCTCAGTGTCCCAGCATGGTCCACATTCCCCAGCTCCCTCAGTTTTGCTTCACATTCTGATTCTTCTGGAGTCCAGCCAGCAGTCCTTGAGAACGAGCACCCAAAGCAGCCATTTCTTACTCCCAACAGGGGGCATGCCATAGCTTCTTGTTACCTGCAAACACCATAATGGTGGGTTTTGGAGGTGTTTCTGGGTGGCTTGTTAACAACCTCTAGAACCCATACTCACCTGATTTGCATGTATCAAGAAACTGTGTGTCCAGCCATGTCCCAAATACTCAAAATGGTGGCTGCTTCTGACAAAAACTTCCTGAGGAAAACAATGAATTGCCTAAACCAGGCCAGAGAAGCTAAAATAATTCTTCATGAGACAAATAAGAAAGCAATAAAAGAAAGTGAGAATAAACACCTGAGAAAGCAGAAGACTGAGAGTAAAAGATCTGACAGGCAGAGAGATAAACAGCTAGTGTTAAAAGAAGCAGCATTTGTTCCTGCAAGAATCAAAGCTCTGTGCTGTGTGTCAGGCCTGGCGAAAGATGAACTGATCAAAAGTTTTCAGTGTTTTGCAGGGGTAACTCTGAAAGCTGGGGGAAGGAGAGAGGGAATTGTAATGGACTTCCTGCTTGTGCAAACTATATTTATTTAAATGCAGGAAGCACTCATTTATTCTGGAATCATTGTTCTATTACTGACTTCCCTTTCTTATCTGAATTCTTTACTTACCTTTCCTTTTCTTTAATATATTAGTATTAATGTTGGGTTTATTTGTATATTATTTATTTATGTATTTATTGTGTTTATATCCCACCTTTTTCATTTTCAAGGAACTCACGGCAGCTTACATAATTCTTCTCTTTCTTCAATCTTATCCACACAACAACCTTGTGAAGTAGTTTGGATTGAGAGTCAGTGACTGGCCCACAGTCACCCAGTGAGCTTTCATGGCCAAGTGAAGTGAAGAACTCAGATCTCCTGGGTGCAGTCCTGTACTCTTAACCAGTGTGCCACTGCATCAGGCTCTCAAGTGTGACAGTCCAGTGCTGTAGCCACTATACCATGCTGAGATCAGAGGCACCCAAATGCTCACCAAGGCTTACTGGGTGACCTTGGGCCAGCCACCATTTGTCCATCTACCTCACAGACTTGCTGAGGATAAAAGGGAAGACCATACATGTTGGTCTCAGTTCCTTGGACAAAGGGTAGGATACATATTATAAATATATTATATCATAAATAATAAAACAAACTGTACAGCATATCCATGATGTATTTCAGAAGCATTTATTCTCAGAAAAGCACTAACATCTCTATTAAATTTAGACACTAACAGTAAAGATGGTATCTTTTAGCAAAGACCACAGCAGAATAATTTCTTCGTCTTGCCACACACTAATTTTTTTATTACAGGTGATTTTGGTACATGAGTTCCAGCTATCTGTTAAAAAGCACAATAGGCAGAAATTTCATTCACTTACTTTCATTCCAGCCAATGACAGCATGTTGTTCAGTTTATACATTCCAGACTGCATAGGTGTTGTATACAACAGAGTATCATTAAACTGAAACAAAGATTGTATTAAAATGAGACTGAAATTATATTGTATTTAAAATACAGAAAATGTGTACACTTCAAAGCAAACTTCCCAGAGAGGGTACCGAAAGTAAACTCTGCCCCCTCACAGCCACTTTGGTGGGATACAGCTCTTTTCCTGTACTCGCATACTGAGGCCTCAGACATGAAAATAGACATGAAATTGTATTCAGAAATAGTTTGTGGATGCAAAACTTTCTGTTCCTTTTTTCAAAAATGATTTGGCTAATCAAGCAACCCCATTTTTCTGAATTCATAATTTGGGATAACGTGAAGGATATGAACTCTGTGATGTTGAACTGCTCACCCTCCCAAGTCCAGACACTCAGGTAATATTATTTAAAGAAAGTGCTAGTCTAACTAAGTATCAGATTTCTGGGTTGTACACAGACTTTGCACTTCTGAGAAAGTGGCATTCATTTTTGCAAAAGTTTCTCTTTTAAACTAAACATTCAGGAAAACAAATTTCAAAAAGAAAATATCTCCGATGGGAAACGTGTTGCAATGCACTAAAGGAAATAAAGTTCAAGAAGCCACAGTGAAAGGAAAAACAGTAATACAAACTCCAAGATAAATTATTCAAAACCATTAGCTGAACCTACTAGGACTGGCTGCATCACTATGAAATTACTCTAGCATTAGGCATGCAAAAATGTTTATGGAATCTTACCAAAAAAAACATTCGTGGCTGCATAACTTTCCTGGACAGTTTCATCAGTGTTCCTTCTTTCAAAAAGATCTAGGTGATCAAGCAAATAAATGTAGAGATCAACTGCCGAAGGCATATATTATCTCAAAGAGAGAATCTCTTTTGTTCTTTAAAATGCTGACATACTAACCAAGAGCCAAACAAGGGAATGAGACCATGTAGTCAAGGAGGAGAGACCCTAAAGAAATGGAAAATTGCCAGGAGAGGAGCAGTTATCAGTAGCACTAAAATCCATAAGCTAGGACACTGCTGCTGTAAAGAGAGCGGGGGGGTGATCTTGGTTCACACATAACATTAACTTGGGGAAAGTGAGAGACAGCAGGTGCTCTTCTACTTTACTGTACAACCCACAAATGGCTTTTTCATAGCTTGTGCAGTGTGACATGTGAACCCAGACTGCTGAGTAATTAAAAAGCAGAGATATCCAGTAGTTAACCCATGGTTTGCTGACACCCTCTGAACAACCCAGTGGTCACATTGCAAAACCTATGAAGGTTGTGTTATAAAGTAGAAGAGACAGACATGCTGCAGACAGAATGCCTGCTGTACAATTTAAAATCAGTTTTTAAATTGATGCATTGTCATTATGTGTGAACAGGGCCAGTGTGAAAAATGAGGAAAGCAAAGGAAAAGCTTGAAATGCAAATGTTGGATGCATATGTTGGAAAACAAGACAAACCCTTGGCTGGGCTGGTCTAAGCAAAACTCCATGGAGCACTAGCAACTGGATTGTGGAAATGGTGCCAGGCTTTGTCTTCCCTCCTGCCATGGCAGCTGTACTGCCAAAGGAAATGTGAGTGCCCGATGAAGAACCCAGACAATCCCCTCTTGTAGAGCTATAACCCACAGGTGGGCAACAAGTGTTTGTTTTCTTATAATCTCATTTCTACTTATTAGTGAACTTACCCGCCCTGGCTGTACAATCTCGTGGTGACCACTTAAACTGTATTGTATATGTATAAGTTTTTGAAAGTTATCCTAAAAGATGAAAATAAGAAGTCACTGTAAACAACTGCCCATTAGACATATTACCAATATGAGATACAATCTTTCCATGGTCCATAAAGCTACATTGGAAGCTAACTCAAATTGGCTTCAGCAGGGCTTCACTCTTCTGGCATATGTCAATCACAGTTCCACATTTATGAAATCTATCACTAGAAGCCACACACAAGGAAAGGAGGATTAAGCTGAAATAGGGAGGTTATAAATGGGAAGTTCAGGTTAAATTAAGGGCTTGGTATTGCAGGCATATTTTAAATGTAGACTTCAATCAAACAAAATAGTAAGCCAGAATTGCTGTTCAATCTCAAGTGCCTCAACTAGCAAAGCTGGAGATTAAGGTTGTTGGGCTTAAAGTGAACTAGTCTATCACTGTATTTCTACTGTTAAGGTTGAATTGCTGAACAAGCAGGTTGTTTGATTGCTTCTGCTTGGTTCCTCTTGAAGGGGGCTAGCTAAATTAACCAGGACCTTGCCAACAATAGAAAACTTAAGTGTTGTATCTGAACCCAGAACCTGGCTTCTCATTTGACAACCCCAGAAAGAAGCAAAGTACAGACTCTGGCTTCAAACTCTGCATTGTTAGAGAACAGAAACATCAGGAGTCTGGGTGGAGATGCAACACTTCTTGTTTTGCCAGTTAGATCCTGGTTATTTCAGCTATGTCTGTTTATAGATGGAAACTCACATGACCAGTGTGCATGTACCAGCATGTTTCCCCACAAATGTTTGCAACAATTTTGCTGTATGGCTTTGTCTAAATGTAGTTACAGACCATTCTTAATTTAATCCAACACCCCTGATCTCTAACACCTAGCAATTCAACAGCTGGAAAGGTGCATATATCAATAGCTGGATGCATTCAGGCTGTCATTCTGCAAAAAAATCATCTCAAGGGGGTAAACAGCTGATAGTAAAATGATAATGTTAAAGAACTTTTGAGATTTCAAAAAAACAGTATAATAGGCAGTGGTAGCTTTCAGCCTGGTATCTGTTTGTAGATCTGTGAGCTTTCTGGCCAATCAAGAACCCAACGATGATTCAATTCAGAATGAAGGTTGCACAGTGGGCCCCAATTAGAAACAGCATGCAACTATAGTTGTTGCTAGTCGCGAAGTCGTGTCCGACCCATCGTGACCCCATGCACAACATTCCTCCATGGACAGTACCAAAAGGCAACTATAGTAGCAATACTAAAATTGTTTGAAACATGGTGCTGTTGAGTTTATACTTTTAAAACCTTACAGAATTCTTCAACTGAAATACTACTTACTCCTTGTTTCATAATGTCATTGGCATGGTTGGCCACCTCTATGACAACCGCAAGAGCATCTTAAAAGTAAAACAGAATGATTACTGCTGTTGTTTTAGGGACTATGTGAGTCAATATTGACATCTGAAAATACACTGTGAAACAAATCTTTAAAAAATATCTGAAAGAAAGGCAAATTATTTCCTTTATCATTAGTGCTGCATGCCAGTGGGAGGCAAAATACAGGCAAAATAACAAAAATACCAGCCCATTTTTAGCTTAAAGCTCTTATTTAAGTAACCCCTAGAAAAGGCATGTCAACTTTTTAGGATAGGGAAAAACTACATAAAAACACAGAAACAAAAACATGATTGGCAAGGTGGGGTGAGGAACAAGGCCCTCTGAGAACCCCAAGGACCTGTGTGGGGCTCCACTGCAACAGGCTTTGGCTTGCAGGCCTGCAGTTCATTAGCTCTACTTTGAAGTGAGTTTCATGCATTAGTTCCAACACAGCTTGGAAGAAACTGACCATCTTTCAATTTGTAGAATGGACTTTGATCCAGTTTGGTTTCCACAAATGGAAATGGGGTGAAGGAAGCAACTTCTGCTGATTTCCCAATTTCTCTTCCATGTTGTTCCAGCATATTCAGGGCAGGTGCTTAGGGAGCAGTGGAAGCTTCAGGAAAAGGTGGGGCTAAAAACCAAGGCTGGAACTCCCTTCATAGAACTTTGAATCTATCCTGCCAACCAAGTGTCAAGAAGATTGGGACTTCTCCTTAAAATAGAGACTAACTAAAAAGCAATTACCCTGAGTATCTTTGAAGTCAGCAGAATCTTCTAAAAGGTTCTTCAAATAATCTGTAGAAAAAGAAGCATAATTAAGGAAGACAGCAGAATGGTACTATTTCAATAAACATCACAGACTGTTACATTAACTAAAGCACGGTAGCAATTAATGGCATATTAAAGTTTGGAAGAAAAAAACACTTCAAACTTATGGCCTCCTTATATCATTGGGGCAGCAGCACAGGATTCTTTGGAGTCCCATCATCAAGATCCTACAGCAATCCTATTGGAGCACTGAAGCCAAGTCCTGTCCCTCTTTCCTCTTATGGAAAGGACCATGATAACTGCCTCTGCAAGAGAGCAAATGGACCTCGGGGAAGGGGAATGGTGTGCCAGGGAGCAAATTGAGAGGAAGACTGGGGCAAACTCCATATGCTGATTCCAGTTAGTGACCTAACCTCCTTCCGTCCTTGGCACTTTGTCTAGACAGCCAAAAATGACTGTCTAAATAACATGCATGTGTTGATGCACAATGGCAGCAGAGATGACCACCATGCCTTGGTCTAGCCATTGGATGCCCATATGCTTGCAAATTTGGAGGCTTACACGCATCAAGGGCAGAGGTAATAGGACTGTGCCCTTATACAATCTGAATATGACAACATTATTAAAAATATTATTTCTTAGAGCAAACATTCTGAAAAGTTGAGTCATGAAATAAATATTATACACACACAGCTTGTCTTTCCTTGAAATATGGACCCCAGAAGCAGTTAAGTTTTGCTATATTATGACTTCAGTGCATAAAAATGACCTTTATTCATCTGTCTGCATATTATTAGCGTTTATATACTGCTTTATGCACTAAAAAGCCTTTAAGACATATATAACAATTTAAGATAAAACTATACAAGGGCACTAAAATGGTTAAAACATTAAAGCATTCCAAAAAATGAAATGGAAAAGATGCATCTTTTCAGTCTTTGTAAATGCCAAGAATGGCTCAATCACTCCACTGTCAGGAAGCAATACAGGAGAATGCACTTTCACATGTTCCCTGACAAACAGGTCCTGCTGGTTGTTGCTAAGTTTGGAGACACATGATTCTAAATTTAAGCAGCACAATACTATGTATTTTACTCAGAGGCAAGCCCCACTACATTCAATATAATTATCTGTAGAACATTACACCCTGCCTATTTTCCTCTTGTAAGGAACCTAAGGTGGCTTACATGATTTTCCTTTCCACTTTATCCTCACAACAAGACCACTGTGAGGTAGCGTAGACTAACTGTGAGGTAGCGTAGACTAAGAGTCAGGTCTTAGTCCAACACTTTAACCACTAGCCTAGTGGCTTAGTCAACACCTAAACCACTCTAGCTCTCACTATATTATACTTATATATAACATTAATTGTAGAGGATGTTTAAACAGTACAAAAGTATTGGTCTATGCTCAGTGTTGTGTTTTGCCACTAGATGGCCCAGTTGAAGCACAGAGGTATGGCTTGAATAGCTTGACAAGTTTTCCTTATGTGAGAGAAAACCTCAGACCCATTAATTTCAAAAAGACTTAAATGTGTTTAGCGTAGTAGCCCTCTGCCTTAGCATCATTAAATGTGTATTTAAAACATTCTGATCCCTTCTTGAAGAGTAGCTGGGTTCACATATAGCACATGTTCCTGTAATAGGACACTTTCTCTTTCCTCCCAGTAAGAAAAGAAGGAATGAGAGAGAGACAGACTAAAAGATATTGCACCCGCCAGGGTATCTCACAGCTATTATGAATCTAGCTGAATTCTATACAAAAACAGCACGAAACCTAAACAGGTCTTGACTTGAACAGGCAGAGCAGAGACAAACTTTTAAGGAGTCTTACAAAGGGAATCTTATAAAGATAGGAAGAGATGTATTTATTTAATGCATTTATATCTACACTCCACCTTTCATCCACTATGGAATTCAAGATGGGATGGCTGTTTCCTGGTGGTCTCCCATCTAGGCACTGACAAGACACAGACCTGCTTGGCTTCAGGTATCTCTTGTGCACTCAGATCATGCCTTGGCTGATCTTGGGAATGCTCTGATACAAATATAATTTTCTGTAAATCATGTACTAATCTGGAGATGATAAACAACATGCTGGTTAATCTTTCTGCTTGCCTGTTTGTGCGACTCTTGCATGAAGAACTGCTTATAATTCCAAGTGGTTTTCTAAGATTCCATGGGACTAGTTAAACATCCATCTTCTAGAGCAACATACAAAAAATACTGGGGGAGGGAGTTGCAGAAAGATTTGTTTTACATTAATGGGAAGGGAAATCATGTGGGACAAAATTCTACATTGTTCTTCCTGGACAAGTGTAGCATTCTTGGAATATCTCCCATTAGTAGCAATAGGATTTTAACACTGGTTGAAGATAGCAGAAAAGTATAAGTGTTTTTCGGCAAACAAATAGCACTAGATAAGGAAGTTGCAAATAATAATAGCACACAGGAAGAAGTAGTGAAGGATATGAGTAAACGGAAGGAAAAGAAATAACTGACTGCCTTAAAAAAACTGGAAGACCTACTCATTTTGCTGCTCTACTGTATTATCCTTATTCAAATTCAATCAGTCAGGGATTAAGCAGAGCCAGGGCTCCCTAGAGCTCCACCTCAAAACTGGTTTTCCATGTTTTTGGGAGCAGTCCTGAAATATGTAAAATAATAAATCTAAGACTGTCTCTTTGATGTATGCCAAATGTCACTTCTACCACCAGTAGCCATCAACCCCATATATATCACATTGTGGGTAAGAGCTTCTAACTCTGAATTCAGCATCCATTCTATATACTTCATACTTTCACAAGCTTGTAACATGGGGATCTTGTTGTTGTTGTTTCTGCTCTTTTGATTGAACTTGCTATACTTTCTATTGAGGTGGGGAAAGTGCAGCTCTCAAGATGTTGTTTGGTTATAACTCTCATCACTGCTAGCTTGCATTGCCAATGGTGAATCATGATAGAATATGTAGCCTGATAACTTCTGGAGGGACATCCCTGCTTTCTATCACCATAATGCAAATCTTCTGCATTATTATCTACAACAGCACTATCACTGTAAATAAGCAAGAGAGGCAGAATTTTTCCCGAGGTGCTTGCAGACTAATTATGGACTGGGATGGCAGATAGAAATAGAGGATAAATATGCGCAAATGCAGTTGCATATACAGGCAGTCCCCAGGTTACAAATGAGTTCTGCTCCTGAGAATGTTTTTAAATCCAAAATGTATGCAAGTTAGATCACATATGTACAGGTCATATTTAGCATGAGTAAGCCAAATGTTTGTCATGGCATGTGCATATATTTTACCTTTCTATGCATATAAAGCACTTAAACACTTTCATAAACAGTTGGCCCTTCACATTTGCAAGAGTTAGGGGTGCAGGAACCCTTGCAAAAGTGGGAAAACCATAAATATCTCTAGTCTCCCTCCAATCTTAACTCTTAATTCTTTTGACTGCTTCTCCCTCTGTCTCACAAGTCTTGGTCTGATCCAGCATGGATCCTCGTCTTCATGTATTACATTCTTGCATTCTTATTTCCTGCTCTTCCTTTCACACACCAGCGCTTCCTCTTTGTACCAAGGAAATGCCGGACAGATTTCCCCCTCTTGATGGGTGGGGCAAGAAAGCAAGCTTTGAAGGGCTCTAACTAGAATTTTTAAATTAATAGGCTTTATGTCAGTTCGTTTGTAATCAAGGATGCTCGTGAACTGGATGTTCATAACCTTGGGACTGCCTGTAGTAAGCTTTGTGATACTGAAGTGAGAAGAGAAACAAGACTGAATTAGCATTTTATAAATTACCTCCAATTGTTTTCCTAACTTCCATTTGAATGATACAAATGTTTTTTATAAGAAGAATGTCATGGCAAACAAAGGTAAACTTAACTTCTTACTATACCCTGCTGCACCTAACAAATGTTTTAATATATACAGACTGCATTCAGTTAAATGTAATTCAGTTCTATTTCATTGGAATTAGAGCAAAAGTAACTGGAAGCAGGAGAGCCATTATGCCAGGAGCTCCCCATTTTTATCTAGAAATTACTGTCTGATCTTATTACAGGGATTCCATATTGCCCACATGGAGTTTTTTGCTTCTCACATCAAAAATCAACAAGCTCTCATGTACACATGAATGCATATACATTTACACACATATATACCTGTATTTATCAGTTTTGCATGTCTGGAAGAGTTTTAGAGAAAAGACTGCACTTTCCTGATACAAAATATAGGTATTTGGCAACTGGCATAGACAGTCCTCTAAACAATCAGCAAATTACCTATATATGTATTTATTTATTCATTCATTCATAATTTGAAGATAAATGTGACAGTTGTTTCACAGAAAGAATGCTCAGCATGCAAAACCTTGTGTATTGTCATGAAGGAAAGGCAAGTTATGATATAATTTCTGCTATAATTTCTGATATAATTTGGTCCATAGTTTCTTAAAGTCTCTTGAACTAAAAGCAACAATGTCAAAACCAACATTTACCACTCCTGACCTGCCAACACACTAACATGAAACAAAGAAAACAAAACAGAGCAAGGAAGTCTGAAAAGTGTGGAATTCACTAACTCAGCAAAAAAAAGTGCTCTGTGCATCTTTGGCAATGGAGTTAAATTTTCTGCAGCAAATGAAAAGGCAACTAAAAACTGTTTCATTTCACAGAAAGCAGCTAACATTTGGATTCACTGAATATGAGCAACTTATAGAATGAAACAATGCGTGACCCCTCCTCCATTATTAATTATGAATACAATAATGAATAAGTATTGAACAGCTGTATGGGAGCAAAAAACCAGAGAAAATAGCGTAAGTTTATGCAAGTGTGCCAACTTTATTCTTTCACTGACAGTAGAAAAGAGATAATCAGTTCACTGTTTGGTTTCTGTTTCTTTCCATTTTCTTTTTACTAGAAGTGAACTTTTTTAATCCTTGGTAATGATCCTTGGCCATCCTCAATTCATACTGCATTAAATATTGGATGGCTTTGTACCATCTCCGGAACATCCTCAGTCTGACAGAGGAGGCCCACAAACTGCTGTAGCTTCTGTTCCTCGCCAGTGCAAGAACGGACAGGGACCAACTTTCATCTTGAAGGTCGAAGGAGCTGGAATAGCAGTTTTTTTTTTGTTTGTTTTTTTACACAAGAACAATATGTCAACATTTTCTTCAGGAAAACACCCACAGATTGGCACCTCTCACTTTTGCTTCTGTGTTCCACATCAATTAGACAATTATATATCATCCTCAACTACTCTTATAGATCTAGACAAAGATTACTTTTTGTTGTTGCTGTTACTTGAACAACTGAATAACAGATCTACTCATCAAGTGAGTAAGAAAACTCTTTAAAAAACAATAATGTAAAAATATGTATTCTTCCTGGCAACCTGCATAATGCATTATTGGATGCGCCTGCAAATCCTTCCTTTTAGAGTTCAAAAACCAAACCTTAAAGAGGAACCCATATCCATTTGATTACAACTTATGGCACAACCCCACACTTTTTTACATAGAAGTCCTATTTATTTCAGTAAGTTTTATTTACTTGTTGTTGTTAGTTGTGAGGTTGTGTCCGACCCATCGCGACCCCATGGACAACATTCCTCCAGGCCTTCCTGTCCTCCACCATCCCCCGGAGTCCACTTAAGCTCACGCTGACTGCTTCAGTGGCTCCATGTAGTCACCTCTTAAGTGCAATTTTAGAGAGTAACCGCAGATCTAAGGACAAGCCCCCTCCCTATTTTACACTCCTTTATAAAAAAGAAACCAGTTTTACAGATGGACGGAATATAGATTTTTTCAGAAATTGTACTGATAATCTTAGCCACATCACCTGAACTGTAGAATATGCATGAATCAGCATTTGTTTTAAGAAAAATACGTGCATTATAGCAGTTTTCAGGGCCTCCCTTTTTGAAATCAATCCTGTTTTATCCTGAACAGCAAGACAGGACTAACAGCTGTGGAAACATAGTATAACTTCATAGGCTGATATTTATCACTAACTAAATTTATTTAACAGAAGATGAAAAAGAATCAACAGCATGCTTCCTTTGCATTTCATCCACCCTAGAAAAATTTCTAACAAAACAGTTTCACCATTCATCTATAGTCAGGTAAAATATTTTTTGATGAGCTGAGATTGCCACATATTCAGAATGGCTTTTATGTTGCAAAATTAACTTTTACCTGTCAAGAGCAGCCTGTACTGGGGGATCCTCTGAACTGGCTTCAGCAAGTAGTGCTTCAGTGCCAAGCTGGCACAGCGAGGACTCATCTGAAAAACAAACCACCCAGGATTCTAAAATACAACTAACATCCTTTAAAAGCAGCAAACTGAACAGTTTACTGTTGCTACTGTATGGTGGAAAGCTTATTTGTTTTTTATACCACTAGATGACCACCACAGACTGTCCTGGATTTAGAAACCTGCTTTGATATATAGATTTATTTAGCATGTCTGCTTTCTAACAGCAGTATCCAACGCTGCTGCTTCTGCCATGCTGTTTTAGTATAAGCAACCTTAAGGACAATACCAATTTCTTATGTTGAGAAGAAAACCCATCACACCGAACATGCAGTGATGCAACTGGAACAATGTGGTGCCTCTAGACATCTTCCCTCTTGTTCACTGAGACTCCCTACTTTGTCCTGCTTTTTTATTTTTTAAAATCTTTTCTTTTCTTACTGGCAGCTGTGTTTGATTCAGAGTGATCTAGCCTCTAGTGACTGCCCTCTTAATTTCCCATGAATCCTTTTCGAAAGGTTACTTATTTTTGAACAGCCATGCCATCCACAGTGGACATCTTATAGCTGTGCCCAAGACAATTTTTCAAAGTTAAAAATTTCCATCATTTTCAATCATTGCCTACTTCCTGCCTCAGTGGCCTCACTGTTCTGAAAGTTTCCTCATATAAACCCAGTATTATTGCTTCTATTCTTGCACATAGGCAACTGCAAATTGTTACTTTTTTTCTGTTTAACAAATCTAATGCGGCTTTGTCCTCAAATAAACTAGGCAAAACATAAGCAAAGGGCCATGGAGACATGTTGCCTTGAGTCTGCATTTTGGCAGCAGATTTAATCCCAAACGAAAGGCGCTTTAGCCAAGGACTATGACCTGCTTCTAACATTCCACCCACTCCAAAGTGCCTGAAAATACATCTTGTGGATGCAGGACTCGTATAAATCACAGATTTATAGAGCAGGAAGAGGATTTGTAGCACATCTATTCTAGTTCCCTGCTTGAAGCAAGATGAAGGATAAGAGGCGAGTTGCTAAAGGACAATATTTATTTTTCAATTTATATCCTGCCTTTTTCCTCAAAGGACTCAAGGCAGCTTACATCATTCTCCTCCTCCATCTTATCCCCACAACAACCCTGTGAGGTAGGTTGGGCTGAGAGTCTGTGACTGGCCCAAAGTCACCCAGTTGGCTCCATGGCCGAGTGGGACTAGAACCTAGATCGTCTGAGTTCCAGTCCCATGCTCTTAACCACTACCCACACTGGCTCTCAACCTTCTCTCTTTTAAACTTCATTTAAAACAAATCATTTAAGAATACAGAAGTCCCTCAACCAGTGTTCTACAATATCTGTCTGGGTTATAATGGTGAATTAGATACTTCTTGCATCGATTTTAAAGGTACTTAGAGGAAGCATACAGAACAGAGGCATCTACTTTATGTAAAGTGTTAGATGTTACTCATATTTTTTGCTTCTGAATGCTTTAAAATCACAGCAAGCCAATACTGGGAACATAAAGAACTTCAACTCACATGAATTTTTAAGAGGGTTAGTAAGTGGGAAAAGGTAAAAAAAAAAGTCTGTGTTACAAACGATAAGACAAATGAATTTGTATTCTGCTACTGTACAATGCAGCTGTTAAACAATGCTAAAAGCAAAAGAAAAATGTTTGTGGACATACATGCTTACAAATATTTAATTACCTCAAAATCGCGAACAACAGCTGCAAACCCAGGGTTCTTTTTACATTGTTCATGTAGGAGGGCTACATTCCTATCAAATTCTTTGATGTAAGTGGAATACATTTTTAGGTAAGGTCCCTTTTTCACAAATATATCAGCAATTCTCTGATGGTCAATCCTAGAATTTAACACCATGAACAGTTAGAAGCAAGATCTACAGACTACAACACAGAGGGAACACATTTTCATTTCTTTTCTGCCTGTCTCCGTAAGTTTCTCAACCAGAGAACAAGAAGATCCTGCAAAAACGGTGCCAAACCCATGGATCTTATTATGCAAACCCTGTAACATGTTTAGGGCTTTCCAATTTTGCTATGTATTTCTGACTACTTCTATTCAAATATAAATCTACAGAGGACAACTAATGCTCTGTGAGCTAATCTTGCCTATGGATAACCACCACTTCTTAGTGTCATCCCTTAAATTAATAAGAGGGTCCCTTTAAGCTGCAGCAAACCTTTTCAGAGTTGGCATCACAAGAGGAGAAGAATGGCAGAAATGAGCATTTTTTTCATCTCTCTTTCCATCCGCGCCGGATACCCCAGACTAGCAGCCAAGCTGGTTATGATGTTTTTCACATCATTTGGCCTTGGGTGGTTGTTTTTCTTCCTTAAACAAACAGCTAATATAGGGGTTGAGCCAGATCATGACAGGAACCTTAGGAAGGGTGAATTTGATTTTTTTTTCCTTATCATGTTCTCCACCCTCATCAGGCCTCTGTATACCTGTATTCACAATAGGTATACAATAGAAAACCTGCTACTGGTTCCAGTTATTCATTTATCTCATATACCCATGCAGGTCTAAATGATGTGAATAAGATGTCTAGTTTGGCCCTAGGAATCTACTTCATCTAGTAATAAGTGATCTGTTCTTATAGAGTAAGGCTCTCAGTACCTCTCATTTCTGCTCTCTGCCCAAAGCAGCCAAGCTAGTTGCAGACTAAATGAAATTTTTCGATTGAAAGTAGTCACAATATCATACTGGACTCTTCTCTTTGGAAATCAACTCTGTGCTCTAAAACAAGTCACACATTACTAGGAACCTACCTCTTTTTAAGATCAATAACCCTATGTGAAAACCAACTCATAAGAAGAAATATATAACTGCATAGATAGATAGGTAGGTAGGTAGGTAGGTAGGTAGATAGATAGATACCAGTGAGACAGCCGTTCTTCTAGCTCTCTCAAAAGATCCCGGTTGAGTTCATACAGCTGAGGTAAGTAGTACAGGATCTGATTCAGGATTCTGTCTTCAATTACTGGCTTTCCAAGCTGCCTGGAAGCATGTGCCACAGAATCCCGGAAATCCTATTACAGCACAAATGGAAAACACAGATAACATACACACCATCTCTAAGAATAAAAAGTTATATTGGTCTTGCAGCACTTTAACAGTCATGGTTTCCTCAAAAAAAAAGAAAAAAGAAAAAAAAGAATAAAATCCTGGGCATGATAGTTCTCACCAAGAATTAACATGCACAGAAATTTCCATCTGAGATTCTTCCATCCACAGGATATAGTGATGTTCATCAATTTGCATGGCTTAGATTATCAATAACAACTAGTCTTAATCACTATGTATTATTTCAAATGTTGGAGGCAGTATGCTCCTGTGTATACCACCTCCTGAGAAACACAAACATGTGCGGGGTGCAACTTGTGGGATTCCATGGGTAGCTGGTTCACCACTGTGTGGACAGAATGCTGGAATAGATGGACACTTGCTCTCACTCAGCATGGTTCTTCTTACGTTCACAGGACTACCTTTCAGAGGAACAGGGAACTGTAGTGTGGATATGTAGTTGGAGGCACCGCGTGGAGTTGGAGGCACCGCGTGGCGGTGGTTCCGTTCCTATCTCAACGGCCGATTTCAGAAGGTGGTGCTGGGGGACTATGGCTCTGCGCCATGGCAGTTATGCCATGGAGTTCCGCAGGGGTCCATTTTGTCCCCCTTGCTATTCAACATCTACATGAAACCGCTGGGAGAGGTCATTAGGAGGTGTGGGCTGCGGAATCATCAGAACGCTGATGATACCCAGCTCTACCTCTCTTTTTCCACCAATCCAGGTGAGGCAGTGGCTGTGCTGAACCGATGCCTGGCCGAGGTAATGGGCTGAATGAGGGCCAATAAACTGAAGCTCAATCCAGACAAGACGGAGGTCCTGTTGGTGGGTGGTTCGGGACTCAGGATGAGGGACTTGGGCCTTGTCCTAAATGGGGTTGCACTCCCTCTGAGGGACAGGGTTCGCAGCTTAGGAGTGCTCCTCGACCCTGAGCTGTCTTTAGAAGCCCAGGTGACGGCGATGACGAGGAGCGCTTTCCTTCAGCTTTGGCTGATCCATCAGCTGCATCCCTTCCTGGAGAACGATTGCCTAGTGACAGTGACACATGCATTGGTAACTTCCCGATTAGATTTCTGCAACGCACTCTATGTGGGGCTACCCTTGAAGATGGTCTGGATACTTCAATTGGTGCAGAATAGAACTGCCAGGCTGCTGACGGGGACTGAGCGTTGTTCTCATATAACCCCAGTTCTCCGTCAGCTCCACTGACTCCCAGTTGAAGACCGGGCCCAATTCAAGGTGTTGGTTATGACCTATAAAGCCCTCAACAGCTTGGGCCCTGCGTATCTAAAGGAACGCTTGTGTCCATATATGCCCCCCCACCCCTTGAGATCAGAAACAGATTCCCTTCTCCGGGAACCCTCTGTGAATGATATTAGGAGGGTGAGTACCCGGAGGAGGGCTTTCTCTGCGGTGGCACCCCACCTATGGAATGCGCTCCCCAGAGAGGTCCGCCTGGCGCCGTCGTTATTTGTTTTTTGGCGCCAGGCTAAGACCTTTTTATTTAAAACTTATTTTAATTGTTAATTTATTATGTAGGTTTTTTTTAATTTTTAAGCTGAGATGCACTGGGTTTTAATATTTTTATTGTGTAATTTTTATATGCTTTTGTTTGTTTTTGTTGTGAGCAGCCCCGAGGCTTTGTTGCAATGGGGGCGGCATAGAAATGTTTTAAATAAATAAATAAATAAAATGTTCCTACAATTATTTGATTTCGACCTGGAATCCCTGGAGATGTCCCTATAGCTTTGGAATGATGGGGAGGAACCAAATGAAATGTTGGGGATTACATGTGCACAGCTGGTTGGATTTGGGGGAGTCAGACTAGATGGCCTAGGAGGCCCCTTCTGACTTGCTTTGTTTCTGTGTTTCTATGAAAAGGCTTGCCATTTGCTCGGCCTCCATTTAACATCTTATGATATAGAGCTACTGGTAAATGGCTACAGTGCCACATCTAGCAGATATGTTAAGAGCATGCCAGATGTCTTGTCAGATGTTTTCACAGTGACCTTTGCCTGAATACTACTGTTCAGCCTATTCTGCTCTGAGAAAATGACAAATAACTATTTAAATCTTTTACTTGTGGACACATAGACTCCTTGCACATTGCAAGGAGTAACAAATGCCAATCCAAGTTCTCCTGCCATATGTGTTTCTATTTAATACAGAGAAACATTTGCAAAGCTGGATACATTATGGAAATTTACATTTCACTGAAAGGCCTTTCGTGTAGCTTAGAACACCCACCTACTACACATTTTTATAGGAATATTTGCAATGTCTGAACCAACGCTAATTCCTGTGCAAATCTGAATGCAGCAATAGGAGGTTATCTGCCCTCCCAGTTCACACAGAATACACTTCTGCTCAGCATTGCTCTTCCGTACAATCTCTTTATTTCATTTGCAGTTCCAACATCTGCATGCTGTAGACATCAGGGCAGATACAGGGTTAAAAGAAGATGACACATTTCTGAACATGTTCTTCACTAACCTAACATCAGAGATGAAAACAGCACTCAAACAAGCTAAGCTCCTTATTTGAGCTGGGCCAGGGTGCCATTTGGAGAGCCAGTGTGGCACTGTGGTGAGAGTGTTGGACTGGGACTCAGGTCTGGGTTCTAGTCCTCACTAAGCTGGATGGATTTTGGGACAGTCATGGAATCTCAGCCTAACCTACCCTACCTCACAATGTATTTGTTGTGAGGATAAAATGGAGAGGAGGAGAATCTTGTAAGCCAGCTTATGTTCTTTCCTTGTTAAGAGGAAGAAAGGCAAGGGTATAAATGTAATACAATAATAATAATTTTATTATGTGGTTAAATCCACATTTCTCAGTCAAGCAGTAACTGTATAACAAAGTGTAAATATATAAATGTAAATAAGGCAAATCAATTAAGTAAAGGAGTGCACAGATGTTGAGATGTTATGCCAAAAAAAACCACACACACTGGGGTGGGGAAATGAACATTGGCTAGCACTCCTCTTTTTTTGCAGGAAAGCAGAGCTTTGCAAGCTCTTTTAAGATTAATTGACTTGAAGCAAGAATGGGAATAGGTGCCTTTTGGTACTGGAGATTTAATAGCACTAGATTTCAGTGAAAACAGATGGCTTTATTCATATGGAAATGTAGTGTTTTTATATCTTGGAAGCCAACTGGCAACAGAAAACTTAACTAGCTTTTTTACTTCCCTTGGGTTTCATGACCTTCAAACACTGTCCTCATGCACTGAAATAAGTGAAAGAATTACTACAGTTAATTGAATCCAGATGGAACACAGCAGTTCCAGAGAACTTTAAGGAAAACATAAGATGCAGAACTTGAGCAAGAAAACTGAAAAGGAGAATATGCTGAGAATGTGTGTACACTTAACTTGCACAAGCCAGACTGGTGTTATCTTGAATGCCCTTATTCATGAATGCAGAGTGTAGAGTCAAAGGGTAATAACAGTGAGGTCTAGCTCTTTTTGGCATAAGCCACACAACAATTATTCCTTCTTTTCCCTCTGTCTCAACATATACACCCTAGTTAAGCCTGCGACTGAACATAAGAACAATATATGCTTCCTCCAAAGAGAAAAATCAAAACACATCACTGCAGGTCCACTGAACCAACACTCTTGAGACTATGTGGTCTGCTTTTTCTCCCACAATAGAAATTAAAACAATTAGCTTGTAATATGAGTAGATAAGACAGGAAAATCATTGTTACTTGATATCAAGGGCAGGCAACATTTACTCTCAGTTGTTTTTGACAAGTGAGCTATCATGATGGGAATATATGCTAAAGCAGAGGGACAAAACGCTTTCACAATGGGGGCCCCACCATGTACTCCTCTGCAGCCACAGTAATGCTGATGGAATTGGCAATGCCCATCAACATCATCCCACACATTTCAGCATTTTTCATGATGAAGCAGCACAGCATACAGGAAGCAAGGTGCAAAGGAATTCTCCACTATTATTTCCAATCTCTTGTGCTTCTGGTGTGTAAACCAATGGAAAGGCTCAGTGGCCTTAAAAGCTGCATGCATTTTAATTCCACCACTGCATTTCAATACTAGGAAAAGCTAAACAAGTTGAATTTCTATCAGCTTTTTATCCAGTTATTAAAAGGCTTAACTTCATATACCCAGTGAGACTAATTACATGCTCCCAGTGTTACATGCTCCCTGTTCTATGTTGTCTTGTGTGTGTGTGTGTGTACCTATTTTTTAAGGATGCAAAGTTTCCACTCCATTGAATTTGCTCACACAATGGAGCTCTTCATTTCTTCATTTTGATTAACAGACAATGACCTTGATTGCACATAACACTAAAGATGTGGCTTATTTAACCCAGACGTTGTTGAATTCTGGATTGATGCAGCTGCACTAACAAACATTAGTCTGTTAACGACAAACAATCCAGAAATAAATGTTATCAATTGTTGTTGGGTTGTGGACTCTGGATTATTTAACCTTAGAGTATCAATACATGTGAGCCCAGAAACATTGACTTGTTTATTATATTTATACAGCACCTTTTTTCCTTCCGAGGAACTCAGGGTGGCTTCCGTAATTCTCCTTCTCTCTCAATTTTAACCTCACAATGACCCTGTGAGGTAGGTTGGGCTGAGAGACTGTAACTGACCCAAAGTCACCCAGTTAATTTCATAGCTGCGTGGGGGCTAGAACCCAGATTTCCTGAGTCCTAGCCCTGCACTTTTAACTACCACACCACACTGGTTGTTTTGCCAGACTATGAATGATCTGGCAAAAGTGGATACAAACCCAAGCCATTCCATATGCCACTACTATATGCCACTCAAAGAGGAAGTAAACAAAGGAGGAGAAAACTCTGGGGGCTAAAAAAATCTCAGAGTTTGTTCAGTCATCTGCTAGGCAAGCCTTGGGTAGGGCAACAAACCATTGACAAAGAAAGGCTTAAATAATCCAAGGATAAACAGTATGTGCAAACCAAGTCATTCCACTATCCATTACAAGCTGCTTATGGAGCTGTGAATTTCAGAAGTAGCTTGTAATGTTGTAAAGTTAAGGAAAGGTAATCTGAATTTTATGTATGTATAACTCTGCATGCAACTGTTAAAACATATTTTTAATACTTAAACAGAAGATCATTGTTCATATCAAATACTGCCTAACAGAGTATGAAACTCTTAAAATTAAAAAGTCAAATCACATCACATGTTATTATGCATGTATGGCTCCCACTTGAGTCCCAGGAAAAGCTCAATTACTCTAATAATTAATGTCAATGGGTTACAGGTGCTGCATTCTTGAACTGCAAACCAATTTCAGAGTTTCATAAATTTACATCCACTTGCAAGTAACATTAGGTCATTTCTAGTCCACTAGATACATACTAGTACTAATAAAACCCTACTATATAAAAGATGTTCCATCAAAAGTAGATAGCAAATACCATATGATAGATCATTTTAAACACTTCTTGTCATACTGCTCTGCTATTGGACAACTAGGAGAATTACAAAGGAACACTTTGTTAACTTGGATAGCAAGCTTGTAATTCATAGTCTATTGAACCCAGAAAAATTCTAATTAAGCCAATGTCCTGGTTCATAAGATCTGGCATTACATGAATAAGCCTTATGTTTCTATATTACTTCTTCCCACTGTGCAGTTGGTTTTAATCAGTTGTTTCCATGGAAACTACATTTTCATTACAGTGAGTTAGCACGTCTTTTTGTACAAATTCTTATAGACCTAGATTGAAATCTACAGTTTGAGTCTGGTAGCTAATGTTGGTTTAAAGGGATTGTATAAACCATAGCTTGCATATTCAGATGTAATGACAAACTGGTTTCTGTAAAAGTGGAATTCACTGATTAAAGTAGAGCTAAGCAGAAAAGATTATGTTGGGCATGAAAGTGTAAGAGACATTCACACAATGTCAAGTCACTGTTCAATGTTACATGTCACCAAAGCCAATGAAGCTGTTCTGGAGCAATGAATGTTGACTTGGATCTCAGGTATCTGAATCTATTGAATGCATTATGATCAATATATTAGCCTGAATGCAAACTGGGCACCTGCACTGTGCCTTTTTTTTTTTTTTTTGCCACCATCTGCCAGTGAGGCAGGTCTCTATCCAGGCAGTTGGCTAGCAAGCAATTTGTAGGAAGACAAAAAGAGGAGATGTGAATAGGGAAAATAAATGTGCTGGGTGAAGGATGGAAGGAAAAATACATTTAAATACCTAAGGTGGGGGCAGGTAACTGTAGCGTCCTATGTCCAAAATCTGTATAATAAAAAGTCACACCAGACTCCATAGTCCCTAAATTGCTTTATATTTGGAAAGGTCTGAATAATTTTTGTTTTCACTTTGGAGAAGAATGGCTGTGGAATGAAAGCATCCTGACCTGACAAGCAGTTCTCAGCCTCTGAACTTTGCCAAAGGAAAGAAAAACCTGAACAGTCAGGTTCAAACCTGGCTGCCTAGGAAATTAAGCCCACAAACTTTATGTAGCACTGAAAACAAGCAAGGAGGAAACTATATTGCTAAACCCTAGTTAATTATTCAAGTCTCATATTCATATTTCTCCCAATTTAGATGTCTTTATCTGTATTCACAAAAAACCCAAAAACAAAACAAAACCAAAATCGACAAATTCTCAGACAATGTAGGTAATAAAGAATTAATCTTGCTCAAAAATGCCAGCAAGGTATGTTTGTAACTGATGTATGGCAACAAACAGTGATTCCTCTTCAAGCACTATTAAAAGTCACTGTGTCAATTATATAAGCTCTGACAAAATTACACAACAGTTGCATAAAGCTCACTGGGTATGTTGCTTTCCCTTCCAGCACAACAGACTATTTAACAGACAATTTGTTAAAGCAAACTGCAAGAAACAAGTTATAGCATTACTACATTTTCTGAGTTTGTGAAAGTTTACCTGTGGACAACCAAATGAAGAATTTTCAAATGTCAAAAACAAATCATGAAAGAACACTCTCCTGCTCTACTGCATTCTGACCCAGCAGGGAATGCACATGCATTCCAGACTAGCAGCCTTCTACTCAATTTCACTATTTCAGCCTAGAGGTCTAGAAACTTTTTGGCCCCAAACAGAACACATTCCAAGCGCCAATATATGCAACATTTGGCCCAGTATTCTTGCTCGCTGCATTTTAACTGAAAAAATAATGCACCTCCGTTTCCATTAAGAGTTTGGAGCAGCTTATAATCCCAGGTTAATACAATTTTTATTGAAAAAAATAACTTTTAATCAAACATCCATATGAACAAAGTTAAATACTTACAATGTGTAGGAGCTTTAGCACATCTACAAACCTATTACAAAAAGAATGGAAAACCATTATCTCAGCTGCAAAGATGTATATACTTATATGCCTACATGTATTATTTAATTCTCCACAGATACTTACACTTTCTCTGAGCTCATGATTTCTTTAGCAATATGGTATACCTTTGATTTCTTCCCAGCTGCTTTAATCTGAAATTTAAAAAAAAAACTCTTAAGAGAAGGCAAATATGCTGGAAGGTGGAAAAGAGCTGTTTGATAAACAAAAAGCCCTAAATCCTAGTTTCTCATGTATAAAATTTTTATAATAATACTTCCTATTGCTCTAACCAGAGTTCTCCCACCTGACAATCTTCAAACACTATAGACTACAGTTCCCAGCATTCCTGACCATTGTCCATGCTCTACTGGAACAAGAAAGGTGATGATTCAGTACAATCTTATTTACTATTACAGGCTATTTGTCTGGTAGGAGTTTATGTTTATAGGTTGTTTTTAATTACTTTTTAAGAAAATGAACAATATTATTTCCTTAAACATCTAATATGTATTCCCAGAGAGCCATAGTACTATACTATAGTGACAACTCCAGATTATCAAAAGTGAGTAAGTGATCATGAATCAGATTCGCTGAAACAGCTTTCCTTTTGTACATTTGTATGGAAACAGCATTATTTGGCCTGGTTCTATAATAAAATTATATTCAGCATAAAAATGTTCAGTTAATTGCCAGTTGCTTCCATTTCTGCTTACTTTAGAAAGCAGCAGAACTTCTAAATACACACCTGTAATCCATTGAAAGAAGTGGAGTCAGGATAGTATTTTGCCTCAGTTCTCCAATTATGGCTTGGTATTGACAGCACTAATGCTAACTTGTCTATCTCTTAAGGTCATCAACAGAGATCCTTCTCACTTACCCACTGCTAAGGGCAGTTGGGTTGATGAATACAAGCTTTTGTACTCTTTTGGCCTTTTTAGGAATGGTCCAAAATTTCTGCAATGAGCTTTTATTAGGGGTTTGTCAGGCTACTTCTTTGCCATCTTCTCATCCTAGTTGTAGTTTCTTATTTGTATTTCATTGCATTTTCTTAATTACATTTTGGGCTTCTAGTTCTATTTTGAATGGTAGTTTTAGTAGGCTTTTACTGTTTTTCATTTTTAAACACTTCTTTGGGAGTGTTCTATCCTCAAAGGCAGCCTAAAATGTACATAAATAAGTGCTAGTTTATTTTTAAAGCTTGTTTGCTGTTATTTTTATCAACTTAAAATTACTGGAGTGTATTTTATTGACAACTGTATTGGTATGTTGTAACTTCCCTTGGAATGATAGCTAACCTGAGAAGTAGAGTAAAACTATTAAGTTAAAGTAAAATGTAGTCTCAGGTAGTGAATGCTACTAACTGTTTGTTAGGTGTATGTGCATGCATACAAGCACACTTGCATACAGATAATAACCCAAAAATAGCTATCCATATATACATGGTTTTTATTTCATCTACAATTACAATTTTTTGTAACAATCAAAGAAGCTGTTAGGATACTTGATCCCCAGCTGCTAAGTTCAATGTACAGCAGGCTAAGCTGAAACCAGAAAAGCAAAAGAAGCTTGCCATCTCAAGTTCTGTGTATGCTTAAAAATACCAGAGTTTCTACAGTTAAGCCTAAATTATTAAATTCAACATTTCAGTGATGTCCCATGCACATTATTAGATTTAAAAAAATGACTGTTTATCATAAAATTGTAACAATTGAATTTCCTGTTACCAGTGATTTTTCAGGAACTGGGGAACTGAAGACTTCGCAGAATGACAACCAGGAAGTCCTGGCAGGGATACGTGAAATATTGGCTGGAGATCAAAAACTATCATACCATTTCACAGATAAATTTTATTTATTTATTTATTACTTATTTAGGAAGCTTCTATGCCGCCCCATTCACCGAAGTCTCAGGGCAGCTCACAACAAATGCTACTTACACAGCTACACAATAAATGCTACTTACACAGTTGACACTGTGGTGATATTACTGCTGTTAGTATCATTCACAGTTTAACTTTTGATGTATAACTGGTTGTTTAGCTGGTATTTAATGTTTACTGTATTTTTCTTATTGTGGTAAGCCACCTTGAAAATATGTTAAAGGGTAGCACAGAAATGGAATTATAAATAAATATTGGTATTCCAAACCCTACCTACCTGCTTGTTTTCTTGTGTATCCAACTCTCCCTTGCTGGAGTCTGAATTGGTATCATCATCTTCATCAGAGCTATTCATATCTCTCGGCATTATTTCATCATCCGAATGTACATGTTCCAGCACCAAATCAGAAACATCAAGTTCTGCTGCTGAGGACCTATGGTACAAAAGTGCTATATATCATAACTGCAGCTCTACCTAATTTTAGGATGAAGAGCTCATTACAGCTCATTACAGAAATTCAGTTCACAACACAATCCTAACACAATCACATAATCTAAAGACAGAGATAGAAATTTTCTATACTATACCCATGGTTGTATCACAGCTTCTACAATGGCAATCCAAGTGTCTTCAGAGATTGCATAGGTTGGTGGATGTCTTAATATACTCATCCAGCTGCTGATATCCATCTTTTTCATTTGCCCAGGAGAAAGCTGAGGCTCTCTTCATGTACTGATCTCTCTCTCTCTTTTTTTTCTTTTTGTTACAGAACGATGTAGATGACTGCTTTTTTGAAAGTGATGTCTTCATGGACATACTTTACAACAAAAAATATAGTTCTAGAAGACTAAGATAATTTTCCAAGACACAAACTAATTAAAATACATTCCACCTTAATAGCAATATTATCTATATAATTTTATTATATATTACATCGCATACATTTCAAATCAAACGTACCTCCTAAAAACCTTGATGAGATCTCTCTCTGACAACTGAAAAGATAACAGTTGGAATCACCATATTTCTAAAACCCAGGGTGCTGTCACTTCTTATTCAACAGATCTACCTTATTATGGTATTTGAGAGAAGCAGGCCTCACTGAGCTTATGAGCAAACATCTTTCTCTAACACTGTCAGATAATTTCTAAAAAAATTTTTAGTAGGGTATCAAGTGAATTTATTCTGAAGATAAAGCAGATAAACTAGGTATCTGTGTTAAAGAACAGAAGAGTATACACTAACTCAGCCAAAATGACAGCTTCAGGAGAAACAATTGTGTTGTGCAGAGCTAGTCTGCTGGAAATGAGCCATGAAAAGCAGAAGACATAAAACCTTTTGTAAGTCTAATAAGCTGATCATATATTCTCTGGCTCTAGAAACGTTCTAGAAAGTAGAAAAACATCTACTTCTGCTTCATTGACTATGCTAAAGTCTTTGATTGTGTAGATCACAACAAACTGTGGCAAGTTCTTAAAGAGATGGGAGTACCAGACCATCTTATTTGTCTCTTGAGAAACCTATATGCCGGTCAAGAAGCAACAGTGAGAACTGGACACGGAACCACTGACTGGTTCAAAATTGAGAAAGGAGTTCGGCAAGGCTGTATACTGTCGCCCTGCCTATTTAACTTATAAACTTATAACTTATTTAACTTGGACTGCAAGGCGATCAAACCGGTCAGTCCTGGAGGAGATCAACCCTGACTGCTCTTTAGAAGGCCAGATACTGAAGATGAAAATCAAATACTTTGGCCACCTAATGAGAAGGAAGGACTCCCTGGAGAAGGAAGAGCCTAATGCTGGGAACAATAGATGGCAAAAGAAGAAGGGGACGGCAGAGGATGAGGTGGCTAGATGGAGTCACTGAAGCAGTTGGTGTGAGCTTAAGTGGACACCAGGGGATGGTGGAGGACAGGAAGGCCTGGAGGAATGTTGTCCATGGGATCGCAATGGGTCGGACACAACTTCGTGACTAACAACAACAAAGGTTCTACCAAGTAGAAGCATCATCCTGATTACCATCTTTAGGCCTGTCATGGATCATGTACATACGGCAGCTATTCACCTATCTTGGAAGACCAGGTCTCAGCTAGTTTCAGTCAAAACAAAGATCCAAAAGGAACTTCTCCCTGCAATAATTGATATAGTCCTACACTTGAAATTATGCTCTGATATGGAAGAAAGCTCAAAAGTGAATTCTACTCTGAAACAGTAAGAGACATTACAAGGCCTTGTTAAAGCAGAAAGATGGGTAGAAATACTAAAACCCATTCCAGTCCCTGAGAAGACCTAAGCTCTGAGATACTGGTCTAGGATACAAATACCTGAGGTCTTATGTAAGGAAAGGATGCAGTGGGAGGTGGCAGAACTCTTTCCAGAAATATTAAACATTTAGGGGCTTTTCTAGGGAGAAGACACAACACACTGGCCTTATCCCAGAAAAAAGTATTTGGAGCATCACAGAAAGACAGCCAAAGATCTAGTTCACACATGGTTATGGTAAATTATATGTTCATTAAGCCATACAATTAACCTACAATTAATTGTTAAGTTTACTGTGGTTTGCTGAACCCACTATTAACCCAAAGGGTCCAGGTTCACAGGCTGCATTCACAATGACAGTGGCAGTTCACTCACAGCACCACATTAGTTCTTTAAGCATTTTCTAGTATGCTTGCTTTCTTATTGACAGCACTACTCTCATACCCCTTTGTCCTCAACCATTTTACACAAGCCATTTCAGTATTTTTGCAAAATTAATCAAAATATGCCAAGTTATATACATCATTTAAAATTCTATGCTCCCATATGACTGCGTCAAGCATTACCCCACATTAAGGATTTTCTTTTTCTTCTTCTTTTTTGGATGGGGTGGAGGTGGGGGAAGAAACTTCTGCATTCACAGTCATGTGAAACAAGTCACACTAAGTCACTGCACTGTTCTTTGAGTAAGAATACCCTGTCATAGCATGTGAGTCAGCTGTCTCACACAAACAGTGCCATTTCTGGTTCACTGAACCTAAATATCTTAATTTATGTGAAAATGTATCATCTGAAAAAAAAAATCACAATATAAATGTATTTTAGATCCTGCTTTATTGTTCACTTTAAGCTCAAGGCAGTTAACAAAAAGGAGAGCCACCTGTACAATTGATATATTTAGAAATATATTTCCTTGTTGTAATATCAGCAGCTCTCTTTTGTAGACCAAAGTATTACTTGACATTTTGCAGTAATTGCTCATCTTGAAGTTTCTCCCACTGAATCCAAAATCTGAAGAATCCTTCTCTCATTCATTAGCAGTGAATTGTTTAAGCACTTGTGATTAAACAATGAAGATTTAGGAGTGCCAATTATGCCTGGAAAAGGCTAAATATGTTCTTGGGGTTCATATTTATACAGACTCCTAATTTTAGAAAAAATAACAAAGGGAGAAGTTCTATGGCACTTAGACATTGCCTGAGGGGTCATAGGATCTTCAGATTCCCAGGTCCAGGCTCAGAGATACAAACTCAGGTCTGGGCTGACATGGAAAGAACTGCACCAGCTAACTGCTGAGGCTAGGAAAGCATCCATGGAGAAAGGTAGGTACAGGGAAGAGAGGGAAGGGTAGAAAATGGGGAAGGCCAAGTTTACAAGGTACACCAAAACCTCTCCAGCTTCCTTCTCTCTCCCTCTGAAATGCAATCAGCAGACTGATGAAAACAGCCATCCTACAAAAATTCAGAGTGAAAGGAGTTGGGAAGCAAAGATTGTTTCCATTGACCCTCCTGCTCTGTAGTGGATGAGTTTTGGGAGCTTTTACTCATCTGTACAGGACTGCACTCAAAGCACATAAAAATAGGTAACAGCCTGTAATACATTTAGGCATGCTACCATGCAGAGATTTCATAGAATACCCTAATATTTAATGGTACCAACAGCTGCACATGGGAACTGTTAAACCAAATGCCCCAAAGTTCGTGCATCTTTGAAATTTACACAGGAACAACCTATTAGTTTAACAAGGTTAGGCTAAATTTAACATTCTATACATATTTATTTAGAAGTAAATCCCATTTAATTTAATTGCAAACAAAGTGTACCAAAGCCATTATTCACCTCCCTGGGAAATGTAAAGAACTCTACTAGAGCACAGTCTTCTCCATGTACATCCCTTGCACTAATCCTTTTGATAAGATCTGTTTTAAAGCATTAGGTTTGTTCTGGCTATGCCCAAAAAATAAAAGAGTGAATACACAATTTCTGATCATTCCTTTTAACCTGTCTGTTCCCAAAAATGTTCACAGTGCAGTATTTCAGTAAACATTTTGAATAATCTCCTTAGCAAGTAAATAGTTCTTTGTTTCCACATTTGAAACACTGATAATATTAAAACAAACTTTCTATTTACTGTGTTTCCCCAAAAATAAGACACTGTCTTTTTTTTTTTTTTTTTGCTCAAAAAAACACATTAGGTCTTATTTTCGGGTAGGTCTTATTTTTTTTAATGTACAAAATGTACATTTAGTGTAAACCCTTCTGCTCTGCACTTTTCCGCTGTGCACGCTTCTGCTCTGCACTCTTCTGCTCTGCAGCTGCTCTGCACTTTTCTGCTCTGCATGCCAATTGTTGCCAAAAGCTGTATACACCGATCCTCTCCAGCGCCTGCTACCGGTACTGTCACTGGCAGCGGAGGAAGCAGAGGGGCATGAGCCCATGCTTCCTCTATAGTGCTGGCTCCTGTGACAGGCGGAGTGCATTTGATATCACTCCGCCTTTCACAGGAGCCAGGTCCATAGAGGAAGTATCCGCTTAAAACACTCTGCATCCTCCCACTGCGCCCTCTGCACCCAGCTGGCACTCTGCAAATAAGCAAAAAAAGTAAGACCTATTACCAATAATTTTTGGTAAAAGGTCTTACTTTTGGGGTAGGGCTTATATTATAGGACCTACCCCGAAATAAGACTAGGTCTTATTTTGGGGTAGGTCCTATTTTCAGGGAAACATGGTAGTTGCAATAAATTCCTCTTGAATCCATTCTGCCTAAGTGGGACAATTCAACAGACATTAACTACACAAACTTTTAGGCAAGAAGCTCCTGAGTGTTTAGGTTAGTACACTGGTACTATGATTAATTAATTTATTTAAATATTTAAATACCACCCCATAGGCTCTGGGAAGCTTACAAGAAATTAAAGCCAGCAGTGATTTAAATAGACTAAGAAAACATATTAAATAAAACTGACATGAGAACTAATCTGGGAAGGCTTATCAGAAGAGATACATCTTTAACTCCCTCTTAAAGGTGGGAATTTGGAAAATCAGAAGCATTTCTCTCCTGGCAGACCATTCCACAGCTTAGGGCAACCACTGAAAAAGTCATCTGGGTAGTTGACATTAATTTTACAAAACCAGACTTCAGAAGTTCATCCCCAGAGGACCTTAGCTG